AGAAAATTAGTAATATTTCGCCTATTAAACCTTAGTGCGTTAGTATCTNTAGNCTTAAACNNTCNCTAGTATCNTATTATAGTACTTATTATAGAGCTCTCTAATAGGTCTTTATAACTACTTTTCTTCTCTTTTTCTTTAAGCTGCATTCGCTTTACTCTCTTTCTAATCTAAGCTTAATCCTTAATCGTTCTTAGCTCTAGTACGCCCTTAAGGGTACTATACTGCTCTCTTTTTAGAGTCTCCACGTTCGAACCTCGTTCTCTGCTAAAACCCTTTCTGTTACTAAATAATTTTAACTCTCTCCTTTAACGACTCGCTCTTAAGCTACTAAACCTTATAATATTCTTTTAACTTTTTCTTTTCTCTCCGATAGACCGTTACACTCCCTAGTTAGGTTACTAAAAATGTAGCACGATACGTGATTAAGCTTAAAAGATTAGAGGGGCGACCCGCAATTAAGTAGATAGAAATAAGCTGTAGGTTAATCGTTGCAAAGGATAAATTGGAGAAGGTGCCTATCTACGTACGAAAGATAATCGTAATATATACCATACGCTTAGTCACGTGATGCTACACCACAATACATAATTACTTGGGCCCGTACTTTTAAAGCTCAGAAGCTCTACAATACTGCTCAACGTATATGAAGAAAGCACGAAGACCTAGAACGTGCACTAATTAGTAGAATTGATTCCTGAATTTATCCGCGTTGGCATGCAACAATGCGGCGGACGCCTGCAATACCTTGCTCGTATACTGCGCGTTGTGGCTGTGTCGACTCCCGTTAATCACGTAGCCTGATGTATCTCTTATCTCAGGTCGTACAGGCAGCCACTCTCTGCTGTGGTGCAGATAATTACTTAATTAACACCTGCCTGATTGCTTGCTGTGCCACATGTCTGCCTCCTGCCACGCGCACACAGAATTGGCTGCCTGTTGTACTAAGCCACCTTATCGCAACCACGACCCCTGATCGCGACTCCCTTTGAAGAGTAGAACCAATTGTTATTGCGGTACGCTTTTGGTTTCTCTAACATGTGCCTTTCCCTGCTTTCTTACGTGCACTTACTCTGCGCCCTCGCCTCGACTTGGCGCCTCGATCCTGCACAGCCAAGCAGGCTGCATCATTTGGGTCCAGTATTTCAAACCTTTATAGTTGCATTGTCATTCTTCATTTCCATTCTAACTCTGCTGATAACGACAGTGGCCGATAGTTGCAACTATGAGTTCGCTTTTGCCTACAACGCCACCTAATACTTTACCGCCCCTTCTGCGACTCGCATCTGAGCTGCACCTAGCGATCATCTCGTTTCTTCCAAGTCTAAAGGATGCCACAGACGAAGATGATTTGGCACTTCTCCAACTTCGTCGAACGAATCGTTACTTTCGCGACCTTGTTCCTCCGCCGACTCACGACGATCTTCTTTCTCTCGAGTTAGTCTTGTACGAATACCCAGTGTACGCCTGTAAATTCTGTCTTTGTCTCCGGCCAAGGGCAAAGTTTGCTGCAGCTATGCTCAAAGGCAAAACAGGAACCAATGGACAAGCCCGGTATAAAAGATTTTGCGCAGACTGCGGATTCGATACTACAGTCGTTGGGAGGAGTCAGCGGTATTGCCGTGGTTCAAGAGCATTTGTTGGCGGAGTTGATTGGGTATGGTGCAAACACTGCAATTTAGTGAAAAAAGAAGAAGAGGCAGATTCAGTCTGTCCTGGGCTGTGTAAGGCGTGCTATACCATGTTGGGCTGTAAATGCAACGTAAAATGCGGCAGGCTACTACGTTCTAGGACTCCACCACAGCCGGAGGCCTCGACACAACCACGCTGGGCGTTGCCAAAATCGAATGCGCCTCGAGTTCGCTGGGACGTTAGTGATACAGATAGCGATGAAGATGATAGGACTGATGTGTATGATTATTGGGACCCTCACTTTGAGCTTGCGCAGCAGGAAGACGACGATTGGCGTGCGCTGTAGGGGCTTTCTACTAGTTAACTAGTACTACGTTGTCTAGAATAGACGCAGTTTACCGCAGAGGTGCCAGTGTCTAAGTAACTAGTACCCCCTATGCTAGTTCAAATGCAGCGTCAAGAAGAACGCCTTTCTAGAAGCATCTATAGATAAAGTGCAAGGCTCTTGAGGTTACTTAGGACATAGCTACTCGGTTTTAGAGATGCGGCAGCCTCGTAGTATTGCTCTATTGGAGGCGTACTGTTTAAGTGTCGGATGAGGGCTTGTTCGGTTGGAGCTCTGTTTTGTAGTGATAGCAGATCGAGCTGCATGTTACGATAAGTTCCCAGTAGCGTTTTCGTGCATGAAGAAATACAATCTGATTAGCTCTAAGAATTTCTGCGCTGATCTTCCGGAGTATGTCCTACTCCACTACCCGTATTTACAGTTTGAAGACGGTTTTTCAAGTACATCCTGGCTGCCATGATCTTCGTCAAAGACCAGCTCCACATGTTGAGAATCATAATCTGACACCCGTATCCTCGCCGTTCGCTGAAACGTACTCATCCGATGTATCCCCGTTGTTGTATTCTTCAAAGCGACTGCAGACGGACTTGATTGTTGAGTAAGCGTCAGCAACTCGGGTATGGAATCCCAGCAGCTGGAACTACGCCGCCGGATGACCAAGCGGAGCGTGTGAATGACCGCCATGACGAGATGTAAGAAGACTACTATCAGAGCAAGTATGTCGGTCGTGGAAGATACTTTGAAGGCGTAGCCTGTGATTTCCTGTCTGATGTGGAATTCGGTGAATGTAAACGTTGATATGGTAGAGGGATTCTCGTATGCTTGGCCATCCTTCAGGAGCTCGGATTGATATGAGGATTTGCGCATATGGTACGAGACCGGATTGTACTTTTTTCTTTGGATAGGGACGGTAATGTTCAGGACTCGCCAGCTGCCAGCGCGGGATATGGCATCGGCAAAGACGGAGGCGAGTATATGTTCGACATTTGGCACTAGAAATGAGTCGGATGTCGCCATAGACATGAGAGACGATATTGTCGTTCTTGTTTCCGAGTCGTTGGAATTTAGAGTATTGTTGTTTATTATTGTCGTGTCCCACGGCATATCTATACTTGCGTTGAGCTTCAGATTGACGGCGTCGAACCAGTCGGCAGTGATACGAAGTCGGCGCCAAGATTCTTGACTTCCAACATCCAGCCGAAACATGTCATATGCCCGGTAAGATGTTTCAGAAATGTCACCAGACTTGGGGGCTTTTGTGACCGAATAGACCTCTGGTTGCACCGCCTGAGCAAGGCTCACCGACAACGATCCTTTAGCCCATCTCGCATCAACAACACAGGCGGAAAGGTTGCGTTGACTCTTACTCGATGTAGGAGCATCAACTATGATACCTAGGGTGGCTGTCGTCCATGTAGTATCGGCCATATCCAAAGCAACGATTGATGGATGTGATGATTTCCGTAGAGACTCCAATGTCTCGTCTGGCAAGTCTACCGTGCGCATTTCGGTAGGATAACCAGGGCTCTGATCATCAAAGATTATGTGATTCGTGATTGCACTACCGAACTCTGGGACGACAGGGAATTGGAGAGATGTCTGCTCAGACTTGAAGGCTTGCAAAGGGCTACACACCACTCGCACTGCCGGGACCCATGTTTCGATAATAGACTTCATCTGGTTGTAATATCTATATCTTGCAAACGGGGAGTTGGAGTCGACAGGTATGGCATCAGCAGCAATTTGCCATTCGTCGTTGATCGTAGCCGCAACCCACGCCGCAGGGCCATGAACGCCGGTTGCTGATGATTCTAGCGCTACTCTAGCTCTCTGCGCTGATGCTAGGCTGTAAGGCGGCACTTGTCCTTCTGGACTCCAAATCAGGAAATCCGCAGGTACGTATCGAGAATCCTTAGGGGCTGACCACGGTCTAGGGTTGTCGCTCGAGGAGAATCTGTTTGCCAGCGTCATATACCCGCCGGCTGGGCAAAGCGCATTGGTGTATGCATTTGATGAAGAGCAGCTAGCCCCGAATATACCAGCGCCAAGATCAGGCATGTAGTGCTTGATATCGAGTGTCGAGGGCCAAAGGTCTTCCGAACTGCCATTGATCCAGTACTTGGTTCCCCCAGCAGGCCAAGTATGTTCGCGTGGTATAAGTAGTACAGCAACAGCAGGACCGGCTGTCACAGCGATGAAGCCTGCGAGCACGACTAAGCAAAGTGTTGCTGCATTTCGTCTCATTGCCCCTTGACTGGAAAACGACCCGATGAAAGCCGCAGACCAGAAATAACTCAATTGGGTGAATAGTGCTCCCACTCCGACCAATCCAAAGGGAACACCGTTCCCGTCAATGAGATCATACCGAACTTTGTGCATAATAATGGCCGTAAGACTGGCGATGATGAGAAGCTCTTGAATTTTGGCTGCGATTTGAAGAAGCGCGGTATATTCCGATGTCTTCCCAGATTCACCGGCGAGTTCAAATCCGATAAAATGACCGTGTATATTAATGATGATAAGGAACAGAGCGAATGCACATGGCAAAATGTGTACTGCACATCGCTGGAATGCAAGATGCAGTGATTCTGTTCGGACTGGTTTCTTCGGCTCATGTGGAATATGGTAACGAAGAAGATGAGCTATCAAAACGCAAAAGGCGCCTAGGCCTATGGACCGGAGGAATGTTGCCAGGGGTGGATCATATGGATTACCGTGACGTTTGTCACGTATGTTGTACATTTTGACGACGTAATGGAAAAAGCTGGGTTCAAAGTAAACCTAACAATTCCTATTCTCCATGAACATAATTATGGCTATTGAAGCTCTGCTCTGAAACCAGGCATCCAGTTTGTTGGCGGCTATGTTGCTTGGCGACGATATTGACAGGTATGACTGCGCAGGGCAGGGGTAAGGTTATTCGTCACCCCTGTTGTTCAATAGCTGATCCGGTCTGGATCGAACCTCATATGTTTCTTAGCAAAATCTTGCTACAAATATTCCTACTATATTCTTAGAAAGAAGAAGGTGGAAGACGTTCTTTTCTAGATATAAGATGGGTACAGAGATGGCTGTGAAAAGTTCCTGCCGACAGCGTGTTCTGTGGGCTGTAGTTGCCTCGATCACAGGGTGTGAGTATGGCCTGTGGCGACATGTCGTGACCAGCATTGCGGATGCTGGCAGCCGTTTCAATGCAAACTATACAGCGATCGTACTGAGATTGCGCGTCGTTTGGGGGCGGTTATTGTATGGCACAAATTTCTCCGCCCCACCACTTGCATCGCATCCTGTATGGGCTCTTTGTCAGAACCATTAAATGCACCCTACTATTCTTGCAAGCATTGCCGGTTCTCATCTCAAAGCATCTTCACCGATAACCTTCATAACCTTATCAATTGAGGGTCCAAATTCGCACGAGTCTCATCCTGGATCAAACCCCGGCTTTCTGCGGCATCAGTGCGGCGTCTCAGAATAATCTTCTTGATCCACAACAATGTTTCTGCCCAACAACGAATGTCGTAGCCGGAGTGTTGATATGAAGCTCTCCTGTGAGGGTGGACATCGGCTCTTGCATGTGGAGTTCTGTGAGGATGCTGGAACATTTTTCTTTTCCGATATGTCTGCAAGGACGCAGGGATTTAGATTATCCTTGGTTGCTTGTGCAGTAGCAAAGTGAGTGTTTCGGCAGATAAGAGATACTCGCGCAGCGCTTGGCGATGTGTTATGGAGGGCGCGATATCGTGTGTGGAAATATCGCCGTTAATTTGGAGGATGGTGTAAAAAGAGATCAGCGGATATTCTGAAGTCTAGGGCTCCAATAAAACTCGTTTTGAGGGTGTGTGTTCTCTGTTAACTTCCATGACTAAGAGTTTTCATCAAAGCACTAGAGTGATGACCATGTGATCGCTGCAATCGACCTTTTTTTCTAGGTCTGTAGGTATATTGGATTTTAGTTGAGGGAGTTTTCTGATAATGTGTTAGTGGCAAGGATGGCCTTGTGCAGTCAGGTCTAACCAGACTGGCAAAAGTAGAGTTTTTGGAATCTTACCAAGCCCACATATTACATGATTGGAAGTGAGGACGAGATACGGAGAGTGTAAAGCTCGGGGAAGATTGGCATTGAATTACTTGCCTCTGCTGAGGTTCGAGCTGCTGTCACCCATACTTTCTGTTGGGTAGACTGGCGATTTCGTGAGTATCAGTTAGCATACATACCATACTAAGATATCCCATTCGAGTATTCGCAGTTGGTGCCAAATGGGATATTGAATATTTGCCTTCAATTCAGTGTCGTAGTAACGTAGTCCGTACCCGGTCTCGATGGTGAGACAGAAGGTTACACAAACTCAACAACACGCCAGAACCAGATCCTGATGACGTCACAGTACGTGTTCGTTCCTGCAACGTTGAACATCGCACACAGCGACGACGACCCAAGGAATTGCTAGATGTAGATTGCAAACTGACACAAAGTCCCTACCCTCAAGTGATTACTCGGCAATGTCTATCCGTACTAGGTAGGTAAGCAAGATACGCATTTCTTGCTGGCTTGGAACCGCCTGATAAAAGGCAACAACGAGCAACCACAGCTAACAGCACTACTGCTGGTCATAAAACAGCACGAAAGACAAAAGGGTTTTCTATCAATTCAATCGACTATCATCAAAATGTTCACTGCCTTCTTGTCAATCCTTGCCGTGGGCACGACATTAGGGGCAGCGTGCGAGGGTGGGGAGCAAAACACAACATGTGTTTTGGATACCGACCCACTACAACAACCCTTTCCCTTCTTCTTCCCACCTCAAGATGCAGCAAACACTTCTGCATTGTTTCCAATGCCAAAATGTCAAGGAATCACGCTTGAAGAAGCCACCATCGACCAACTGCAAGGGTACATGAGTGACGGAACCATTACATCTGTCGATATCCTCCGATGCTACCTCGATAGAATACACCAAGTCGACAAATACATCAATTCAATCATGGAACTCAATCCGGATGCCGAAAAGATAGCTATTGCACTTGATGCTGAGCGTGCTGCTGGTCGTGTACGAGGCCCACTACACGGTATACCTTACATTATCAAAGACAACATTGCAACCAAAGATCGGATGGAGACTACGGCTGGAAGCTGGATGCTGTTGGGAAGTATTGTACCTCGAGATGCACATGTTGTTGCAAAGTTACGGGAAGCAGGCGCTCTTCTCATGGGCAAAGCAACAATGTCTGAATGGGCTGACATGCGATCAAACAACTATTCGGAAGGATACTCTGCAAGAGGTGGTCAAGCGAGGAGTCCTTACAATCTAACCGTCAATCCTGGGGGAAGTAGTACAGGGAGTGCAGCAGCAGTAGCTGCAAATATCGTTACGTTCTCACTAGGCAAGCTCACGTCCTCAAAGATCTATCTCCAATCCAACACTGACACACCACTAGGCACCGAAACCGACGGTAGCATCATAAACCCCGCAGAACGCAACGCCCTAGTCGGCATCAAACCCACCGTAGGCCTCACCTCGCGCGCAGGCGTCATCCCAGAAAGCATCCATCAAGACACCATCGGCACCTTCGCCCGCACCGTCCGTGATGCCGCCTACACCCTCGACGCAATCTACGGCATCGACCCCAACGACAACTACACTTTCGCTCAGCACGGAAAAACACCCCAAGCCGGCTACTCCTCCTTTCTCTCCAACGCTTCCGCCCTCAAAACCGCAACTTTCGGCCTCCCCTGGCACACCTTCTGGACCCACGCCCCTTCCCCCCAAAAATCCCACCTCCTCTCCCTCCTCACCCTCCTCCAATCCGCCGGCGCAACCATCCTCAACTCCACCGACCTCCCCCACTACCGCACCATCATTTCCCCCGACGGCTGGAACTGGGACTACGGCACCACCCGCGGCCACCCCAACGAATCCGAATACACAGTCGTAAAAACCGACTTCTACAACAACATCCGCACCTACCTCTCCTCTCTCGAAAATACTTCCATCCGCACCCTCGAAGACATCGTCGCCTACAACTACGCCAACGACGGCACCGAGGGAGGCCACCCCTGGCCAAATGGCATCCCAGCTTTTTACTCCGGCCAAGACGGCTTTCTGGCGTCCTTGGAAACGAAAGGCAAGATGGAAGAAACGTACTTCCAAGCTCTATCTTTCATCCAGCGTACAACGCGCGAGGAGGGTATTGATGCGGCTCTGAGACATAACGGCCATAAAATCGATGCGTTGCTCGTGCCGGCGGGTGTAGGCCAGACGTATCAGGTTGCGGCGCAGGCGGGGTATCCGATGGTTACGGTGCCGGCCGGGGTGGGCGAGGAGACGGGGATGCCGTTTGGATTGGGTATTATGGGGGGTGCGTGGGGGGAAGGCGAGTTAGTGAGGTGGGCGAGTGCGATTGAGGATTTGATGAGGGGGGAGGCCGGGAGGCCGGATATGAGGAGGACGATGCCGAGGTGGTTTGGGTATTTGGAGAGGAATGTTCCGGTTAGGAATTTGTAGGGTTTGGGGAGTGGGCAAAGGAGGATGGGATATAGTCTTATCATGCAAACAGGTAGTTACAGGACAGCGATACAGTCGACGTCTCGAGTAATCCAAAAGTTCTTGTGTATCATTCAAATTACAACTCTAACGTCTTTTACCAAGCGAAAACCTACGAATAGAACGGATTTTAAAAAATATCTTCCAAACCAGCCTCATTCCACGACGTTTCACCCTTTGCAACACGATCCCTAATTTTCCAGTACTCGTGGTTGAAAACCCAGTACTCCTCACCGGTGATGTCGCACGTGCCCTTTGTGAACCACCTAGGCTGGAACTCTTTGCCCTCTGCCTCTCGCTGCCTCCGTGTAGCACGCTGCTTCTCTTCCACGCGGTTCTTTTCTGTAGCCGCAAAGTCGTATTCTCCATCTTCCATGGCGCGCTGATCAGGCCGGAGCCTGGTGTCTGTTGGGGCAATGATTGGGCGTAACTTATCGTTGATGGCGTTGAGTGTCACGACAAACGGAGTAAGGTTGAAAGGTATGCCCTCTGGACGCTCGTGGCACTGCCAGACGAGAAAAGCCTTGTTGTCGTCGTGTTTTGACGGCTTACCGCCCTTGTCAATGTCTGCATCCTCAAAGCCAGGGGTGAATCTAGCGTAGATCTTGTCATTCCATCGCCCACCGATGCTCCAGCGCACTCGGCCTTCTGCATCCATGACTTTTCCAACGACCTGGTATGCTGAAGAGGCTTTCCAGCCACGAGGTTTGAAATCCAGCAAACACTTCTCCCCGGTAGTCCAGTTGGTGATTTCCATGAGGCCGTAGTTGTCGATGACGGGGTTTCCGGTAATGATGCCGATGACGGTAGATGTGACCTTCTTCCACGTGTACATTTCTTCTTTTCCACCTGTTGCAGTGGGTCGCAGTCGCAGGAACCAGGTACCCAGTGGATTGATGTCGAAGGATTTGCCGTAAAACTTTGACTTGACCGCCGACTCGCCCTGTATATCGTTAGATGATGGTATAAAGTTTAGATTCCAGAACGTACATAGTAATCCCACTTCTTGGACTCTGCATAGGCAGCCCCAATGGGTGGATGATGGCTGACCTGCTCAATGAAGAAGCGGTAGCCCTTGTCCGGTCTGGCGTACTCATAAGTCTCAGCAAGAAGGGGATTGAAAGGCTTAGCAACACGCCCAATAGTGGAAGCATATTCGGAAGCCGCAAATGCAGCGACATAAAGCAGTCGTTCCGTGGAGTCTGATCGTTCGGCAGCAACGTCGAGAAGATCAGTGTATTCCATATCCTCAGCCACACGCTGTAGTAGCGATGTTGGTTCGTTGAAGGATACCGGCAGCGTCATCTTCGTCATGTCCTTGCCAATCATGGACTTGAGAATTCCCTAGCCAGTCGTTAGTATTGTTTAGAATGGCAGTGAGATTGAACACACCCAGAGTGAAATCTTCGGCCTGTCATCTGCATCCATTGCCAGTCGCTTTCGTGGACCATCTTCATAGCCTGCCCACGCAGTGGCAATTTCCATAGACTTCTTCTCCAATGGATCTTCGGAAGAGTCGGGGGCGCTGCTTTCAACCTCTTGAGGAGCACTGGGAGCGGGCATCTCCACAACCTCGACTTCGCCAGCACCGATTGCATCGAAGAACTCTTCGTCATCTTCAGACTCGGAGTCGGAAATGTGGGCTGCAATGTCTGCCAGGGTGGCCTTTTTCCTAATCTTCTGGTTCTGGGTGGATGCGCCTTCGGGCGCTGTCGCCTCCTTTTGCTGCGTACCGTCTTCTTGTGCATCAGCGAATTCATCTTCGTCTTGCTTTGCTTGTGTTCCAGCTTCGGTTTTCTCAAAGCCTTCCAAAGCTTCCCGGAGTGCTTTTTTCTGCTTTCGCCGCTTTTCCTCCGACTCGCCTATCCTATTCTCAAGCTCTTCTTGTTCCTTTGCGACCTTGGCCATGCTCTCTTCCCACATACGACGCACATTAGCTTCGCGATCTAGTCGGTATTGCCAGTAGGCATCACGGTCCCTGGATATCCTGAGAAGATCTCCGATAAGTCCTTTGAGGTTGCCAATGGCTGATTCGTACGAGGCCAGCGCTTGCAACATCATAGGGTCAGAAATCTGCATGTTGGGCGATCGTTCCTTTTCTGTCTGCAGTGCTGCAGAAACGGATGTCAACAAATCAAGCTGCAGCTTCGCGGACTGCGCAGTGATGTTAAAGGCATCCTTGCTCTGTGGCTTCATCTCGTGACTACTCGAACCGTCCCCATACTCATCCTCGTCATCATCGTCGCCGGCAACAGTCGCTGTTCCCATGTGACTGACCAGTCTGTCAAGACCCTGACTATGCATGCTAGGTTCATAGACGCTACCGAGGTCTTCTGTGACACTAATCGCAGTTCGTGAAGACGTGGCATCGACGCTGTTCAAAGGAATGTTTAAATTGGATGCTAGCATACGTCAGTATATAGGGAGACGTCTTGTAGAACAACTTACTGGTTGGGTGCTGCTTGGAGCTGCTGGCTATCTTGGAGCTCCCAAGGCTGGAAGAGTCACCTTCACCCTTGATCTGCTCAATTTTGGCCTGCTTAAGCATCTCTTGGTCTTGAGTAGCCCGCTTTTCTTCTTCGCGCGCTTCGTCCTTGGCCCACTGGATCGCGTTGTTCAATGCCCAGTACCATCGTTTGGCCTCGACTTGATGGTTTGCCTTGAGATGGTACTTTACAGACGACTTGCCTTGAATCTCAAAGCGTTGCTTGTCTTGTGGATCCATGTACAGCTTGGCGATGCGCATATTAATCGCACCACGGCATGCAGATCCCGTGTCATCTTGGTGCTTGTAGTAGCTCAGCACACCATCTTCAAGGACGAACCAACGTAGTTTGTAGCCAGTCGTGTAGTTTGTCCACTTCTTCAGGTATCCCTTCATCTCACGCGACTCCTTGACGCCCATTCCAACCTCTGCAGCTGCTTGTCCTGGTGGTGCACCGGCGAGGATGGTCTTCTCCTGTATTCCTCTTTGTGCCGCCGCGGCTGCGGGTGATCGCTTCAAGATTGCGCGGGTACGGTCATCCTTGGTGTAGTCCTGAGGAAGCTTACCCTTGCGATCGCGGCGAAATGGGTCGGCTCCATTCAGTAAGAGCAGCTGAGCCAGTTTGACGTCCTTTTTCTTTGCAGCTTCATGCAGAAGCGTGCCTCCAGCGTCAACGACAACCGGGTCGGTCGCTAGCTCGCCGCCATTGACGTCGAGAGTGCTCTTGACCCGGTTATCCTGGAGGATCTTCTCCAGTGCATCCATATCCCCTGACATAACCATTTGCTGTATCTTCTTTACGTACGTGTCGATGAAGATGGACCGCGACAGCTGCAGGGCCTGGAAAATGTCTGGTGTACGGGCGAGATCTAGCGGGGTTTGGCCGTTGTAGTTGGTCACCGAGTCATTGATGCCAGGCTGGTCGAGTAACATACGAACGACTGCAGTGCGACCGAGTATGGCAGCAAGGTGGAGCGGTGTGTTGCCATCGCGGTCGCGGCCGTTAATGTCGACAGGTGAGTCGGGCGATGCAGTGGCGTTTGACAGGACGAATTCAATTACTGGTACCTCCGCGCACTGTATAGCCAAGTGCAGGATTGAAGTTCCTTCTGTGCGTGCATTGGGGAGCTGTATTGACGACCTGCTGCTCTCGCCATCGGCTGGGCTCGACTGCTCCCGGATTGCGCGCGATATAGCTGCCGTGTCGCCATTTCGCAGCGACTCAAAAACTCTAAACAGCTTCACAGACTGTTCGATTGAGGTTGCCTTTGTAGGAGAGGTGGGTGTTTGCTGGATGCTGGGAGACGAGGGACTGAGTGCGTCTTGGCCTGGACCGGGGCCGGACATGCTAGTGGAAAGATGCGGGTTCTTTTTGGAGAGACTGCGGCCGTGTCCCGACGGGTTGTATCCCTTGATTTGAGCAGCGTGCTGCGAGGTGGCCGACGTAGCTGAACCCGGGGGAGAGTTGTCGCTAGGCTCGGGTGTGTCGCCGTCGGGCTTTGACGACACGCGGGACAGGAGGTTCTTCACACTGGCGGACTTGGAGCGCTTGTGCCTGTGCAAGTAGGCAGTCAGCGATGACCTTAGCAGCTACAAGCCGTGTCTTGTACACTGATCCCCGCCATGACGACTGGCAGGCTTGGGGCCGAGCACTTACCCTTCCATGGCCGCTTGATTGGCCGACCAGCCCAGAGATACAGCAGGACGCGTGTAGGATGTCAGCAAGGACGGATGGGGAGTTTGCGGGTTTGGTGTTCAATTGAAGTTGAGGACACTGTATAAAGGAAGACTGTGCAACCGATGAATATACTATGGATGTGCTTGATAGCTAGGCTCCGTATAGGGGTCTGGGCTTTGCTCGCGACCAGGGAAACTGATAGCGGGGCGCTCGTCAAGCTTGGGGTTTCGTCAGAGGCGCGGGCTCACCAGCCACAACAGCCACATCAGCCAATCATGGCCGTCGACGTGCTTGCAGCCTCAACGGGCGGTGCCTGGGGTGTCCTGCCAGCCAATCACGCGCCTCGGAGTTTTGCACGCCGCCGCCGCCTATCACGTTGTCTTCGTCCAAGATTTCTCTAGACTGAAGCAATTGATATGTTATGTTACATACACTAATTTACAATCGTCTGGTGCCTTATGACGCGTTCCCGCTAACCAGAACAATGGCGCTTCCTAGCTGCCGTCGCAGATCCTCCCTTTGCACATCGTGTGTGTCTTCTACCTCACCCCACTGCACCGTCTGCCACTTGACCTCCAAACTGCTTGCCTCGGCCGCTTCATCGATTCCAAAGCGACTGCCCTCAGCTGCTGGTCGTGATTGCGCGAATGCCTCGCTCCATTCGTGCACCAGCCGTGCGCTGACGAGCAGGCTCTTGGATGCCAGCACTGCCCGCTCCAGTCCCGCGAGCTCGTAGGCGGGGAGGCCTGCACACCACCCGCGAATTACTTCCTGTGTCATCTTGGGCTGCTCCACGGGAATGATCGAGTTGGGGTCGAGCGTGGGCTTGATCTCGACACCAGGGAACACGTGTGTCTGGAGATATGCAATGATGCCAGTGGCCACCTCTTCCTGAATCTGGCGCAGCGTCTTCCCGTCCTGCAGCGTGTCGTTGATGACCTTTTCGGGAGCCCAGCAGAGCAGTGTATCGGTAGCGAGCACACGCATAAAGTAGGCGAGGATATCGCTCCGGATGTTGGACTGTCCCGCCTTGTCTGCCGCCTCGATATCAATGGCACGCGCAGCCAGCGAGGTCATGGGGATATAGTCGTTCTTGAGCGCCTGCTGTGCGCTCATAAGAAGATCCCATTCGAGGGCAATGGCAGCCGCGAGCTGGGGCTTAGAGGCGGGGACGGTGAGGATCTGCTTGTTGGGCATCCGGACGGGGCGGTGATCGAGGAAGACCTGCAGGCCACCATCCGTCTCCTTGACCGAGACGTCTTTCCAGAAGCGCTTGGCGAGCATGCTCTTTGGCTTGTTGGAGGGAGTGTAGGACTCGCGCATCTCGCGCGCCTGCTTCATCATGTCGGCCTGCCGCCTCTTCCTCGCAACCCGTTGCGCTGCATCTGAAGGTTGGGCCTGGGGTGTCTCAGGTGGTGGACCGGGCACTGTGTGGCGTCAATGGGTGAATGGGCACATGTGGTGCAAAGCCGTGCGTACCTGACGGGTGAGGCAGAGGCGTGGCGCCCCGCGCAGCCGATGTGTGCAGACATTGGCACAGCAGCGGCCTGTTGTAGGCTCGCTGTGGTGCAGCCAGGCGGATCTTTGCCAGTGCTGGGCGGATCGACTCCATGGTGGCGGGGGGTGGGATGAATTCTATCGTATGCCCGACAATGATGGGACGTCGAGTAGGCCCGGCGCGGCGACTTTTTTCCTTGCCGGGCGCATGGACATAGCGCCCTGTGAAATCTGGGGTTCTCCGCTCCACACGCACACGCACACGCCGCACACGCAAGCCGCACCACCGCTCGCCTCACCCCCCCCGTCCACCCCTTCTCGATACTCGGGTGCTCTGTGCTTGCTACATACTTACACCTGCACCTCCAAGCAGTCGTCGCAGCACCACCAGTCGATGGACCCACGCCGGCGTCTCTGAACATGCGCTTGCGTCCCCACAGCTTCTCGTCCCTCTGCATGTTCTCCACCCTCTGGTCTGGCTCGTCTCCGATCGGCCGTTGACGCGCTTCTGGCTGTCGCTACCCCACCCAGCATCTGCTCCCCTGCATCGCCGCATCCCGCCTTTGATGCGGCCCCTTCCGCCCATCTCTGGCCTCAAACTCTGCTTTTCATGAATCAAGCGGCCTCTCCGCCGGCCTCTGCGAATGCTGCCGTGCCCCAGCCCAAGCCCATCCGCTTCGTCACTAACCATGACGGGCCCTATGCCAAGCGCCGTCGCATCAACTCGGCCTGCTTGACATGTCGGAAGAAGAAGACGCGCTGTTCCGGTGAGGTCTAACATATCTCAAATACAGTTATTGATGCTGACAGCAGAACAGGCGAGCGCCCGGTTTGTGGGACTTGCACCCAAAACAAGCACGAGTGCGCTGGCTACGGCGACGACAATGGCGCGGGCGATGCGCAGAAGAATAGCAAAAAGGTCCCCTCCCGACGAGCAAGCACAGTGTCCAACAACAGCACCTCGGCCCTGAAAAATGAGGCTCCTATTGATCCCCAGCTCACGCGGCCGTCTATTCCACACACGACCTCTCAAGCGTCTGACTCCAGCACCGTCAACCCATCGCCCAAGCAGGATATCGCCACTGGCAGTTCCGGCCTAACTTTGAGCACGCGCAATAGGATGCCGTACTTTCGGTACTTTGGTCCCACCGCCATTGTGCCTGGCCTGAGGCAGATGGTCGTCAAGGTGCGCGGGAAACAACACGGAAGTGCGCAGACTACATCCGATCGTACGTATTACCCTGGGTTAGGCGCTGAATATTGTCGTGTGCAAAATCTATCGCCTAAACGATTGAACCTAAACTGTTGCTGACTTTACCAGCGCACATTATTGAATCCTCACCTGCTCAGCCTTCTGTGGGTTCGCCACCTGCACAAGAAGCTCGTACCCCAATAGAGATACCCGTATACGATGCGTCGTCTATGTCTCCGAGTCCGCTTATTACCCACCTCTGCAAGGTCTTCTTCGCCCACCTCGGCTGCTCATTCCCCTTTCTGCAAAGAGAAAGGTTCATGCGCGATTTGGAGGAGAAGCAAGTGGATGCCATACTCGTAGACGCTGTCTGTGCCTTGGCGGCCCGCTTCTCAACGCATCCCATGTTGACGGGCAACAACAACGATCACAAAGACGGCGAGAACGAAGCCTCCAAGCTCCAACCCTCAGAATACGGCCAGGCGTTTGCGCAAAGAGCAAAGTCCGCAATTCCAGACGCCTTTCCATGTCCCAGTGTGGCGGTGGTGCAAGCTGCTCTTCTCCTCGCCTACGACGAATTCGGCGCAAGCCGCGATAGTGGCTTGTGGATGTATCTTGGAATAGCTATCCGCATGGCTCAAGATCTGGGAATGCAGTCTGTAGGAGGCCTCAAGTATGAGGGGCGCCACGGGCCAACGCCGAGTTCGGTCAAGAGTAACCTAGAAGAGCCGCGGCCATCGGAGCAGTCTACGTCACAAGACAACTGTGAAAGAAGTACCGAAGAACAAGAGCAGCGGGCAGCCGAGCGTGAGAGGTTGGACACTTTCTGGTCAATCTTCTTCCTGGATCGAGTCATATCGTCTGGCACCGGGCGTCCAGTCACTCTGCGCGACCGCGACATTGAGATTTCTTTCCCTTCTCTGGACGAGGTCGATTCTTCTGGATGGCCACTGCCTTATCCTGCCTTGATTCGAGTCATTCATCTCTATGGACGTGTAACTGATTTGCTGAACCGCATCAGAAGCGCTGCCGATGTCACACCAGAACTTCACAAGCAATTAGGAGTTTGGGAGGACCGACTGACAAACATCTATCAGAATCTCTCGCCTAAATTACACTTCAATGCTGTAAACTTTCAACAATACGTCAAACTAAACCAAGGAACAAACTTCTTGTTGCTCCACTGCTGGTTCCACACGCTCATTGTTCTGCTGCACCAACCGACACTCTTGAGAACTTTCGAGGGTACGCCCCAGCCGCAATCCAATCATAGCCGAGAATTGTCCATGTCTTCTGCAAAGACTGTTGCCGATATACTAGCTTTTACGGAGCTTATAGATGTGAAGACTGGCATGGGTAATCCGTTTACTAGGTTTGTGCCTCCATATCCTACCTGTCTTAATAGTGAAACTGACACCGCTGTAGTCAGCCCATATACATCGCTGCGTGTGCCTTTCTCAAGGAGACGGCTATTCACTCTGCATCGTCTCAACCCCATTCCCGTCCTACCAGTCCTAATCGAAATGAAGACAATGATCAGAAAGCACCCATTGGCAGCTCGCTTGATCGTCTTGAAACTGCTAGTTCTTCCGTCAACGATCGGGAACAGAAGCAGACTGCCGCCAAGCATACACTGCTTGCGTCTGCTGCCAACCAAAACTATCAACGTTGCTACCGTGCTCTAAAGGCCCTCGAGACCTACTGGGCAGGTGTCAAGTACATCATGACTGTGCTCGATCAAAAGGCGAAGGGGGTTTGCGATCCCCTGCTTTACACTGCGGAAGAGATGGAGAGCGCTTTGGAGGCACCCCGACCGGAACCATCATTCACTAGCCCGGGCTGGAGGAGGAAGCTTAGTTGGGGCACATACTTGACGGCTCAAAGCTCGGATGCCGATGTTGCCAAGATGGCGGCTGCAATCAGGAAAGGAGCGCGATCTCCAAAGTTGCCTGGCTCACCAATGGTGCACCCCAGTCAAGGTATGTAACTCATCCTGACTTTTTTGAACATCTCATTAACTTTTGCGTAGCAATAGGATGGTCGCTTACCGGAATCATGAACTCGCCCTCGACAAATGTCGCCGTCATGTACACTTCTGAGAACGGTGAAGGTCGAACCCCGAAGCCACCGCCTCCCCACCAAACACCAGCTACCGCACAACCTTCCATAGCATCCTTGATGTCCGACCCACCGATCAAATTCGAGGCACATCAATCCTTAACATCACCACCAAGCATCTCACGCTTCAGCTCTTCATCAATGCCTCCACCCCCAACCAACCAAGCCTACAGCAACATGCCCAACCCCGACCCCGTCATGGTCTCAGACGCCGACCTCCTCCTAAACCTACACTCCCCCTTCTCCGGCAATTCCCCTGCTGCAGTCCGCACCCCAATCTCCACCCAGCAACCTTTCACCCGTGGTCCTACGCAAATGCAACCTCCACCCCCACAAAACGATTTCTCGCCCACTTTCACCACGTTTCACGCCCCGCCAGATCATGTTTTTGGGGATATGGTTATTGATACCCAAGACGTCGATATGTCGCTGCTGGGCGCGGATATGATGCCCTGGGATCTAGAGTATTTACCACATGATATGTTGTCGTTTGGTGATGCATCATTTGGGGGTGCGGGGTTTGGAGGGGGTGATGGGACGGGGGGTAATGCTGCTGAATGAATGAGGGGGAACGGCGTATCTGTGGTTGTGATCTTTTATGATTGCCAATTTCCTTTCAACTTGTATGATAAGAGAATTATATATCGATGGAGTAAGTAATTTTGAGGAGGATTGGAAGAAGAAGAAAAATAAGGGAAAGAGGTTGTAATTTTGGCCTGTTTAGGTTTTATGATACCATGTTTTAATTCTTCGTTCATTTTCCTCCCGTTTGGTCATCTATGGTTTTGCAAGAATACTTGAACATACATCAAAATCTAGTCAAACAAACCCGCAACATACTTGTTTGCTTTTTCTCTACATATACAACTCAAGTCTACTACTGCAACATGCCTTCCAGACTCTCCCCAAGAATCTCCTCCATCCCATTCTTCCATCGCTGGCACTCCCGCTCAACAATCTCATCGTCATCCTCCATGAGCTCACTAATAAACGGTAGCATCTCGGGCAACAAACCCAGCCACTCCTCGCCCAACCTCCGCGTAAGACTCTGCTCGCAAAGCACAGTCGCCAAGCGCGTGTTTCGGTCCTCGCTTCGCATGTTCTTGAGCAAGGTAGTGTTCATCTCGCGGTGATTCTCCATGCTAGATGAGGAGGCGGCGGCGAGATCGGTAATGGTGGGGATGACGTTGTTGGTGTTGTTTTCCGGGGTGGAAGATGAGGCCGAGGGGAGGGAGAGGAGGGAAAGGAGAGGTGGCATGATGGTGCCAAAGTGGGAGGGTGCTTGCCAGAAGCCGTCTTGGTCGTGCTGGAACGACTTTTGAAGGGCAGAGAGGACGGCAGTGCGAGTGGCGACTTCCGTGTCGTTTTTGGCGAGGTGGGTGAGGATTTTGGCGGCAGGCTCGATTATGTAGCTCGAGTAGCTTGTAACGAGGGACTGGGTGGATGTTAGTGAGTGTAAGAAATTAATGTTTGGATAGATGCATACCTTAAATTTGTCGAAGAAAGCAGCGAGGAACTTGTAGAAGGTGATAGCGCGTTCAGGCTTGGCTGGTAATGGGCCTTCTTGATCTACAAGTTGCACGAAGAAGGGTCGGAATGTGGCGTCACTAAGCTTGAGAACCATCGCAATGACCGATTCAATCAGCGTGGCCTCGAGTTGCTCAGTCTCCTCCTCATCAATCTCTTCTTCAGTCTCCGATTGGAGAGTGTCCCGCATACGGAATGTTTGGAGGAACAAGCTGAATAGCGGCGAGCTCGCCTTGACGAGTTTGGCCTTGGTCTGAGCATTGATTGTGGATTGCAGAAGTTGAAGCTGTTCAAACAAGGCGTCGAAGCCTTGGGAGGCGGCATTTGACCATGTCGTCTTGATAGAAGAAAATACTTCTTGTCCACTGAGATGCTGCGATACACTCTGGTAGAAGCTAGCGCGGGTTTCATCGCAAGCATCCTCAAGGTCGGCAGCAGCAGAACGTTGAGACAACCGCAAAGCAGTATCTAAGTACTCCCGCGAGAACATGTATCCCAGACGGTCGACAATGTTCGCAAGCAAGGTGAATACAGCATTGTGAAGACCAGCCTTCTCTTCATCAATCGCATTTGACAGGTACTCAAACGCAATGGGAACGATTGTAGGTAGTAGCGAGATGGCTTCATCCTCAAGAACGTCGATGACAGAAGTTAGACAGATCAAAGACAAGATGCGGATTCTGTCGTCACTGCTTGATAGTGATTCAGGACCGGCAATGGTTTGAGCCACTGATGATACAGCAGATACATCCTTCTTGCCGAAGCGCTCGATGATGCGGTCGATGCAACTGACCGAGACCATCTTCGCATCCATCTCAGATGTCTGTTGCAGAAGCGTTTGAACGCTAGGCAAGAAGGAGATGAGTGCTTCCACAGACTTGCGGTCATTCTGCTTGGCAGTACCCGCTCGAAGCTCGACTGATTTGACTGCAGCGACCTGTACATGAGAGTCTGTGCTAGAGAGGAGCAACTCAGCAGACTTGATGAGATCGGTCGTCGGCAAAAGATCCAAGCAACTGGCGAGAACACGGCTGCATGCTGCGTACGTCTTCGAGTTTGACGCCAGTTTCTTGGAGAGCTGGATGGTGGTTTCGATAATGTCTGCAAAGATCCTTCGTGGCCTTTCTGGGTCGTCCTTCTTTCGGTACGCTCTGGTGACGTGTGCTTTTACCTTGTCGTCTAGGGCCAGATCGGTCAAGCATGTAAGCATGCTTTGAATTCCCGAATCGAACTTATTCTCCTTTGTCTTCTCCTTCAGCCCAAAGAGTGTCTCCGCGACTTGTGGTTTCGGTCCGGTGGCATCGGTGAGAAGATCAAGGTAACCCTTGAAGGTGACCAAGGTGTTGATAGGATCGAAGTAAAGCAACAAGTCTGCGCAGAACCTTCGTTGCTCCTTGCTGTGGTACCGGTCGGCGAGCAAAGCAACAATAGCCGGGAGAGAGTCTTCGGGGCCCAATGTGCGAGCCAACTGTGCAAACAGCTTCATCCTTCTGTGTAAGGGAATGTGTTCAAACGCCGCAGTGAAACTCAGCAGCAAGTCCGAAACTCCAGCAATGAAGTCCCTGTGTTTCGAGCGAAGCGAAGCAGCCAGTTGCGGTACGACGCGGGAGATTGTTTTATCAACGACTTGAGCTGAGTAGTCATCATGCTGTCGAAGCAGAGTAGATCCGATGAAAGTGAAGATAGGCATAAGGTTGTGCAGAATCAGATCAGGAACCCATGAAGCAAGGTTCGAAATCAAGAGCAGGGCACTATTCTGTACTTGCGGGCTGGAGGAGTGTCGAATGCAGTCGATCAAAAGGTCTGCGCGCACTGCTGACTGGTAATCGGCAGTGTCTGGCATCTCCATGAGTGTCCTAACAATTGGGCTTAACGACCCGAGAATGATACTCTGCAGGTAAACCAATTCAGATTCCGACTGCTGCTTAAGTGGCTGCATTTCAGCAAAGATTCCGAAAAGGCTCTTGAAAAGCTCTGGATGCTGTCCTGGATTAGATCCTTCGACCAATTCGAGTACCAATGTGAGTCTTCGAAGAAGCCTTTGAACGTCATCTTGAGAAGAGAGTTCGACTCGGGCCATTTCGCTTCGGCTAGTCCGTCTCCGCTTCGCTGCCGGTGGCCCTCCAGGCATCGCGGTGGGCGAGGGAACGCTGTCCAAGAAAGAAACAAGGATTTCAGAGTCAAGATTGACGTTCCGTAGGATCTCTATGGATTGTTCTCTGCGAAGTCTGTCGAAAGAGTCGTCGCTCTCGCTCAACGCCAAACCTAGCATGCATTGAGCAAGGGAATGTCGAGATTCAGATCGGAAAGCAGACCATGAAGTCTGAACTTGACCGAAAGCAGCTACTACTAGCACTTCCCGCTCTTTGTTGAGTGTTCCAGAGACGATATCTTGCAACAACTGGGCACTCTTTGCCTCCCTCGGTATGATTGCAGCGAGGTGCGAGCGCTCAGCATCACCAAGAGAGATGACTTCGCTGCTGCACTGGTTTGTTACAGCATCAATTGGAAGAGTAGACCACTCGTTCAACAATGGAAGGACGAAGTTGGTGCGGACAGTGTCTGAGACCTTTCCGCGAATGTTGAAAATTGGGAGCAAACACAACCGGACTCTTAGCAAGGGTGTACAACCGGCGTGACTTGCGAAGAAGCTGAGTATGGCCGTTCGTGTTTGCATTTTGAAAGTCTGTTTAGATTGGTTCTGCAACTGCGTTCCCTCGAGAACACTGCGGAGCGCAGGAATGATGAAATGTGCATCCATGACACACTCCTCAAGCATCGGCTGGAGCATCGAGACAATAAAAACGTAAATATCTTCAGGTTTCAGGTCCGTGATGTTCTTAGAAGCTTTGCCGTACACGTCAGACTTGCCCCACGACTGAGCTTTCGATCTCGCGGAGGCCTTTCGCGTCAAAAGACTGATGCAAGCGGCAGCGGACCGTCGAATGGGGGGGGATGGGTCGGCGAGCGCATGGACAAAGTACGGCAAAAGGTTTTGCAGGGTATGGGCAACCTCCGACTTCTCGAGTGACGAGGCCGTAGCACGTAGAGCGGCGATACGAACGGCAACCGGGCGGGTACTGTTCCAGACACGGGCAAGGAAGGATAGGTAGCGCGTTTGCTGGAGTGCGGCTTCCTGGTGCAGTGCATCGGAAGCAAGAAATTGTTTGGCCTGTTTGGTCAACACTGCCTGCTCGAAAGCATGAGCAACCTTGGCAAATTCCTTTTCTGATCCTGCATCAAGGAAGCTGGTAACTGTGATATCTGGCACCTCTACAACGAGCTTCTCAGTAGCCTCATCAATGTCAACCATTTCTTCGTCAGAATCCATATCTTGAATAGCCTCAATCTCGAAAGTTTGCGCAATGGTCAGTCCGAGGGATTCCAGATCGACATTATTCTGCTTTGCAGCATCCTGCAGCATGGATGACAGGTCTTTCGATTCGACTAGTCTGGTGGCAACCTGGAGTAACTCTCCATGCGTTTCAGAGCCTGGCACACTGTCGCCCAGTAGCTGAGCTACCGCTGACAGTACGATTTGAATACGGGATTTGCTGATCAGACCCGATGCGATAAGCTCATGGAAGATGGCATGGTTTTCCTCTAAGCCGACGTTGAGCGCACCGAGCGCGCAGCCCAGTACAAGTCGCTCGGCCTGACACTGCTCGGATACACTCTTGAGCCTTTGTACAAGCTGCGGCACCTTAAGAAGCTTTTTCGCAACCTTTGTCGGGAGCTGTGCCTTTGAGCGCTCGTTTGCGATGATTGCCAAGCAGCCCAGGCAGGATTGAAGTGATGTTTCGTCATGAGCTGTAATCACAGCCTCCATTAAACCATCTAAAACCTTATCTCCAACCTTTGCCTGGTTCACCAACATGATGACGATGGCGTAGCAGGCTAGGACAGTGTCAGCTCCATGCTTGGCGTGCATGCAGCTGTTGAGAACTGGAAGTAGATCCAGAACCAGCTTCTCAGTACTCTGGTCTTGGAGATGCTTTTTGCCGGAGTTTGAGTTGCTCAGTATGCCGTAGATTGCCTCGACAGTGATTCCAGACCAGAAGGACAGCATGTGAGCAGCCTGATGGCCTGCCTCCACTACCTTGGCAACATATGTGTGATAAGCCTTGAAGAACTGAGGCGTATTGATGGCTGTGTAGGCAATGGTCCGCTGAGGTACATTGGTGGGGGCCTGGATGTAGGGGAAGAGGAAGCGGATGGCGTGCGATGGCTGCGGGGGCAAGATGGACAGCAGAGCGAGGAATTGGGGCGTGTTATGGTAAGGCAAGTAAGTGAAGACGAGGCATTCGGTGTTGTATTCATGGATGCTGTTTGCAATTAGCCATGCCAATAGCGCAAGCTTGTGCAGGCGAGATGGTGCTATTCGACGTACCGGAATCTCCTCACAAGCCACTCCAGCGCCTTCTCTGCTGGCTTGAGCAGCAATCGGGGGCCGACCAGTGTAATGAAGGCCTCAAGCACAATATCGAGCTTAGAATTCTCATCCTTGGTCATTTGGGTGCGGTCTTCGGCTTTGCTCTGCTCGCTGAAGAGATTCTTGGAGAAGCGCAAAAACCTCGAATCCAGCGCGCACAGCTCTCGGTAGCCCTCGTAACATATTAAATAAACATTTTCAAATGATTGTGATGCAGCGATCTTGGGTTCGAACAGCAGAGATTTGCCGTGTGCCGCCTTCTGGGCGCGCAGGTCGAGTTGGTGGGTGCTCGAGGCCGCGATGGTCGCGAGCTGTTTCTGAAGCGCCGTCGCCATTTTTGGGAATTTCCTGTGTCGCACAAGAAATCAACGTTTTTTTTCGGAAATCCCAGAAGCCATAAGACGCTGCGAAACAGCGTGGAAGTTGTCGCGGCGGGTTGGGTGGGAAAGCTTGAGGATGGTGATGCGCATTCAAAATTTCGAGACGGACCATTTGCAAGATTTCACGCTAGTGGATTTTTACGGCGGGCTGCTTCAGCCACATGCGCCATCGGACTCCCGAGACACGTGCTACCTGCCCTTCATTACACATAACCCTCCGTCCTAGCTTTGAGGTGTTCACAGCATCCACAGCTTCTTCCAGAAAAAACGAAATAAATTTAGCATTGAGGTTGTAGTCTCTCATCGGATTTGCACCATCCCTCGACTCATGCTGCGTTTCTCGCACCCTTCACCGTGGCTACGAACAAGAGCACCATGACATTGGCTTGTATTGTCTCTCAGTATTGAAGGATTCTGTCACATGCTCGCACCCTACAATGAGTGCAAACACCTCGAGTTTCGCGAGCTTCCGGCCAAAGCCCAGGCCTGCTCAGGAACTATCCAATGAACCTCAACAACATGGCAAATCTGATCAGACATCAAAAGAAAAACACCACTACAAAAGAGTTTCAAAATCACCAAGCCGACAGATCCGGGAAAAAGACGCCTCTGCAAACAAGCCCTACTTCAGCGATCGGCGAGGAGACGCGGACGTATTACGGTACGGTACCTTGAACCGTTATGAAATTCCACCTTACCGTCGCTATGGCCATGGATTTGTCTTGGGTCTTTCATTGCGGCAGAAGATTGACAGAGAATTATCTATGGACAAGAAAATATATGTTTCGCCTGCCACGCGCCGACGTCAACAGCGTCTGCTCACAGATAAACCCACAAAGCGGCCAGGTGAACGTGCGCTGCGTCTAGTAAAAGCCGGCGGCGATGCCTCAGATCTCAACCAAGACTTTGTGCTCTTGTCTGCAACCGGCAAAAGGACGCGGCATGACAGTGATGATGACGATGACGATGACGATGACGATGACGACGAAGGAACACCAGAATTTGACTATCGAGGAATAGATGAGCCAAAATCTGCCGAGCCAGCTGACCCAGATACGCAATATGAGTCTGATGTTGATGTTACATTTGATGCCGAAGTCACTCGCACCAACTCGCGACTCGCGCGGCACACCAAAGAGCACCCTGAAGATGTTGCAGGGTGGCTGGCGCTGATCGCTCATCAGGAGGCCATGCTAAAGCTTGAGCGGCCATCTGTTGAGTTGACAGTTTCTGACAAAGCCCACCTTGCTGACATACGCATCGACATATACGGAGAAGCCCTTAAGAAGGTCGGTAAACTCCCCGAGGGCCAGTTAAAACTCTATAAAGGGCTCTTGAAAGAGACCGAGAAAGCATGGGACAGCGCCAAGCTGGCCAGTAAATGGAAGGACGTTCTCGCAAAACATTCAGAGAGCGTGGAACTGTGGATGATGTATCTTGACTTCGTACAGTCGCGATTCACAACTTTCAAGTATGAAGATTGCCGAGCTATCTTCTTCAAGTGCATCGAAACTCTTAGTGCAAGCACACAAGAATTTCCACCTACGAGCATGCTGCACATACTACTGCGCCTTACATCCATGACATATGAAGCCGGATACCAGGAGCTTTCGGTAGCAATTTGGCAAGCTTTGCTTGGATTCTGTATTCTACGGCCCGCAGATGATGCGACCATCGAAGCGTTTGAGGTATTCTGGGATAGTGAGGTAGCACGTATTGGCGAGCCACAAGCAAAAGGGTGGAAGCAGTACAGTCCAGCAGATGAGCCTGCATCGTTTGAGTTTTCCCCCTTGTTAGAGAAAGACTCGTCAGACTCGTTCTTTGAAGACTTCGGAAAACGCGAAACGGAAGCGACAAGACGGCTCGTGATACCAGGCCGGGCATCTGACGACATAGCAGAGGATGATGCTTTCCATACCATTCTCTTCGATGACATAGCACCATACCTGAAGCTGATTCCAGAAGACGTACCGCCAAGAATGCTTGTGGAAGCCTTTCTATGCTTTTGCGGACTACCTCCTATGCCAAAGTCGGGCGCGCATCAGCACAGCTGGTGGTCCGATCCTTTTCTGCAACGCCACTGGTCATCGACTCCCCTAAACGGGGAGGAATCTTCCAACTTTATACAAACGCTCAAGCACTTCTCGGATTGCCCATCGAAAAGTTTCCAGATGACAACAGAGCTGTTATTCGACCAAAATTTCTCTACCAGTAGCATCGGACTTGATACTGATTTTATCCGACGACTGCTGAAACTCGTAGCCTCAGATCTGTCGAGCGACGATATCTTTGGAGAGTATCTTCTTGCGTTTGAACACCGACACTACCCCAGTGAGGCTTTCAAAACAGCAAAGCAACTGCTGAAGGCTCGCCCACCAAGCTTGTGTCTATACAATGCTTATGGATTAGTTGAATCCCGACTAGGAAACTCGGAAAAAGCAGATCAAGTATTCCGCATGGTGCTTGGCATGCAAGCTGGCAAATCAAAAGAATTGACTCCGCAAGTATTGAAACTCCTGGATAGCTGGGTCTGGGATGCTCTTCGTAGAGGAGAGAGTAACTTAGCACTATGGCGGCTTGTCTCGCCGCACGGTAACCCTCCCTCCGAAATTGCACAATCGCAACCCGACGAGACCCTCGTAAACAATACTCGTACAAGACTCGCCGAGATCAGCGAACAAGCCCTACTCGTCCAAGACCACACCACTGCAATCCTCAGCACCTCCCTCTCCGCCCTCCTCCTCTACCTAACAAGCTCCTACTCCATCACTCTTGCCACAAACCTCCACTCCCACCTCTCAATCTGGTTCACCTCCCACGCCGCCACTTCCTCCCCCTACGCTGAACTCCACGCCCAATCCATATCCCGCCTCCTCGCCTTCCACACCACCCACGCCCCCATCGTCAAACCCGCCCTCACCCGCTCAACCCTCGAGCCCCTCCTCGCCCGCTTCCCAGATAACACCCTCCTGCTCGCCCTCTACGCCGCAAACGAATCCCGCTTCTCAATCGACGACCGCGTCCGTGGCGTAATGCAGCGTACCGCGCTCCAGCACGAAGAACGTAGTATAGCTGGCTGGGCATTTGCAATTCACTACGAGATGCGAAGGGGGGAGATTGCGGGCTCAACAGAGCATTCAGTCCGCGCGCTGTATAAACGCGCGGTTGAAGCCAGCGGAAAGTGTTGTCCTGCACTATGGAAATCGTACATCAACTTCGAAATTGCACAGCTACGCCGTCTGCAGCATACAATCCAGATGCGGAATAAGAAACCACGCCGAGATGGGAAAAAGAGTAAAGCAGAGATTAGGCTGGAGGAAGCGAGGCAGAGGGTTAAGGATACGGTTTATGCGGGGTTACGCAATTTGCCTTGGTGTAAGGATGTTGCTATGTACGCGTTTGGGGAGGCGAAGGAGGTTTTTGGGGATGAGGAGATGTGGAGGGTTTGTAGGGTGCTGGTGGAGAAGGAGTTGAGGGTTTTTGTTGAGGTGGATGATGATGCGGCGTGGGAGGTTGCGAGGGAGAGGGGGTGGACGGTGTGAGTGTAACGCGTAGATCGTGTTGAGTTTTCAATCATGTGTTGGACCCTAGGAAAGCTGTGGTGCTAAAATTCAATACAAAGTTAGTGACGATGACAATGACTTGAGGTATATCAAGGGGTTTCTCAAACCACAGAATTCTGGAGAGGATCGCAAGGAGAAAAGAGATGATGCTAGAGATAAAGCACATAGGTATGAGACTAGTTTGGAACAAAGCGACTGGACGTGCGCAGGAGGACATTGGTAGTGCAATCAAACTTTCATTTATCTAGCGCATCAGCATTGTGCTGTTCTAGATTAGCTTCATGAGGCTGCTGTATCAAAGCCGTCTACTCTTTGGAGCAGTACATACACAGCAGTTGAAGGACCTCATTCCTTCATGTAGATATCAAAACCCTTTCCACCCACACTCAAAGATGCGTTTCCACCCGTTCGCCATAGGCTCCCAGTCCGCATCGTTCAGGTCCTGGCACCACAAATCCGACGGCTCTAGAAGTGACTTCAGATTTAGCCAACCGCATTCGGTATCACACACTGAGACCATGAAAAACCCGCTTTCAGTAAAAGTCTCAGTAGTCATAAAGGGCCTGCATAGTTCGCCGTTGAACTTTTTGCAGCCTGGCATCTCCTTCTTGATGGAGAAGTTCACAACACACTTCTTGACATCGTGAGGATTCGAGACAGTCATGTCAACACCGAAAGGCATCATGTGCTCCAAGGGACGATTGACGGACTGGATGTAGTCCTTCATCTCCTTCATGCCGTTGCCGTGAACGTTGTGCTCACCAGCGTGGTTGCCGTTCGGATCGTACAGCTTCCAGTTGACCTCGGAGTAGTCGTTGAACATGTACTGGTTGATCTTCACCTTCCAGCGTCCGAACTTGTCCATAGGGCCGAGGCTAGGGCCAGGCGGCGCGAATGATGTCTTGGTTGTCTTGGGCGATGAAAATGAAGTCTTAGACGGAACCATGCTAGTCGTGTTGCTAGCGAAGGTTTTGGACGTGTGGAACGGGTCGTTCGGGCTGTTGTCACCCTCGTCGTCATCCAGAGACAATGGAGCCCGAGTGCAGGCAGGACCGTTTGAACCGGCCGTTTTGGTACCTGTCTGTGTCGTCGTCGTGTCGAATCCAGGCATTGCACCACCACACATGGTCACTGTGGCATCGATCATTGGCAAGCAGAGCGAAGAAACCATTGTCGAAGAAGTTCCTCGAAGGCTCGATGGAAGGGCAGAGACATTGTATCCTTCGGTGCACCACACGAAGCGTTCAGTGATGACCGTCCTCTTGCTGTCGTCGCAGTCTTCCGGATCAGGACGATTCGGTGGCTTCGTCGGTGCTGGTCCAGGCTTGGGTCCACAACCACCAGAGATCGTACAGCCAGGGCGACTGCAAAGTTCTGGAGGACAAGGTTCGCATCCACCTCCAGGACAGTATCCATCGTAACCGATAAGACCTGAGGGCTGTGTGCCAGGGCATCCGAAGAAAACACAAGGATTACATCCGAAAAGACCACAGGGAGAAGTGATTTCGATCTCGAGTCCAGGGCATCCAGGTCCAAAGGAAAGGCCCATCCAGCCGCAGCCACAACCGAGGAGCTTACACTTTGGATTCTTCTCCTTTGGACGAGATGTTGGCTTAGGCTTGACCTTGGGATCGTCACGGTCGCTGTCGCTGGGACTGTCGCTCTCACCATCTTTGTCGCACTTCTTGGGAACGCATGGGCAGACTGGCCGCTTGAACATGAAGAACGTGACAGTACGCCATATCGCACACTCAGCAACGCAGTCGTTTGGCTTACAGTCTGGATCACTGTCCGAGTGCGAATCCGGATCACCGTTATGGTGCTCGATGTTTCCAGGGAAACCCCACCACCAAGCCCGACACCAGTTGATGTTCTCAGGGAGTAGACATTCGTGGGGCGGCTGCACATCGATGGGCCTCGGGAACACCCAGCCTTTGCAGAAGATGTTGCACCAGTCCAAGTTGCGGCACTCATCGGGGCATCCTGTGGCAGTAGGCGATGGTTTTGCAGAGCTGGAAGTGGGAGTGGAACTGACGATAACAACCGGCGGTGCAGTACTGGCTTTGGATGAGACAACAATGCCAGTCGGAGTATTGCTACCCTGAGCGGAGGTCGGAGGATGAGTGGCCGTCTCGCCACCGGAAGACTGCATTGGTGAGCTTCCTGGCGACGAAGAGGAGATAACCGTGCTCGAGTGGGGAGGTGACTGTGCTGCCGAACTGCCAGGAGGAGGCGGGATCCAGGATGGGGCTTGGCTCGAACCACTGGGTAAACCTGCCCATGAACTACCCACAACTGAAGACGATCCGACCTGAGTGCTGGGCGTTGTTGAAGACGGAGCTCCACTTGGGAGAATGGGGATGACTGGGATGATTGCCGTGACAGAAGGCCCTGTAGAGCTACCTGAAGAAACAGCGGAAAACCCAGCGGCAGAGGAAGCAGGAGGGACAATGGTCGTGACAGAAGAAACGACAGGGGCGATTGGTGTGACAGAAGATCCGGCAGAGCTACCCGACCAAACAGCAGAAGAACCAGCACCAGATGAGCCAGAATGCGAAGAACTTGGGACTGATATGCTAGCCACTGAAGTGATACTGCTCCAAGGTTCAGAAGAAAACGCACTATAACTTCCCAGTACGGTAGATCCAGTTGCTGTCCATGCAGTCGAATGCGATCCAGACTGGGATGGAGGCTGACTCTGAGATGGTGATGCCGATAAAGATGGCAATGGTAATGGCAGTGGAGACAACGATGGAGCTGGAGCTAAAGACGGAGCTGGAGAAGGAGACAGAGATGGCAATGGCGATATTGGTCCTGGTATCTGCACTGAAGACGAGACATCAGAATGGCTCGATGTGGATCTGGATGTTGGTTGGTTGCTCCAAACAGCAGAAGATGGGCTAGGAGGTCCTTTCGACGAAGGGTGTTCAGATGCAGAGGGCACAACAGGAGAAGTATTCTGACCAATTGAGCTGTTGGGTGGCTGGGGGACAATTGAACCCTGCGTGGAGACAATCGATGATGGTAGAGAAGATTGCGCAGGATTTGCGGACGATGTTGGAGCAGACGGTGAAAGGCCAGGTTGAGCGGATGAACCTGGTGGGGCGGAAGATGGGATGCCAGGCTGAACAGGGGACGGAATACCAGACGGAGAAGAAGGTGGGAGGCTGGGCTGAGCAGAGGATGGCAGACCGGGCTGACTCAAAGATGGAGCAGAAGGCAGTAAAACAAGTTGAGTGGTTGAACTTGGTAGAACGGAAGATGGTAAGCCGGGCTGAACAGAAGATGGGAAGCTAGGCGGAGCAGAGGACGGGAGGCCAGACTGAACAGAGGAAGGCAGACCGGGCTGAATGAGAGACGAAGCGGAGGGCGCCAGAACAGGTTTAGAGGATGAACCTGGTGTAGGAGAGGACAGGACGCCGGGCTGAACGGGGGATGGAGTACCAGATGAAGCAGAAGATGGTAGGCCGGGCTGGACAGAAATCGAGGCAGAAGGTGGCAGACCAGGTTGAGTGAATAAACCTGATGGAAGAGAAGATGTCAAGCCGGGTTGAACAGTAGATGGGAGGCCGGGCTGGGCAGAAGACGGAGCAGGAGGTGGTATACTAGGTTGAGCGGATGAACTTGGTACAGCAGACGATGGAGCAGACGACGGTCGGCCAGGCTGAACAGAAGATGGCAGGCCTGGCTGAACAGCAGACGAAGCAGAAGACGGCAGACCTGGCTGGATAGACGATTGAATGCTAGGCGGAGCAGGTTGAGCGGACGAACCCGGTGCAGCAGAGGACGAGAAGCCAGGCGGAGCAGAAGACGACCGGCCTGGCTGAACAGGAAATGGAGCAGAAGATGGGAGGCCGGGTTGAACAGGAGATGGAGCAGGAGACGGGGCAGAAGGCGGCAGGCTAGGTTGGGCTGGATTTTGGGGCGCTTGTGGCCCGCCGACTCCTCCATCGCAGTAATCGTGCTCAATGGCCCAAAGAGAAGTGCCTCCGAGGCAGCGCTTGTTTGCCAGGCCCAGCTTCGCCGCGAGTGTGTCATTGTCGTCGTATCCAATCCACTGATCATCCCAAGAGATCTCCTTGACGCCTGCACCACCGTAAATGACCTGAGGTGTCAAATTCCTCTCCCGAATGATCCTTGAAATCTCGCAAGCGCTGAGGAGGCCGTCTTCCCTTGTGCAGCTACCAGCTTTGCTTGGGCCGGTGAACCCACAGCCGTAGTACTTGCAAGTCTGGTTGGCGACAGTAAAACCACGTCCGTAATTTGCGAGACCCATGTTGATTTTGGCAGGATCGAGACTGGCAGATGATAGCAGGCTGAGGGTAGAGTTTATCTCAGCAAGATCAGTGTGTGGCTTGATCTTGGGTCCCAAACCGTCGATAAAGGCGTCCCAAGGCCCATGAAAGTCGTAAGTCAAGACCGTGAACCAATCGACGACGTTTTGCATCTTCAACGGGGCGATGTTCTTAAGATATCCATTTTGGCCCGGAAGAACAACGGAGATGGTAAAATCCTTGCCGAAGCATTCACGCAGCTCGTGAACCAGGTCGACCTGATTCTGAGTATCGGCTGGGTTGCCGCCGCGATTTGACGCACCAGGCCACTCCCAATGAATCTCAATGCCAGTGAACTTCCAAGTGTCGAGAAACTTTTTGAGCGAGTCAATGAAAGCCTTGCGGTTGGATTTGGTACTCGACATGTCAGACCAGGCAGTGCGCGTCGGTCCCTCGTTTGACATTTCCCAACCACCGATGGCCTGTGGTTAAGTCAGCTATCGCACCTTGAGAGATTTTGAGTAGGCACTTACCAATCCCTTCCGAACGTTATCGGGTAAACGGAGAAACTGTTTATAAATCTCTCCATCGTCAGGGTGCTGCATGCCAACCGCGAAAGTCTTCGGATCGAAGACAGCGAAACCGAGGACAATGTGAGTGAAACCAGTGGTGTTCAAGCGGACAGGCCAGATCTGCTCGCAGGCACGGCGGCGGATGTTGGATGCTGCATAGTATGTGATGCGGCGTTTGGCAGTATGGGGATCGCAATAACCTAAGTTTCATCAGTACTCTTCGACCCGCAAAACCTGGTGGGACATACATACCTTGACCATTGCAGCAGACACCGTCGATACAGGGCTGTGATACACTACATTTGGTAGCATCACGGCCGATGATGGAGTGATCGTGGAAGTAGCCCTCGATGATCTCGAGGGCGGGTGAGACGTCGATGGAGTGAGAGCTGCTAGCGAAGCAACCCACCAGCAGCGCAAGCAGGGCGACGACAAGAAGACGCATCGTAACGACCGCTTAGCGGCGGATTGATGTTGAATGAAGAGATAGGAGTGTCAATCGGTGTCAAAAGAAGAAGTTGACCAGTGCATTGGGAGAAGTTATGGGAGAAAGCTGGGGACGAGTGGGAGGGGTATATATATTGATAGGAAAGTGGGCCAAAAGCCACTAGCGAGTGAAAGTGAAAGTTAGGTGTCAGGAAGGCGTGATTGGGTGAGAGTGAGTGCCCTCATGCGTATAGTCATATCACGCGGCCTACCCTCCTTGTCTAGGTGGCACAACTTCTGGGAGACTTGCTCCAGACATACTGTGCTAGTGTCCGGTTTTCTACGTTCACGCATATGATAATTGGCAGACAGATTGAGGTTTCTGGAGCCCGCGCGTTGCCATTGGGATCAGTGACGAGGATTGATTGGTGTACCTGGCGTTTGCTGGTATTGCGCAAGACTAGGTAAGAGAAATTTGCCCTCTTTCACTCTGAGAGATTGCACCTGTGAAATGGACCACAAGCATCGACTACTCTGTATCTTCGAACGGACTGATCCTTGGCATGCTATATGGCGTTATACAGTATTGTGACAACCCTGGAAGTAGATGGGGGAACTGTTGGGTGGAAATGCCATCGCTTTCGAATAAGAATCACAAAAAAAAGAGTATGAAACAAAATCAGAGATGCTCAGCATACCCATCTGCAGTCATGTTGATATATAGGACAATAATATGTTGAGTATTTGAGGCGTTTGAAGACTCAAGTTTGGTCTGATTGTATGCTTTTTATGCTTTCATGGATCAGCAATAGGTGTGATATCATGTTTGTTAGTAGTATAAAAAACAGTTCTGTTCTCAGCGACAAACTTTATCCACTTGAGAGCAATCGTACCACAGACAAACGCGTCCCTCGTTGAAGATTGCACGTTTGCTTCGGATTATCAGGGTCAGCCAAATTGAGTGCTGATGTAAGCTACCGAGTCAAAATGATGGTCTGCTCGGTATCGGATCTCAAGGTAGGCGCTCGAGGTTGGACAGATGGACAACGTCAAAGTCAAAACTACAGGGTGATGTCGGGCTGGCGGCCCCGCTGTTGGTGACGCGCTACAAACGCGCTAAATTCCGAAAGTACTTCACGTGATTGATTGGCCAACAGCGGGGCAGTGTCCTCTCAATTCGCTGTATCTGACATCAAACATATCCTACATCCGACATACAATATGCCTTGTGTAAGTCTGCTTTCAGCAATGTTTGCCATGGGATACAGCGAAGATCTCTTGCAGGATGCAAATTCCCAATCAGACCCGCTGCAAAAGCCGATCAACAGGACGGCATCCGGTAATTCAGCTCTGGGCGAGCTAGATTGGTAAGAATCGGCCTCATTGTATTGCCGTGCTGAAGTTCTTTCACACTATCATCCTCAGAAGCCAGGACTAGGGCGTACAGCGCACACACACCACTGCCGCTATCAGGCCATGTCTTGGCATGTTCCTGCATGGCGGGGTCGCGCTAACGTCATCTACTAGTCTTTCGATCTCGACTCTGTCTACTGTACGCCACCATCGTATCTCATGAGTTCATATTCTTGACCACCACCAACATGGCGCACTCGCCTCCTGCTGGCGGTGTACCAGGCGTCATGATGCCACCACGTCTCTCCATAGAGCTCGACCGTACCGACCCCGGCGTCCCTTTCCGTGCATCCCACTCTCACATTCACCACACGTGGGCCCGGACCTTCCACTCGCGACCGGAGCTCTACATTCGCCCCCAGAGTCTCGAGGAGGTTCAGAAAGTCGTCAATCTCGCACGTCGCATGCGAAGACGGGTTGTCACCGTAGGATGTGGACATTCACCTTCGGACCTAACATGTACTTCATCATGGATGATCAATCTTGATGACTTCAACCAGGTCTTGAAGGTCGACAAGGAGCGCAAAACAATGACCGTTCAGGCTGGAATACGCATGCATAATTTGAATCTGCAGGCAAAATCTTACGGTTTGACTATGCCAAACTTGGGCTCTATCGACGTTCAATCTCTAGCCGGAGCCATTGGCACAGCGACTCACGGAAGCTCATATAGCCATGGACTGCTCTCAGACCGGGTTCAGAGTTTGCGCATAGTACTGGCCAATGGGCAAGCTGTTCGTTGTTCTCCGCAACAATCCCCCGACCTCTTCCGAGCTGCATTGGTATCCTTGGGTGCGTTGGGCATAATTGTCGAGATCGAATTCCAGATGGTTGAGGCGAACAACGTTGAGTGGGTACAGACCATTCGACCTATTGAAGATGTCCTGGCAGACTGGAACAACGGGCTGTGGACTTCCAATGAATTCGTCAGAGTATGGTGGCTACCGTATATGAAGCGCGCGGTTGTATGGCGCGCAGACAAGACCAAAAAAGCGCACCGGGCACCCGAATACAACTGGTACGGCGGTAGTGTTGGCTATCATACCTACCACATCTTACTCTGGATATCTCAATACGTCCCACGTTTCCTACCCTGGGTAGAATGGTTCGTCTTTGGCATGCAATACGGTTTCAAAGATGGAGCTGTCATCTCTGCTGTCGGCGAACAACGTACCGAACTCCTCATGAACTGTCTCTACTCTCAGTTCGTCAACGAATGGAGCATTCCTCTCGAGAAAGGTCCTGAGGCCTTAACTCGCATCACAAACTGGCTCCACGGCGATGAGAAATCCTCCGGCCTCCCCTTTAGCACTAAAGGTCTTTACGTCCACTCGCCAATTGAAGTCCGTATCGCAAACACTGTCGACCGCGAGCCACGTCCATACCTTGACACCTCTTACGCGCATACACCTTCCCTTTATCTCAATGCCACACTTTATCGTCCCTATGGTCAGGATCCCCCTTGCAGAGAACGCTATTATGAAGCTTTTGAGCACTTGATGAAAGAATACAATGGCCGGCCTCATTGGGCAAAGAACTTCCAATCCGTCGATTACGCCTACCTGTCGTCAGCGTATGGTGACGACCTTGATGAATACAATCGTGTCCGCAACGAAGTTGATCCTGAAGGCATGTTCCTCGGTGCCTGGCACCGCCGCACCATTCTGCCGCCCAAGGTCGATCTTCCTTTGCTGCCCCTCGAAGAGAAGGAAGTCTTGCGCCGAAGTCGCCGTACAGGTGGTGTTGACTGGATCGGTGAGCAGGCACGTTGGTTCGATGGCGGTCTTGACGTTTTTGAAAAGGCCGGCAGTGACTCTGGAGAAAGCTTCGACCTCATGGCCGAGGCTGAGGCGCAAAATAGCGTATTGTTGGAAGGACTGACTGATGAGTTGATTGTCACTGAGGACAGTTATGATATGGAGACTGAGGGCAGGATGAGAGAGGGCACGGAGCAATACGTAACTGGAACGAACGTTTTTAACAAAATGTAAAGTTGCGGAGCAAGAGTTGTATGCGGTCACTTGTTGGTAGATGAGAAGAGAAAACCGCTCGGTCAGCATACATACACACACCACCTCAGTGGAATTCACACACCAGCATTCGATGGCTACGAGACTATGACTGTCTATAACAAATGCCCTCACCTAAACTTTACCTGCTTTTGCCGAACCACGATACAATGCTCAGCTAACACAAAAGAGAACACATTCGAGGACGGAAGGTTTTATAGCGAGTGAATTGACATGTTTCTATGTACAGGAAATCGAACACATCGCTCTTTCTCCAACCTGCTTACAACTATCCGAGGCACGATTCTTGTCTAATCTCGTCTACTAGTTGCTCGCTTCACAGACAACAACTACTCTACTGAGTCTGCACATAGATGTCAGAGCTTCCAGAGGACTGGTAACCCTCAGTGGCGACGATCTGGTAGTAGTGTTGACCAAGGTTCAAGCCATAGCGAGACCAAGCGTTGAAGTGGTTCTGCATGTTCACGCTTCCACCGACACGCTTCTGGGTGCGGACAGACCTATCATAACAGTCAACATCTACGCTTCTGTCTGATTAAACACTGAAATGACTTACCAGTACTGCTGAAAGGTCCTTGTTCCGTCAATAGAGGGCTGGTTGTAACGGGTGGAGACGGCAACGTTGTAAGTACCACCGTCGGTCTGGAAGCTGCCCTTGATTTGGGCTCCACTGCTGGGGTTGTAGGTTCCGTAGGATTCAATCACGTAGTACTCGACAAGCGGGTTGCGGGTCCATCCGTACACAGCGAGGTATCCGTTGCCCTGGGGGTTGAAGGCTCCGCCGTAGTTGATGACACTACGAATCCACATTAGTAAGATTCTCATCACCAAACAGTCTTCGCAACCTACCGGCCGCTTCCAGGGTTCCACCCCTTTCCACCAACAAAGTTGCCAGTGTTCCTCCAGGTCACGGAGTACCTGCTGCCCTCACCCATGGTGTACTGGGCAGAGCCACCGCCATCAGTCCACCACGAGTAGAAGTATCCATTGTGGTATCCCTCGGCGCTGGGAGTAGACTGACGCTTCTCAAGGAGAGCAGTCGCGTTGACATCGTCGCGCTCACGAAGGAAATCGAAGGGAGCAGCGAGGACGCTGGTGGTAGCCACAGCGGCGAGAAGCAGAGACTTGAAGGAAACCATCTTGTGTTGAGTGTTGCTGATCTGTGTTGGATGCAGTGATGCTACTGACTGGGAGCAGCTATCGACTTATATCTCTACGCCGAGTAATAGTTGAGCCTGAATCGCAGGATGAAATGACACTGGTGGTCATGAGGTCTCATCTCGCGTGCTGTCTCTATTCGTGATGGTGTACACATTGGTGGTGGGTTAAGGCCTCTCACTTCGACAAGCTCACCCTAAGCGGCGGCCACAATGACCAAGTCGAGACACATAGGGAACATGCACCGATCGGCATCCAGTTTCGGTAGCAACGGCTACGACGGGGTGATCAAAAAGATCTGTAGCCCTTGCGTAAATCTGCATAACATAATTAAAAGAACATCGCTCTACCCGGGTTTTACGCGCTGTTTGAACCGGGTTTCGAGGACGTTAATATAAAGGAACGCCACAGAAATAAGTGCAGATACCCTACCCCACACTCCCCATATCCTTTCACAGCCCAAGAAGAACGTCAATCGGGCTAAACATGCATACACGATGAATCTATCAGGGGTAGTATCGCACGTGACAGGACACAGAAGGCTCTAGGCGGGAAATCTCGGCAATCTTTCAGTTTACCACCGGTTGAACACGTCCTGCCAAGATATATAGGAGCCGGTACTTCTACCGCTTCCACTACGACACGCCAAGCGCGGTGGATATCTTGGGCGGAAGAGAGACGTGGAGTGCAGAAGTGGGTCGACATGTGGGTGAGCGCACGGAGAAAAGGTTCTGGAACGAATCACGAAAATCGGCGGAGAAAAGGATATGCCCAAAATGGTCAGATAAGACAACAAATCCCATAGCCATCGGGAATTGTGCAGAATCGCACATGGTGTGGTTAGCGACTGTCTTCAATCCTCCACGACGTTATCCGGATATCCAACTCGTTTGGGAAGGTTCAGAAGCACTGTCGACACTAGGCCACTATACGTAGGTTAACTATAGGAGGACGTCATTCAAACTACTGCACCCCGGTTCCACGCCAAGATCGGGCGGCTCCACACACATCGACATGGTGTGTGTGGGCGGACTTAGAAATTAGCCTGTGCTAGTACTCGACCACAACAAGTCACCTTACGGACTATTGGAACCACCGGACGATTCTATCCTCTCATGAATCTCATCTGACGACATCCCAAGCTGCATCGTTTCAAAAAAAAACATATCAAGTTGCATTATCTTTGAAATTGCACAAACAAAATTTATTTTGGGAGATTATAGCTAACTAAGAGAGCGGGTCCTGTGTCACCATCTTTGTCCGGAAACTCGGCAAGGACAAAAGATTTAAAGTTTCAGAAGAAAAGAAAAAAACGCACGGAGCGAATCGGGGGCTGTGGAGACGTAATAACGTATACATTACCATATAGGAACAAAGGTAAAAGAAAGGAAATTCAAGATCACATGATGACAAGAAAGGCAAACGTTACGTGCAGAGAACAGGGAACCAGGTATAGAGAATTCTTACTAGGACAAGGGGGATCCAATATTGATTTCTCTCCCTCTCTATACTATCTCTCTTCCGGGTACAAACTCCGTTTCCCTGATCAAACTTTCCTCGCGCCACTTTCCACGTTTTGCAGCAAGCAAAAATACACATTCCCCAGTCCCACGTTTTTTCTCTCTTGCACTATGGAACGTCGAGACGAGCAGGCGGCAAAATAGGTTGTACAGAATAATACTCCCGAGGTCTTGGGGACTTGATTTCCAAAAAGAAAGCTTCAATGTGCTTTGCCTAGCATGTCGCCCCTGGCTAACCGACTTGAAGTCTTATTTTTATGTTGTTTGGTGTTTAGCCGGCTTGAGGGGCAATAGTGGCGTGTTACTTTTGCCAGAGGAGGCAGTTTAGTTGGGGCTTGAGTTTGATTTGATGAGGGGCGATACAGTATGCTTCGCCCACGGCTCCTGAGACTCAAGTATGGGTTTGGACGATGGAGCATTTTCTACAGATCCTAATCGCCTCATCGAGATCTCGCATGAGGTGATTGTTTAACGCCATCGAGACTGAGCATCTTGAGCAATTTTCTCATCAAAGACTATTTTCCCCTCATCTCACAGTGCAGGTGTCAGCTGCTTGCGTGATTATTCTCACCAGGCTTGTCGCCTTTGCTTGTTGGGCACGCTTTATTAGGATTCGGTCCTGATCAAGTGGCGATAGCCATAGAACGACACAGGATATTTTGCCGTTCTCGTCGGATGTACAGTGGGGATAATTGCAAAATACTTGCCATGAGACTTCTGCCGTCTTGTCATCATATCAGCAGGGAAACTGTAATCAGCCTTGTAGCCTTGTGACTGAATTGACTGAGACACTACCAGATAGGTTCTCAATACCCCTGATGAGTTCGCCCTCAACTGTGGGCAAACATGAGAGATTATTACGCACGTCATCAAGGACACCAGATATTAGACTGTGGAACTGATATCAGATCATGTTGTAGATTGATCTACAATATGTGTCGCTCGATCTACTCAACAAGGCAGGTAGGACCGATAACTATGCTTTTTCACAACTGAAACAAAGGCTTGACGTTAATTCGGACCGTTTTCAAGCGTACTCAACAATTGACACTGAACTTTGTAAAGGAAGGTATACCACAGAGATCACACGAACGCGACAAGCGGTATTGGATTCAACATCTTTGCAACTATCATGCTTCTATGTTTTATACAAGGCGACTGACACAGAACCAAAAACTTCATATCACAAACATCTCTCATAGTATGTCGTTCTCGAAACGCAGCACCACGAACCATCAGCAGCACGTGACACAAGCACGGATTAGACGGGACACCAGCCTTACACTTACATTAGCCCAATATAACTTTCATATAAAAGAGAACAAATACAACCAACATACCTTATCTAGCTCAAATCTCGCTTATCGTCGTAGTGTACACTTATCGTTTCATCCGTTCCCTGGGGTCAACCGTTCCTCGGAGTTTGTTGATGACAGAAAACGGCCCTCGGAGTCTTTTGCAGGCATCGGTGTCCGAATGACGAGGGTGAGTGGTTAGGTGGCGACATTGGATTTAGCCATGATGGGGGTGCCACAGGATGGTTTGGTCACGCCACTCATAAATGATCCTGATGGATGCCTGGATTTCAGTTTTTGTGGAGGGGAACACAGCAAACGGTCTTGCTTCCAAGGTCAGGTACGGGAAGCACTGCGTCTGTAGTGTGATTTGAGACTTGCTGACCTAAACCATCCTGCCAATTACCAACTCATCGATACGTACCTTGTTTCCCTAACCCCTCTTCCTCTTCGCTATATCCCAACGACACAATACTTTTACCAGATACCAACACCCCATCCATCGCGCATCGCCATCCAAGATGCGCATCCACAGTCTCCGTGTCGATGCCAGTGCAGTGATCTTCGGCGCACTTAGTTCTTACCCCGCGTTTTGATCCATCCCACCGGTGCCCAAACTCTCCATCTTTCCCCCAAGATAAGCGACCCTGATCTACACGTTCACCGCGCTGCGTGCATCTCACCAAAACTCTATTCATTCCGTTCTTTCCCGATCAACCCTACACACTCTCCTGAGCGTACTTCACACACCCCATAAGACGAAAACAACATATCTCCATTTCGAGGAGACCTTGCAAATCCTACCAGTGGCTCGGGATTTTGCAGCCCTGGGAAGGAAGGAAACCACACTGCTTTTCTGCTTTAGGTCTTTGTTGCGAGTTTCGGACAAAAAATGGTGCATGTTGTATGGCCCGCGTCGGACTTTGACCTTGCTCGTCCAATCCCAAATCCCCCGGACACATATTTGCTGGCTGAGATCGGGATGATGGGAGTGGTTGGGCGTTCCCCCTCCCCCCCTTTCCCCGTGCGTATCCGCACGACTGGCGTTGTACGAGAAATGCGGAGACGATCGCGGAGAGCCGAAAGAATGGAAAAAAGTTCAAAAGGTTGGTTCGGTCAGCTTATTTTCCCCGGATTTCTATTCTTTCTTTCTCATCATTCCCGCTTCGCCTTAAATAGCCGTCGTCGCGCAACTCATCCGGTTCTGCTGACAAGGTGCCCGTGCCAGAGCCATACCAGTCACGTGATCAAACGCTTTCACAGCTCATCTACCTTCCCACATCTTGCACTAAGATTTCCCTGTCTCAAGCTCTCCCTCTATCTCTTCTTCTCGTCGATAAGTCTCAAGCCATTGAATCAATTGTGCAATCCCAATACCTCAATACAAAACTAAGCCATGCCCGCCGCAACCCGCACCCTAGAACACGCAGTCCTGCAAGCCCATCGTGCAAAGGGTGTACGCTACCCGACCGCCCACCAAAAAGACTGCTTTAAGACTTGGTACTCGTATGCGCTGCGCCAGGGTGAGGTGCAGAAGACGAGCCGCAAGGCTATTGAGGAGCATGGGAGGTTGCTGAAGGAAATTAGGGAGCAGGCGCCTGGAGGGAGGACGTATCTTTGATGAGGTAAGATATCATGTTACTAGAGGATTAAGTGTTTAGCTGACGTTGATAGGAAAGATATTGGCGGAGTTCTGGAGTTGACACGGGAGAGGCCGCCTGTGGTTTTGGTGATTGAGATGATGGGATTGTATTGTATGTAGTCTACCCAATTTGTTCTTGGAGATATCTTTAATCGATATATTACTTGCGATTACTCTAGCGAATTGGCTGTTTTTGAACGAATATTCGTTCCAATTCATGCGACTTGTATGGCTACACCTCGCACATTAACAAACCGTCACTACGAGAAAAGTGAACCGCTTATCCCAGTCTGGCACCGCACTCGATTTATGAAGTCAGTTTTTTATTCTTGGAATTTTAGATCGAATGTACGAATCATAAGAACATGACTTAGACGGGGGATCCCAACGCTGCAGAGAGCGACGCGGGATGAGCAAGTCTCATTGGGGCGGAGGCTTATCATCGCGTCATGCAGGCACCCCACTGCGGGATGCCGTTTGCCAATCATTCCGCGGCGTATAACGGCATCTAATGTGCCTCGGCAACAACTACTTGTTTGACTATAGAACGCCTTCTATACAACTATAATGCTCTAAACCCAAGGGTAGCCTGTCTATATCCTCAGTTCGTATAGGACATTGTTGAGTTCACCGCCACCACTATTCACAACACCACACGAACGAACAAGACGCACAATCAACATGGCACCAAGTTTCCGTGACATTGTCGGAATCCCACCGTCCACTGCATCTACCAGCGACTCCGCGCTGTTAATCATCGACGCGCAAAATGAATATGTACGTCCCCATCCCACTTCCCCTACCCCGCAGTGAAGCAGAATCGCAAATCTAACAACCCAAAAAGGCCTCAGGAAAACTCAAAGTAACAAACGCCGCAGAAAGCGGAAAAGCCATCGCAGACCTTCTCGCCAAATACCGCAAAACCGGTGGAAAAATAATCCACATCCTGCACAAGGAAGACGATGGCGCCCCCGTATTCACACCTGGAACCCATCTCGCCGATGAATTCCAGGAACTCACAGCACAAGTACTTCTATCCCTCCCTCTCTGCCCCCACCACCACGACGAGCTAGAAAAAGAAAAGAAAAACTAACCCACCCCCCAGTCCACCGAACCAACAATCTGGAAACAATTCCCCGGCGCCTTCGAGCAAACCACTCTACACGAAACGCTGCAGAGCATGGGTATCAAGAAGCTTGTTTTGACGGGCTACATGGCGCACGTGTGCGTGTCTACGACTGCGCGCGAGGGGTTTCAAAAAGGGTATGAAGTCTTGCTTGCAGAAGAGGCGATTGGGGATCGTGATATTCCTGGGGTGAGTGGTGAGGAGGTGAAGAGGGTGGCGCTTGCGGAGTTAGCAGATGTGTTTGCGACAGTTGTTAAGGTCGCGGATGTGGTGTAGGATGAGGGGAGAGGGATGGGTGGTTGAAGAGAGTAGATTTACTTATCGTAGAACTCGATAAACATTATATTGGATAAGACGGAACTTTAGTCACTGCTTCAACGGCAGAGATGGTCGATATAGATACTGCAAATGCGTTCATGAGTCTTTGCATATAGCAGCGACAGCGAGACCGTTTGTGGATTCCATTAAGAAATTGAACGTCTATCTTTACGTTCCGGAACGCACTATATTACTATTATAACGAATCTAGTCCTTATACCTATATTAGTTAGCGGCTAAGAATAGCTGTGGCGCAATGCCCACAGCTTTCCTAGAGGTCTTAACGGCTAGGCCCTCAGCGTCACTATCATAACACGACATAAGCGGCCATCGGTGTTTGGGTGTATAATGTGACTTTTAAAGTTATCATTAGATGCGCAGACCCGCGAAACGCTAGAAAAATTCATCACCTGTTCTTCCCCTACGCAGCGGGATTATTTAACCCATCCTTTGAAATTCGTAGCATGCTCTACTTTTTTGTCGCTAAAGCCTGATTTAGGAGATATGTCTTTCTGCCTTGATAGAAAAAGAAATTTTTCATAAAAATGCTTTCTCGTATCTGTAATTTGACTAGTTCTAAAAGTAACAAATAACTATCAAAATAATCAGATTTAAGGTTTGGTCAACACGGATAATTTCCGTGGGGCACGTGTCTAGCTATATTGTTAGAAGGGCTCCCGACACCTCTGTACCACATGAAGAGCGTGCTGAATATTCCTTCTTGTGTAAAAGAGAGAGAGTGAGTGATTGCATGAATATAGTCCACTTTTGATCAGGATTTTTCTTAAAGCATCCAACATGGACCAGGCGGAATCATGACTTCATGATATAGCTTCTCCTCAATTCCCGAATTGTGGCAAGTTCAGTGTCTTATTAGAAAATATTAGGTCCAGAAACAACACCTGTTACACCGCCAGATGCTCCTGACGGCTCTCCCGGCAACAACTATCATGGTGCATATCAATGCGGGACCTGAAAGCCACCTGCATTCATCGCCAGCTCCTACTATCCAGGACTCGGTGAGCGAAATGCCCATGTTGAGGATCATGTTATAAGGCAATGCACCGAGATTCTCAAACTCGCTCTCCAAGGTATTAAACTTTTGTGTGCTTCTGGGGACACTGGTGTAGGTAACGGAGATACTTGTAAATCATTCAATTATAATCATCTAAACGGATGTCTGCGGATATTAGCCCTAGGAAGAACAATGATCCGCTCTAATAAAACAGAGCGCGATAATGAAGTTACATGGGAAGATGGTCCCGCTGAAAACCAGCCTTGGAAGTCTTCATTTTTTTCTCTCGCTGCAGATTTTTGCAGTTCATCGAACGTCCGGTTTACCGAAAAACCGTGTTCGAGGAATAATGAAAAGTCATGATCTAGGTTATCCGTACTGGGAGTGGGGACAAACTTCAACGATACAAGACCCGGGTTTTACAACCGTGCTGGTCGATCTTATCCAGAGGTTGAAGCTAATGCTGGCTTACAATATCTACCTTGTGATAGAGAATCAGACATCAGCCGCGAAGTAACACATCTTAGAAAGAAAACTCTTAACAACTATAGTCTAGAGGAGAAGCGACATGAGGACAATACTGCTATATCGTTCCTCAGTAGAGCGGCGGCATCGGCATCGTCTAACTAGAATAGAATAATAGCAACTAGAGATAGAAGATCTGAATAGGCTCTTAGCTGACGTGGCAGCAGATAGTAAGATTTCACTGTCTCCACTTACAAAAGATACTCAATTTAAGCCATAATGAACGGGTGTAGGAAGTACTGCACCCACGAGCCCTACTTAGATAGACTGTAGGCATCTTTACCTTCTCTTCGGCGGTAGAGGCAGGTAGATAGGCACGGAGGGGTTGAACGAAGAGATGGTATAAACTAGAACTTCTTAACCCCACCCCTTTTCTATTGTATATAAAAAATCTCTCCGATGTCCCTGGCCTTGGATCGTGTTGTGTACATCAAGGCCGCTAGCGACTTTGTGCACCGACATAATACCACATAGTGTAGAAGCTATACCATATTTAGTAGAATCTACATTATAAGCGTCGTATTTTCTATATCAAATAATCCGAAGAAAGGCCTAAAGGTCCATTTTAGTGTCTCTACTGTACGAGAGTTATGTTATGTACCGCAGTATGAAGGATATTCTAGTAATTATAATAAGTGTCGAAGAACTGTATAAAGTCGCGTTGCCATGCACTACTGACTCTACACTCAAGTTTACTTAACGGAGAACAAATCACTTAACTACATATAATACCTTCACCTTCTATATCTCAAAATATGAAATTCCTGATTCTAACTACAATCTTTACTACGCTGGCCACTGTGGTTAGTGCTGAGAGTTTGTGTTGCACTACCGATTCATCTCCTAGTGGACGCTCCGGCCTCTGGACCTACTGTATTAGTATCACGATCTCGTATTACTTTATCAACTAACAGACACAGTGCCAAAAACATACCAATCCAAACACTCATCATGGGTGTGACAACAACCGGAACTTTCCAATTGGCCGCCAAAACGTCGACTTTTATCCAGGGTCTACAAGTTGCGGCCCCGGCAATGCGGGAACATCATGCGCAGGCCCCTAGGAGGGGTAGGGTTGGGTAGGGTTTAGATATCGTCAAGAAATCTATCAGGCAGTAAGCAAATGTATTCGAAATGCAAATCCCCAGCGCGACTAACATTAGTCCTTCTATAGTGAATAATTATTTCGAGTTTTGTTATTAGTCCAGCGTTATCGCGGAGGAATGAAGACATGATAGCTTCGGCACTAAATAAGATTACGAGGTATTCTCGCCATAGCTACCTAAAGGCAACATTAATCCATGTTTGACGAGAAACCTTGTGTGCCAAGAACGGCTAACCATGACACAATCTCGGTACTTCGGCGACAGATGACCTAGTAGGTGGGAGGTTAGGCCGGAGATGCTCTAGAGCGAGAGTTTAGTTAATATGAGCGCGCGCTGAGGTGGGTGAACTGTCGCAAAGGCACTGTAGGCAAGACAGGTACATAAGTAGCGTACATGCAAGCAAGATGTAGAAGAAAATTCCAAGTACTACGATTCCTGTTTTACTATTATGGTTACGTTGTAATAGTCATGTAATAGTAGTGAAATTAGTGGGATCTTGACAATTTCGGCCACCGGATGAGCCCACTTCCATCCCTACTACCGTACATCTCTACTCAAGCGCTCGCCACCCTCTCCTTACCCCACACACTCAGTGCCCAAACCCCCCTCACAACCCCCTCCTCCTCATAACTCCCCCTCAAACTCATCCTCCCCTTCTCCCCCTGCCACCGTCTCAACTCCTCATAAACCCCCACAAGCACATCCTTAAACTCACTACTCGGCCTCCCCCTCCACGCACACCCTCCACCCCCAATCTTACTACAGCACCGCTCGACTACTAAATTCACGACTTCGTGTCTGCGGGAAGGAAAGGGGTGTGGAGCGGGGAAATGCGCGATGCCCTGGCTGATCAGCACGGTGTAGAGGTGCAGCAGGTCGAAGTAGCGGACGGAAGCCGGTGCGGCGGCTTGCATGATGAAGTCCCAGGAGATGTGATCGGAGTTTAAGGGGATACAGGCGTTTGCGCGCCAGATGAGGCGATTTGTACGCGAGCTTGTTGTGAGCCATTTGAGAAGGACGGCGCCTGCGTTCGCGGTTAGACGGGCGAGGCGGACGAGGGGGATGGCGAGACCGGCAGCGATGTCGGGTCTCCCTAAGGAGTCCCAGGATGCAGAGATGAGGTTGTAGCAGTCCAGCACTGGATCGGGGGTTTGGTCTGGGGAGGGACGTGTGGTGCGGATTGTGTGTGTGAGGGCGGGGATGATGGCTTGGTTGAGGATGGAGGTTACGGAAAAGGAGCCTCTGGGGTGGCTTTTCCAGAGGTTCTGGAGGCCTGACCAAAGTTTTCGCATGAAGACTTGGAGACGCTCGTTGGGTTGGTGACAAAGTTCCTGCCATATCGACTGTACGTTGAAGGAGCCCCGGGGGTTGGGCTTCGGGACTAAGATATGGCGACATGTTGGGCAGGCATTTGTGTTGCCTCGCCCGCTGGTAAGCCATTTCTTAATACAGTTGTGGCCAAATATATGCTGGCATGGGAGCGCTACAGGTTGGTGAGTCGTGCTGAAGGGCTCAGTGCAGATGCTGCACGCATCGACTGGGTGAAGTTGAGTGTTGATAAATCTCTCCATTACGAGGTCTTGAACGAATTACGGTTGAACAAAGAACCGAAATGAGAGGCAGTAATCACCTCTCGCATTAATTTAGGTCGACATGTTCGTGAATCCGGATCAGGCATGAATGGCAGGTGTAAACGAAGTGTTTGTAAAAGGCCAAGGGCGAGAAGTTTGCAGCTTCACTAATATCGTCTCGTTTGGAGGCATGAATATAAGCGAAATCCCATAAATAGTCAATGGAAGACTTTTCTGATGAACATCTTTGCATCGTTAGTTACCTTGTCAAGTTTCCACCCTAAGTAAATGTCCTGTTGCTTAAAAACTTCCGTTAGTGATACGAACATCACTCTCCGACTGTTTCAAAATAAGGACGAACTACAAATACAGCAAACCTTAAGAGAATTGCTGGAACATCCAACAACTTCAATAAGTATCGTGCAATTTGTTTTTGGTAGACACGTGTTCGCGTCGTCCTTGTGTCGTTGCCATGTATTCACATCCAGCGTATCAGTGGCCAAACGCCGCAGCTGAACAATGACTCCAACAATTCATTGGCCATCAACGCATTGTCTAACACAACGTCCCTCGTTTGTCCTTCACCGCTCCAATCACAGCGCAGATCAACGCGCAATCACCCACACAAAGTCCTTGTCTCGCAATCAGTAAAGAAACTCTCACACCTCTTATTTACAGCCAACATCTACTGCAATATACCTCCCAGCACTGCAAAAACATCTCCATAACCCATACACACATACACCATCTCTCGCTAGAAATCCAGGACAAAATGTATTACGAACCAAGCATAGACCCCCTAGAGGAGTACGAATGGAGCAAACTCCCCTACAAACTCACAGTTCTAGTCCCGCCACGCCCACCGCGCCGCTGGATGTCGCTAAGACCAGGAGGCACTTCGACTCGCCAAAATGCGCATGACATCCCAGAACTGCCGCGTCCAAACTCGCATGCTGACTTTAGCCGCGTGTCGCTTGAAGACTTGCCGGGTTTGCCGACGAAAACGGTGGTAGTGAAGAGCGATGCGTTTCCGTGGGATATGCGGTGTAGGCATTCGCGAGGTGCGCATGGAGCGGCAGTAGGGGTAAGAGGATGTAAAGGGGGATGTTATGTGTTGGAGAAAGGAGGTGAAGTAAGCAGCTGGAAGTGCGCGAGCAGCGAGTGTGAAGGGCATGTGTACTGCGGAAAAGTGATGAAAGATAAAGATGGAGTTTGCTGTTTTGGGAAAAAAGGGGAGAGACTGGTCTGTCTTGAGCCATGAGAACGAATTATCAAAATCCGGGAAAAAGGTCTTCTTAGTTGAAAGTATGTTTACTTGCGAACGGTGGTTTCAAAACAGCATGAGAATTTTATATCATTAAAAAAGAGTAAATAACTGGGTATGATAGACTTTGGGCGGTTCGTGGTGTCGGTTTCGTGACGCGGAAAACTACTCGAGGTTTTTGAAGTAGGACGGTAAAATCTCCTCCAAAACGTTTACAAGAAGAAAGCAGCAGCGGCACCGAGACCTGCCAAAGCAGGAACCATGGCCATCAAGGGCGCAGCGTTAGTAGCCTCAGGGGCTGCTGATGAAGCCTGGGAAGTACGGGAAGCTCCAGAGCTAGCAGCCACCTCTGATCCGGAAGAAGTGGGCTTGGCGGAGTTGGTAGCGGATGGCTTGGAAGAGGTGACTGAAGCACTGCCGGCAGAAGGTGTAGCAGCTGCAGAAGCGCTGGGGAGCAGGTTCTCACCAGATGTAACGACAACCTGAACCATGTTGAAGTAACCGTCTGGCAGTGTTGTAGTAGTGGTCGTGTCAAGATCTCCCTCACTGCACAGCTCGTCCTCAGAATCGGCACTTGCACATGCTGAGCTGATGGCGGCCTCGAGACCCTTTGTCGACATGGTGCATGTAGCTTCCTGATCATCGGTGTTCTGGCGTGTGCATTGTCCCATGATGGTGACAGTCACACCTTCGTTCTCGGCCACAGCATTGACTGCGTAGAAGGTGTTGCCTTGAAGAGTGACTGTCTGGCCTATCTCGGCTGCCGCACCTAGGTCTTCCTGAACTTGATATAAGTATGTGTTAATAGAGCCAAACTTTATCTCTGCTTACGGTCATGCCCTGAACGTCAAGAGACATTGTAGTACGATCATTTTCAACAGCGATTACGGAAGCAACATACGAAAGGCTGTAGCTTCCGGTGCCCGCCATCCATGCCGAAGTGGTCAATTGCGCAGCCGCGCATGAGACAAGAAGAGCGGTGGAGTAAATCTTAGACATTATGCTGATTTGGGTGTTTTGAACCGGGATTGGTCTGTCGTTGGAAAAGAATGTGCGATTATTAGGCTAGGAACAACAAGCAGTAACGAGCGAAGCTTAGCTGTGAAGGCGTAGATCGGGATACCGCAGTCTATTTAACCAGGAGGACTTTGGCTGTCTGCTTGCATGACAGCGGGAACAACGCACGATGCAGGCGGCCTTAGGCGCACAGCCCCTGGATATTGATCCGCCTAGTACATTTTCAGGCTGATTGGCCACTAACCTGGGCTAGCTGAAACCCATTCCAGATCGTTGCCTAGAAGAAATTATGGAAAATTCTCCACAATAGTATGTATGCAGCAGAGCAGGGCATTCATCAGAATGGGCATCGCACGAGGCTTGCAGCGCTGTAAATGGCTATGGTGTTGAACTGCTGACAGTGATCTGGCCAGCGATCTCAAGGTCCAAAGGCCCTTGCTCTTCTGGTCCGCCATGCATAGCCTCTGCTACACCGATAATTCAGTTGTGTATTGATCCTATCGCTAGGGTTCGATGATTTGAACGGCTTGGCCTGGTGTGCATTCGTTGAGGCGTGTTTCGGGCGTCGCCTTGCGAACCAATGCCGGGGTGATGGCAATCTCGTTAAGCCAGCCTGGAGTTAGCGCGCCCTAGCACAATATGGAGCAAAGGGGCCATCGGTTCGACGAGAGCGCAATAGAAGCCGGATCACGTTGTGGACGTCAAGTTCAAGGTGTATAGTTGACGTCCAAAAGAGCAGGGAACATAGATCTTGAGAGCGACATGCGCCAAGACTTTATGACATAACATGACACCAGACGTCGATGATCAACGCATCGGTCTCGACTGCTGCGGCCCGCGGATCTCGTCAAATTGAACAAGGATTGATTGCGCAAAATTACAATAATGAAATGAGCCGGGTATCGATAATAAATAGCACGGAAACGCAACGCTGACACCGCTCTGTACGCAATCAATATCGCCACAGGCCTTCACGAAGCACAAAACAGTGCCCCGATATAGCCAAAATCAGCTTGCATCTCTCCGACCAATGCAAGCCAGTCACCAAGTTATCCTTCCACCACTTCATCTCCCATCAACTTCCTTTTCTTTTGTCGCTTGGTTGAGCAGTGTCTTAGGCTTCGTCGTTGTAGTATTGCGCGCCACGACGCATACCACTCGAAAAATTGTAGTCGTCATCGTCGTTGTCTCGTGCTCGAAGAAGCTCCTTGCTCCAGCCCTGGAATGGCTTCTTGAGCGCAGATCGAAGTGAAGAAGCTGACAATGCGTGGTGCTGAACCGACGAGTTGGATGGGCCAGGGGTTGCGGTCACAGAAGAGCTACGGCTCGAGGTTTTGGAGGTTGATTCGACCATGGTGAGTATGGAAAGAAAATAGCGAATGAGTTATGTTATCTCAAGAGTCGTATTAATGAAGGGCGTTGCGTAAGTTGAAAAGATGGTATTTGAACGACTGATCTGTGACTTGAAGGTTCTGCATTGTGGCGGTATATATGCGTTTGCAGACCGTGATTTTGCACCAAAGCAAAACCGAGCCATCGCCGAATGGCTTCACATGAATAGTTGTTACTATCTTGACCCACATTAAGAGCCTCACCCACATGGTCGCTGATCAGCCGTGCCCCGTTACTCCAGCTCTTGATTGGCGCGTGGTGTCGATTAAAACTCGGGTATTCGGAATTGCTCGGCGAAATTGAGAATTCGGGAGTACCCGGACACAAGATTTGACAGCTCAAGTCGTCATTGGACGATAACAGGTTTTTGCAGCTGTCTAAAAGATGGTTCTTTAGAATCTAGAAAACATAGTTCAAAATTTCGACGCCTCCGGTGAATATGCGATGACTCGAGAGCCGGGCGCAAACCACGTGATATATCCTCGCTAAAAATAATATCAAAAGGGGGATTCGCTATTGGTAGTCCACTGGATTGCTCGCCCGACGATGAACTGCCCATCGGGATTTGAATATAACATCTCCTTATTGTTCAAGTCATCACCATTATGAGCTACGAAATTCCCAATCTGGTGGAGGCTCGAGGTAAAGCGGATAAGGGTGTGCCCTACAAAACACCAGTACAATATAACAGCTGGGCAGCAACATCGTGTAGCACTATCACCATGCTTGCTATTCATGAATGCAGCATAGAGTCACTCAGATCTGCTGCAGTTTTCAGAGACTCAACTTTTTGTCGTCAGTACAAGAGTCGTGCGCATTCTTGTCACAGCGGGTGCAGCGTTTCTTAGTGTGTAGCCTCTTCGCAGGCGTCGCGCCGTCTTTATAACTACCACCCCCTATCTTGGCCACTACAGCAGCGACTCAGTTAGACTTAGTGTCGCTCTATTCCATTACCACTCCCCCTTGCAGAGAACCCTTCATGACAATCATCAACATTCTCATTGGCTATCATACAAAGTCAAACGCACATGATCTTACCTTCACGCCCGCATAGTCAACACTCGGTGTAAAACACAAAAGAAAAAGTAAATGCACAAACACGAGCGTGCAGTCAGATCGCGCACCGTATCGATTGAGTTATTTTTGCAATTGGACCAATCAAATGAAGTTGGCAGAAAATGCCCTTACATCGTATTGCTTACTTTCTCCACACCGCTGGTGGCTATAATTAGCCACTAGTAAGTAATGTGAGTGCGGAACATCAGCACTTACACCTCTTATCCAACCAGAGCACCTTGCGAACTCTCCGAACAATTCCAAAACTTTGAAGTCTGGATGATGAAATTGTCGCCCACATTACGCCACTGGCGATATGATGCTTAGTATTGTATAATTTAATCATAGTGTACATCAATTTCGGAACTACTCATCCGTCTTACACGTTACATCTGACATTCGTGTACCTACGGTGGTTAAGTAAAAACAAAAACTTGAAAGTCAAAAACTGGTTGTGAAGATCGTTATACATGTGCGAAAGGAGATGCGGAGATACATGTCTGAGGATCTAGTAAAGTTGCATGTGGAATAGGAAAATTGTTGTGCAGCGTTCATCCCTTTAATCTGCACAGATATTAGCCGCACGAGAAGCCACAGTTAACCTACCCAAATAATATGTGACCTAAAAAAAGACCACTCTTGCCTCTCTTCTGCCCCTCCCGACTCCGCATTTCATTCCGGTTCGTCTACACCTCTGCACAGCTCCCGGACTCATTTCCGTCTGCACTATTTGCGCCACAAAAAAGAAAATATACTTCAAATACGTGAAAATTACTGCCTTAGGTCCAGGGCGAGTTTCTAGACCGCCCGATATGTGGCTTGACGTTAGAAGATCGTGACATTAAGCTTTCGTACTTCCAAGCACGAGTAAAGCCGAAGCCACTTCTTAGCACCGATCAAGCTTCTCCGACACAAGTAAATCTTAAACCTTAGTTACGAGAAGCATCGGCTATCAAGGGGGGGCGGGGGCACAGGTAGACTAGAGGAGGGAAAAAATAACATATAAAGACACTGCCGCCAGGACAACCAGTTCCAACATCACCACAGCATTCCATCTACCATTCTTTACTACAATACCCTTCAACCCACCCCAACAACGACAAAAACAACACAGCAACCATGCAATTCACCACCACCGCCCTCCTCACCCTCATCGCGGCCGTCAGCGCCGCCCCCTCCATCTCAGACATCGGCTACTGGAACGTAACCATCTACCACGACTTCCACACCGGAGCAGGCTATACCGAGAAACTGCACGCCGAGTTCAACTCCCCTTACTACAAGAAGCCCCTCGTCACGGACTGCACAGCCAGTTATACGTTTCGCAACGGACGTACAACACCCGTCTGCACGCCCAACTCGCTTACTTATTCGTACGATAATCAGACTGAGAGTAAGTTCTCCCCTTTCCTCCCTTCGTCTCTTCTGTGTGTGTGTGTGTGTGTGTGTGTGTGTGTGTGTGTGTGTGTGTGTGTGTGTTTTTGTTTGGGAATGGGGATGAGATGGAGATAAAGAATAGCTTGGCTAACGAAAATTCTTTTGCAAAAACAGTCTTCAGTATGCGCCAGTGCATTACCAAGCCAGCCAAGTTGGTCGCGACGGGAAACCACAAGGTTGACATCAAGGTCAATGGCGGAAAGGATCTTCGTCCTTATACCGGCAACTTCATCGTCCCTGTTTTGGATCGTGAGCCTGAGAAATAAATTGGTGGATGTGAGATTCACTGGTGTGGAGTGGGCGGGCGGAGAGTGTGGATAGGTGGAGGAGGGCATGGAGGGGAGGAGAACGGTTGAATTTGCAAATCAATTGGTGAGATAGGTGGTGATTACGTTCTAGATATATAATTGTTTTTTCCCAAATAAAACAGATTACGGTTTTTGAAAAAATAAGCCCCTCGATTTAGATGTCTCCCCTGTATTTCGCTCTCGCACCACCAAATGTGCCGTGGAATCCGAAGCTCATAGGTCCATGCATATCTGCTCTGCCCAAGACGCTCAGGTCCTTTGCTTTGAGGACAAGTAGGTAGCTCTTCTCCTTGTATCCGTCAAGTACTACACTCAACAGAACACCGTCGTCTTCCTCGGTGCCCTCTGGATCAGCAATGAAAATTGGCTCACCGGGCGTGTGACCTTCCACCTCCCAGAAGATAGACTTCATCGTGTGGTTATCAAATTTGACGATGCCGTCGAAGAAGGTTGATCGGAGACGGTCAGCACAGCCGTAGGTGTAGCGGTGGGGACGAAGGAGGTAGGCTGGGTTGATGGTGCCGAGTTCCATGGAGTTGAACTTCTCCGCCTTAAATACAAGTTCAGCTGGCAGAGGTGTTGTAGGAGGCAAACCGGCGTCGACGCTGGGGAGGCGGAATCGTGTCTGCATGGGGAGACAAGACATGCGCTTCTCGCCGTTGAATTCTGGTGTGTCGATGGAGGAAATGATGTTGTCATAGTAGAAGCGCTTTACAACGTCGAGGTTCTCGAACATGCTCAGTTCCACAATGACGTCGGTCTTGCTCTTATCAGAGGCAGACGGTTCTTCCCAGGCATTGATGCTATGGAAGCAGAAGAAAGGGTCGCTCTCAAAGGTTGCAACCAGACCCTTGTCTGATTTGCGATCGACGACGTACCAGCGGGCTTTCGAGTTGGGATCGAAAGGAGCAATGGCGTCGACAATGTTCTTGTGCCACAGAAGCCCAATGCCGTTCCATGTGATGTGAGAGTTCCAAACGCAGACAATGACATAGCTCTCAGACAGGAAAATAGAGTGAATGTATGCTGGTGTACCGGGGAAGGTCGCAAGAATTTCTGTTTCTCCTGTGGCCGCCGATACGCGGAAGACGCGATATGTGCAACCAAGAGCACCGAACTCGAGATTGAAGTTGTACATGTCGCCCGTGTTGGGGTCGGACTTTGCATGCGCGGCGGAGAAGGGCCCTCTGAGGTCTGGGTGGAGGGCGGATTGGCGAGCATACCCCTTTGGCTCTAAAGTCTCAGGATCAATCAACTTGAGAGCGCTAGAATCTGTCTTCGCACACAGCGTCTTTATGCCACTGGTATGATTGCTGGTCTCGAGTGGCTTACCACGGGCAACCTTTTCGCTTCCAGGCATGTTGATGGATAGAGTCACTCCAACGTTCTTCTCGTTCTTCAGCTTGGGTACGAATATGCTCATGACCTTTTGGAAGAAGCTCTCGCAGGGGTCGCGCTTCGCACCGAAAGTCGCAGTCTCAAGCTTGCCGGTGGTGCGAACCATGTTGATGTACTCGTCTACTGTACGTCTGGATCGATAGGTGACTTTGGGAGTACTGCTACCATCCGGGAAGTCGATCTGGAAGCGATGGACGCAGGAGAAGCCGTCGAACCAATGTTTTGCTGCCCATATTTTGCCATCGTCTGTTTTCGCCTTGAAGCCCAGAGGTCCTGTCCTGTAAAGAACACCTGCAGCATATCGTGGGATGTTACCGTGAACGGCGAGCTCGACGGGTTCGTGCTCTTGATAATCCGTGTCGAAACCAGCAGTATTAGGCCAGACATCAGTTGTTGCGACGACCATATTGGGCTATGTCTAGAAAAGAGGTCGGGGTCGACTTGATCGGTAGTAAAAGACTTAAAGTGAATTGGTAGATTAGAGCTGAAAAGGAGATGAAGGTTGTACTTGAAATGAAACTGGCTCAAGACGTTCACTCTGAATAGTCCGAGAGTAAATGTAGTGTTGAAGGATGGTTCGTTGTCTGAATGTCGTCTGTTCCTTCATCTGGGAATTGCTCTTATATATAACGAGCCATATCAGGTGAGCTATGCCACAGTCTTGTGAAAGTGGATTCTACATTGCCCCTCAACGGAGACGCCGGGATGCCATGACATCTAGCGTGCGTATGGCGTAGTATGGACCGTAATGCGCTCTCTCAACGCCAAGTGCATACATCTCAGTCGCGTTCGTCAGCGCTTGTTTCGCCGATTCTGAGGATGATTTGCTTCTCAGATAACATGATTGGTGAGGGTTGCGGGTGATAATCCGGTATTGTGACTATTCCCCACACCCAAGAGATCTCTGAGACATCACAAAAATATCGCAAATGTCGGTAATTGGTGGCATGAACGACTTCTGGACCAGAATTGCATGTAATGTGAACCCTTTCGACCGTACAAGAGCGATTCTTGGCGCTGCACTACGGGTCGGGCGGCTGAGTTGTGGCTGGTGTCCCACACGTTTGAGAGGAGGATGGAGGAATAAACCTCCGATGCTGTTAGTTTCGGCCGCAAGTCTATGCAACGGGCGGCCACTGTGACCAAAATGCTATTCTTTCCGAGCCCCTAAGCTGCATTGGGCGAATGCGGGGCGCAAGCCTGGTATGTCCTTTGCTCAGTTGTGTAAATTGTGCCACAGGCGAAACAGAAGTTACGGCCGTAAGGAAGAAAGTTAGCCCGTTGCTACCAGTGCGCAAAGTATAGGCATTTAGCAATGGAATTCATCTTTTTTGTTATCACAATAAGCCTGAGAGACGGTATAGTCAAGACCAGAGCCGAAGGAGTAGCAAAGATCTCGCAAGCTATGCTTGGTTGATATGGCTGACCTGCGCAATCATCAAGGTTGAGCGCTAGTCCCAATGCGGCGCTAGCGGACCAAACTCCCGCCGTTGCGAGCGGAAGGGCGCTGTTGCATCATCAACTCCAGACTCACTTTCACACAAATGGCCACTCACCAATACGTTTACACGTCCCCTCGCCGATTTTCAGGACAGTAAAAAAGTACTCAGTAAACTGAATCTCAATCGACTTTCTCCATGGGACCTTGAGCCAAGTCGATCCATCCGGAACGACATTGTCGCTTCAACACAAATTTCCAACCCCCAAACTTTGTCCCCCGGAAATAAGTCAAGGAGACAGCGAAACAACCACGAAAATGGGGGCCATACTATCTCTTCCCTTCACCCTACTCAACTTCCTCCTCCCATTCACCCGCGCCGGCACACCACTATCGCAAGATCTATTACACACAGCCATACTCTGCGGAACCCTATATTTTGCCCCGCAAATCGGTGAATGGTACAATGCCCGCCAACAAGGCGCTCACCGCACGCCTTCGGACCAGACAGACACGCACGAACCCACAGATCAACCCGGCAACGACCTCCCAAACAGCGACACACAAGCCGCCGCCGACCCACCCCTAGATGAGCGCCTTGTCTTCCAAGACGACGACGAACCCGACACCACCCCCGGCGCCGCCCGACCACGCGCACCCACACCACCACCAGCGCCCCGCCACCAAGCCCACGTCGAAGACGACGAGCACCGCGACCCCTTCGCCCCAGGCCCCGCCAACCCGCCTCCGCAACAACCCGCCCGCGCAACCCCCACCCACCGCACCGTCGGCACCAAAAAAGCAAAGTCCCTCGCCCGCAGAGACCAGCAGCGCGCGTACAACGAGTGGCTCCGCCAGGAAGCCGAGATCCGGCGTCGACAAGAAGATGAGGGCCGCGAGGAGCGCGAGGCGGCGCTCGCACTCGAACGAGAGCGTCGGGCTGCGGCTGAGGAGGTGATTCGGGCAAAGGAGCGAGAAGAGCGGGAGGCGCTGAAGAGGGAACGCGAGAGGGAGGCGGACGAAGAGGCTGAGAGGAGGGAGCGCGTGGTTAGTTATGTAAAGAATAGGATTGAAGAGGCCGGATGTGTGGATTTGGTCGAGGCGGCGTGGAAGGAAGGCAAAGATAGAGTGTGGGTGGAGAGATTGGTCAGGGCATCCGGATTACTGGGCCAGTTGACGACAGAAGGGAGGACTGTCATGCTCACCGGCAGGGACTGGCTCGTTCGCATTGATCAGCAGATCATGGACAAGGCATATGCTGAGGCGGAGCGCTTCGGCCAGGAACACGGCGGTAAGGTGGCCTTTGAGGATTTTGGAAACATCCTGCAAAACGTGGTACTGCGGGGCGTAGAGGCGTGAAAGCAATTGGCTATAACGAAAAGGGCCGTTTTTTTCTTTTTCTTCTTCTTTTCATCGGACTCAAAAGTACTGTAAAAAAAAGGGAAGGATAATACCCCATTAGACGGATTCATGATACGATATTTCTACCATCGTTGACTACATCAAAGGCTGGTGGGTGCACTACTGTATCCTACACAGTATGCACCAATACTCCAGTCTCTCCGCTAAAGGAAAAACATGTTCCTTTCGGGGGACCTACATCACCCTGCACGCAACAAAGTCGAATTGCTTTGAATTTGGTATCGTATTGTCCATTTTTTGTCATGCAACCATGAAAGAGGAGGTCTTATTCACCTAGAGAAGCCATGTCATGCATAAGATCCCCCAATCCCGTCCGATCAAAATCCGACCAGAACAGCCATTCGAAAGAACTCCATCCAGAGACACCATGCACACACATACACAGAATGCACGCCCTTATCGGTTGGACTTGGCGACACGCTCGAGCTCATCCTTCTTCTTGATGGCGTACGAGTTGCTGCTTCCCTTGGCAGCGTTGATCAGCTCCTCAGCAAGGCACTCGGCAATGCTCTTGATGTTGCGGAAAGACGCCTCACGGGCACCAATGGTAAGGAGGGAGATACCCTGGTTGACACGGCGGAGAGGAGACACATCGACGGCCTGGCGACGGACGGTACCGGCGGAACCAATACGGGTGGAGTCTTCACGGGGACCGCAGTTGACAATGGCGTCGACGGCGACCTGGATGGGGTTCTGGTCGGTCATGATGTGGATCTGCAATTGTCAGCCATCTTGCACCAACTCTTCTTTTCCTTGCCAATATTGCATTTCTGGATTTTTTTTAGAGCGGGTAGACGTACGATCTCGAAAGCGTGGGCAACAATGCGCACAGCCATGAGCTTCTTTCCGTTGTTGCGGCCGTTCATCATGAGCGAGTTGGTGAGGCGCTCAATGATGGGGCACTGGGCCTTCCTGAATCGCTTGACAGCATATCGGCCGGCCGAGTGTGAGATGTAGACGGGAGAGCGGATCTGGATGTAGTCGCTGCGGCTTCAGTTAGCCGAAGGTCTCGCAGCGCAATACAAAAAGAATCCAATGCCATCACAATATTCCTTCATGTATGTGTGCGGCGCAAGATCGTGGTAGGGGAAACGTACGTCAATGAGATGTCGCGGACTTCGACCTCCTCGTAGGACCACTGTGAAGTGTTAGATTCGCTTCGCGTTGTAGTTTTCGCATTGTGCCTGCCTTGTTGAACAGCTTCACGCTGCCCTGCTCCTCGGCGACATCCTTGGGAAGGATGTTGATACCGGTGGGGTTCTCGACCTCGATTTCTCCGTTGTCAGACATGGTTGCGTTTGTCGGTGTGTGAGGGAGAAAGAGGGTTGGGCGTCTTAGTCGTTGTCGCTGAAGTTCGAGTGAGTGTCTACAAGGGAATTTCGCTAGTGTGTGTTCGCCAATGGTGCGCTAGTCGCGCCTTGGCGCTAGACCACCGACCGCCTTTGCATTCTGCCACGACCCGCTAGTGAGAAAACAGCCGAGTACCAGGTCATGGGATGAATTACTTCCGCTACATTATCCACAGACTTGTTCTCATGCTGATGGCATCCGTTGGAATTGCCTAGCACTGTCACGGACAACACACTATCTATTCCCTGCTCAGAACTTGCAGCCATTCCGCTCACATCAATGTCTAGAATAGCATACACAAACGCAGTGTTCCGAAAGTGGTTGAACAGATATCAAAAATTACAATAACTATACTATATATTCATCATCCGTAAAGCATAACTGTGGTATATAACGCAGTTTTAGCCTACCCAAAACAAACATAAGAGATATAGAACAAAACGCCAAATCAGCCAAATGATGCAGCAGTGGCAGCCCCAACTCCATGCAATGCCGCTAAGCGCAAAGTAAAGCCGCGAACGGGGAAATCAAGTAGTATCACGACTCTCGCTGCGCCCTGGGCAGCACACCAGGCACCAACGTCACAACGCGCTTATCATCTAGACAATCATTTTTGCGCCCTTGACACGCTCCGCATCCTTGACACACTCCTTACCCTTGGGATAGGGGCACTGATGTCTCTCCGGTCCTTCACTCCCTCAAACATCTGTTTCATTGGCGTTCCTTGGCCAGCAGCCATGCTCTTAGCGCGGCCGCGTCGTTCGCGGATGGCGGCAAGGGCAGCCTCCCGGTCAATACCCAGCTTATTCAATGACAGCTCGCTCAAGGCAGGTGTCTGAGCATCTGCTGCAGCATGGGCGACAGTCGAGGGTGTCATAGGGCCTCGGCCTGCCTTGAATGCCGGGGTTGCGGGCGAGAAATGTAGTGGGATCGTTGTTGTGGTAGTAATGGTGCGGGTAAGGTAGGGTGTAACAGGACCAGTAGGCTCGGGTTCTTGAGTTGCTGGGGACGCATCGTCGTCGTCACTGTCCTCAACAGCATCCTCGTGAATGTTGATATCTGCTGACTTGCCCTTGCGGCTCTCTCGCACAAAAGCTACGCGAGACGCTGGACGAGACTCTGGAAGAGAGACCTCAGCAGGAGGTGGCATGGCTCTTGTCTCAAGATCCATCGGCGGTGCCTCACTCATCTCCACTACAAGTGATGGCTCGGGCGGGACGGCTGTTGACTGTGCTTTGACTGGGGAAGGCACAGAGCGGAAAGTACCTGTTACTGGCGAGAAAGCAACAATAGTATCTGGCTCTTGGGCGGGTTGTTCAGCCACTGGCGTGATGGGACGCTCAGCTTCGCCAGGCTCTTGCTTCATGACTACATCTTCCATGACATCGTCTTCGTGGTTGCTAGCTGGAGGTGTAAATGTTGACTTGATACGCTGCATTTCGGCTTGGAGAGAGTCATCGTGAACGAATTGCTTGCCCCTGGTCTCGGCAATGCGGCATGAGCAGCACTGGAACTGGCACTCCATCTTCATGTAGTCAATCTGCTCCTCAGCACGCTCGCGGGCGCGCTTTTCTGCAGCTAGCTCTTGCTGGATGAACCTCAGCTCGACTGCACCCTTCTTCGGTGAGACGTTTTCCTTGTCATCATCCTGGCGAGAGTTGTTATGTTGCTTGCGTGGGGATCGGACTGGTGAGGCGAATTCGTCGCGTTCGTCATCCTCGGCGGAGGGTAGCGGTATCTGGCCCTCGGCAGCGATACGTAAGACCTCTTCCTCTTTGAGACTGGTCTTGAGAGCATCGCGTTCTGCCTCAACCAGGCTCAACTTTTCCTTAAGTGCCTGCAACTCTTCGCTGAGGCGAGTGTTGGTGCTTTCGACTTCGACCTGCAAGCTGTAGACGTCGTTCTTGTATTTGGCAGCTTCCTCAGTCTTGAACTTGACATCTGATTCGGCCCGCTGCAAATTACGCTGAAGGGTCTGAATCTTGGACTGGAGCTGTGGAATCATGGATGAATGTCGGAGCTTATCGTTGTTCGCCTCGATCCACTGCTTCTTGTAGCTTTTGTATTTGCCCTCGAAGACTCGGCTCTGGTTTTCGGCTTCAATCTGTACAGTGTGAGATTCATGTAGTCAGCCAAACGTGTAAGCAAAACTCACCATCTTGTGCTGCATGCCCTTCCATCGCTCTTCGTTCTGCTTAAACACAGTCTCCCATTGGTTAATGGCAGCCTTGTTCGCCTTGCGTTCCTTCTCATAGCGTTCCTTTGTAATAGCAACCTCGAGCGAGCCACTAGCATGCTCAAGTTCGCTCTTCAGCTCTTCGATGCGAATGTCACGCCGGCTAATTGCCATTTCGTGCTCCTTCTCCTTTTTCGCATGCTCCTTTTCCATCTTGGCCAGCTTCTCTGCGTTTCTCATCCTTTCCTTTTCTAGCAATTCCTTGAAGCGTCTGGACGCTTCTCTTGGGTCCTTAACTTCGAGGTTCTCAAACATGCCGGTAAGAGCTGTGACGGAGACGTCCGAATCGGTTCGACGGTGGGTGTGTCGTAGCGGTGAGTGGGTGCGAAGTGGCGGTGTTGATGGGGACATGACGGGTGATGCACTTGCAGAGTCGCCATATAGCGATTTCATGGCACCACCACGGTCGGGGCTGGCGGGGAAGACGGGCATTCCAGGGGAGAAAGCCATTTTGTTTGGTGAGACGGGCAGAGGCGGATCCAGCTGGACCGGGGATTCTTTGAGGCGCGCCAACTTGACGGTATTGAAGGGTTATGTATGTCTGAGGAGAGAATTCTTTTTTTCCGAAAACAAACTCGACACAAAGTTTGGTGCCCTAAGGAAGATGTGCTGCGCGATAATGTGATGTGTGGTGGTGCGAGCGTAGACGACCGAGTGTAAATAGCACTAGTTGGCTGTCATCCAACGCTACTTCCCTGTACCGTAGCAACCCGCACGGACCATCTCATCTTGCAAACCCCGCGTCATTCGTTCCCTGCATCTGAACTGGGCATCCCGAACACATATTTCTCTTGGGTACCTTGTGCAGTGTAGACCCTTTTTCTCCCTGATTGAAGATAGTCTGGGAACGCATGATAAAGACAAGATGTTCAATTACTCGACCAGACAGCTGCAAAGCCTGTTCGAAAATGCCTGTATGGACATGCCTCCTTTGAGGATTCCTGCAATCAGTGTATGATGCACTAAGCAACACAAATTCTATATGTCCTACATTACACGGTTTCGGGTGTGATGGTCTGATTTCTGTACGTCTTTTTCGGAATTTGCGAGAATAACTTTTTGCCCCGATCCACTCCGCTGAACAAGACAATGGAATTAAGCCATTAATCTTGCATGAAAGACTAATCACAGATGGGATATATCCCCATGCAGATCCATGTTAAGATGCTACTAATACAAGAATATTTTTGATATGCTCTCGTCAGCTGTATATTGTTAGATCGCTCAAGTCTTTTTCCAAGATTCTAGGCCCTAAGAGCGAAATTGCAAAGAGTGGTAGACGCTGATAAGAATATTATTGATAGGGTTCTGCAAACAGCGACAACTTCTACAAATATCAATCTAGTCTACAAAGGACTGGCAGACGCAAACATGATAGAGCAGATCGAAACATGAAACCCGAAAACTCGGTACAACGCTCGCTTGATGATGACCATGAACAAAACAACGCTTATGAAAATATCTTATCGGATGCCCTCAGGAAAACAAACGCCCCATGCAGAGAAAGAAAACACACATCTCAATGTAGTGACGGCCGTACTCGAGTCATAATCGTAGCGATGATCAAAGTCGATAGGAAAATTAACCGGATAAAAATGGTAAGAGTTGGAAATTTAGACTTCCCAGGGCTGACGGGGACGATGGATGGCTCCGTAGCTCCTCGGCTCATCCTCTTCCATCAAGCTTTCCATGACCGAGCCAGCATCGGTGTTGGTAAATGTCATTGCATCATCGTGATCCAACTTCTTGCGCATGCGATACACCTGGACTGAAACGTACACGACCAGCGACATACCGACTACAAACGCCGAGGCTGCGAAAAAGATGTTCACAGGAGTCGGGTCGCCCTCGAATAGGCTCTTGGTCAATGCGTCGATAGCCGTCTGCGAAAGGTTGACCAGTCCAGATGTGCAGATAATGGTGCCATATACCCTGCCAAACGTAGCAAAGCCAAACACCTTGGTAGCGTAGTCTGACATGGCTGAGTAATAGAGTGGGCGCAGAAACACGAACAGGACGACATTGACGTAACCAGCCCATAGGGTAGGTATTGAACCAATGATGCCAATGGCGGTAGTCATGACGACGATAAGAAAGAGGACGCCGGCGGTGCTAACGTTGTCAAGCAGGATGCCAAGGAAGGGGGTAGCAAGTACTCCGGCAAGTGGGAGCGCAACATCAAAGAAATTGTTCACCTTCTCTGCCAATTCGACGGAGCCGAGCATGTACGTGTACTGCTCGCGGATAGTTGCGATGAAGTAGTTCATGCGCACCATCTGGATGATAGTCAGAAGGACGAGCAAAATGAACCAGGGCGTCAGCATTTGGTCTTTGGCAGACTTGTTGTGCAGTGCTCCCCAGACACCAGAGGTCTCTAGATTCTGCTCTCGCTTTTCTTCTCGGAGTTTGCGCGCAGCTTCGTTGCCAACAAGGTCGTCGAGCTTGCTCAGTCGTTCCTTGCGGCGTTCGCTACGGGCTTTTCGGCGCCTCCACATCTCCTCATCTGACAGCTCGTCATCCGAGGAGTGCACATCGCGCATAACATCCTCAGCTTTCTGGATCTTCATCTCAAGCTGTGCCTCAGTTTTGTAGTTCTCGGTCGGCAGGAAGGTAAGTTGGGCAATGGCAATTGCGAGTGGGACGACCAGATACACCAAGAAGAATGTCTCTGGCTTGAAGGTCCTGTCACTGGCATCGTACATGATTCTGTAAAAGAGAAAGACTGCTGCTGAAGCGTCAAATGCCCCAGTGACGAGTGCAACGATGGAGCCACTGTACTTGGGGAATGCATTAGCAATCTGGAAAGAGGGTAAGAAGACAAATGTGCCCCCCAAGGCAAGGAAGAAATTGCCAATTGTGTAGCCTTCAAAGCGCTGGATCTGGGAAGCAAAACTCATCAGGATGCTGCCAGCAGCAAGACATAATGAACCGGTAAGAAAGCAGAGCTTGGGGCCGTAGCGGTCGAGCAGTGTGCCGACTGGCAGGGCAGATACGTTTGCAGTAGTGGACGCCAGCGAAAAGAAGAAGTTCAATCGGAGATCCTGCTCAAAGCAGACTTCGACATCATTGTCAATTTCCTCGGGAGTGCAGAGATTGCGGAAAACACCCTCTTTGATGAGAATTGGCTTGAGTGCCGCGAAGCCAAAGACGATGCCGCTGGCAAACCAACAGGCGAGGACCGTTGCAATGACCTGTGCTACAAGCAAGGTTAGTCGAGCTCGACTTGTCTTTACGGTTACCCAAAGTAGCAATACTTACCGACACGCTTCGTTGTGGACACTTTGTAAGGTGTCAGACCTCCCGGCTCCTCGCCTGCGGAAGGCTCGTCGGGATTGGGAATCACATCGTAACTGATGACCCTCCGAATTGCCTTTCCGTGGGGATTGAGGAAGCCGGCATGCGACATGGCGCTTTCAAGCGACATACGGCGGTCAGCAGCATCTTGACGGCTATGCTGGCGGTCAATGGGCGGTAGAAACAAATCTACGAGCGCCTCGTCGCGGTCAGTGCCCTCCTGCTGGCCAACATGCTGGATCAATGACATGAGAAGTGGGCAAGAAGACGCTTGTTAGTAGTGAATCTGGGCGAAGTTGAGGGGAAAGAAGCACAGCGTCCAGAGGGAGAGGTCAGTGAAAGATTTGCTTGCGTCGGGTCGTCGGCAGGGTAAACAGAGGGAGGAAGAGCGGGCAGGCGCGGAGTTAAATTGAAGCTCGGCAGCCTGACACGCGACCCAAGATCTAGACAGAGCGATAGCGGGGATCACATGGCACATGCGGCTTCATGTCCGGCAGGACGGGGCCGTTGGCCTCCCATGTTGGCGGTGTCGCGGGCGCAAAGTGCGAGCATGTGCATGGTACACAGAGCATTCTGACGGCGTCGGCAGTCGATCATGCTTCGCGGGATGTCGCATACTCGCTTGCCAGAAAGGCCGCGAAACGTCCAAAACGGCTATTGTTGTGAGGCGGATGATTGGCTGTCTTGGGCGCTAGCCCTGTCTGCTGCCCCACGCACTTTCGCGCATCTTCCAGCAGCTAACAACCTGGGAGCTGAGGGCGACGACAGCGCATCACGCCATGTCTTCTTTTTCAAATGATATAATGTCAGTCATTACACGCGTATCTGGCACACGAGGGTGGGTGAACTTGCGTCATAGCCCACCATCGCCGTGATTCAACTACCCTACTCGTACACCCTCCAGCGCAACCATTACGCAGACGATCCCTGGCCATACACATCCGCATCCAAGTTGGTGGGGAACTGCTCACGTCCCTCAGCATCACTTCGCACCCACACCGCGACGCTCGTGCCCGGACACTTGAACACTCCGTAGCCTTCGCTGTCAATCTCCACCTCGCCCTGCTCCCATCCAAGCACGTCGCTCCACTTCTCCCCGGCGTGCATCTCGCCAACCGCCATTTTGATCTGCCCTGGCCCCGCATTGCTCATCACACATGCAAGACCCGCCACCTTGTCCCACGTCCCACGGCGCACGAACCCAATGCAATTGGCCTCGTTGAAGTAGTCCTCCTGCGCTCCGTATGCAAACAGCTTACGCGCCAGGATAAGGTCTGCAAGCTTGCCACCGCACGACGCCGGTGTTTCGTGGGGCTCCGACAGTCCGTACAGATCACCGTAGAACGGACATGGGTATCCTTCTTGTCGCAGCAGAATCAGTGCATATGCAAGCGGCTTAAAGAAGTCCTCAATCTTGGTCTCCATGACCTGTCCCGGTTGCGTGTCGTGGTTAGTGACAACCGTCACAGCATCTATCGGCCGCAGCCGGACCAGTGAATCGTCAAACACTGTCCTTAGATCGGCCGATTCCGTCGTGGATAGCGAGCCAAACTTGTTAAGCAACGGAGAGTCGTAAAGGGAAATTTCGTGGTTCATGCCGTCGAGCCATTCGCTCATTTCTTTCACATCGCCCGACCAGAACTCGCCCACAATGAAGATGTCGTCTCCGCAGTGCTCGCGGAGGTTCTTCATCCATTCGTTGGTAAATCTGGAGCTGAAGTGCTGCACAGCATCGAGGCGGAACCCCTTAAGTCCGAGTTCTTTGGTTATCCAGACACCCCAGTTCTTGACATCTTCTTGAACTTCAGGGTGCGAGTAGTCAATGTCTGCAAACATCATGTAATCAGCATTGCCGGATTCCGTGTCCACACTTTGCGACCAGCCCTTGTTATCGCCCAGAATCTTGTAGATGGCTTTCTTCTCGTTGGCCTGGTTGTAGTCGGTTCCAGAAAAGTGCTCCCAGTGGTACTTCATCTTGGAATACTGCTCACCGCGTCCTGGGAAGTCGAATCCTAGCCACCCCTCGATTTCGTAGGCATCCGATGTCTCCTTTGTTCGATCGTTCTCGTCGACCTCCACAACGCGGCATTTCTCTGTCCTATCTGCACCCGCCTTGTGATTCAACACGGCATCCCAGTAAAGGCCAACATTATGTTCCTTGGCAACTTTGGCGAGCTCCAATAGCTCTTCCTTTGTTCCCCATTTCGTGCCTTTGGCGCCTTTCTGATCAAATTCACCCAGATCGTATAGGTCATAGATGTCGTAGCCCACACCCTTCGGGTTCGCGGCCTTGCAACCCGGAGGTAGCCAAATGTTAGTGATACCAATCGCTTTGAGCTTAGGGAGCTGTTCAGCGAGACGCTTCCAGTGTTTGTGATCATCCGGGACATTCCACTCGAAGCCCTGGAACAGTGTGCCATTCTCAGGCGTTGGCTTTTGTTCTGTTCAGTGGTGAGCATCGCAGCAGTCCAATCAGACGAGGAACTGTCACTCGACTTGACTCACCTTCTGAACCCATTGTCAGGGATGCGCTTGTCGGTTTAGACTCGAGGTGTGCTGTGTTGTACGATTTCCCGATGATCGATGGACAGCGTAATCGTTCAGCTGGGCCAAGCAGGTCAATGTCTGCGGAAAGTTTTCAAGTCCACCGGAAAAATTCGACAGAGCCATACTTCTCGCTCATATCCTTTACTTTTATACCCACTGCGGCTCACAGCGGGCGAATACCCTGTATGGGCCCATGGCTGAGCAGGTTTGTCTGTTGACTCCTTCGGCTGTGCTAGCTATCAAGAATGAGACACGAGCGCTGTGAATGGTCTAGATGTGAGTGGAGACCGTGCTTGTCAACATTCAGCACCAGTGACGTCAGCCTGCACGAAGCTGCCATGCCGCGGACTGCCATGAATCATACAACTCAGCTGTCGGTGTGCAAGTAGACAAGTAGAAGCAAAAAAGAACATGGTGCCCTGGACGTGTCTGTCAGCTCGATGGAAGTGTTGTGGGTGGAGACTTTGGGGCAAGATCGTCGCTGCTTGAACAGCCGGAGGGGAAGCCGCCAAAAAGACTGACTATGCTGCAACAGGCTAGCGTCTTGCAGCTGCATGCATCCGGGCCACTGTTACTACTTTTATCTCGTCTCATCTTTGGTGCGCAATGTGCGACTCGACAGTGTGAGGCATGTAGCAAATACTTGTGCTTGTATGAAACGTGAAAAGTATTTTTCTCACTCTGTTCTTGGTTGTACTGTCTGTTTGGTGCAGTGGAAAGACACATCAGTACCACGGCTGCCTAAAGCCACCTGACTGGCAGTAAACATGGAAAGGACACCCGGCGATAAGGCCCATGACGGGGAGTCCGCTGCAAACACCAATTCCTGTAATACTCCTGAAACTCCTTCCTCTGTACAATCGCAGCCAACAGTCTTAGCATCAACATCAACATCTCAGCCGGGCGCAGTCGAACAAAATCACGCAAAGCGCAAGGCTCAAGACGTCTCTACTACATCACAGAAGCGCTCCAATATGGGGCCTTCAGCGACTTTCAACATTGGAAAGGACTCCGCTGAGGCCAGGAGCCAGCTCATCGTTCGCTTCTATGATCCAAATATCAAAGCCAAAGATGCGAAAAATCGCACACTAGAGGAAATCCTTTCATGGCCAGATGCTCAGCTTGAGTCCTCACACAACTACATTCAGATGCTATTTCCATTGCCAGAAGGCTCCATGTTCAACTGGGATGCACCTGTCATTGATCTCGCAGTCATGCAAGCATTCCGTTCGCGAAGTGAACTTCGCCAACAGCTGCGTCGGAGCTTTGAGCGCATGCTCAAGTTCTACGGCTTCAGCCTATCAACGACACTAGAGAATGACTCTGAGAAAGACGCCATTTTTGGAGCTACCCAGACTGACGTAAATACGGACTCTCCCATCAACGCAGATGCATCTGCTTCCGGGGTCAAGACAACCCCAAAAGAGTCCACTTTCCCTCCTGGATCGCACAAAAACATCACAGTCTCCAATCCGCTGCCTTGCCATATTTTCCGCGCCCCTAACTGGCGCAAACAATTTCAGAACTGGGCTGGCTTGTTTGATCATAATCACCTCCGCCTCACGCGCATCCTCCGCTGTCTTCGCGTGCTGGGTCTCCAGAAAGAATGCCAAGCCTTTTTCAAAGCTTTGGAACATGCATTCCATGACCCTGAGACAAGGATCAGCGAGAAGTCGATGGGTTTCTGGCGGTTGGCTGTTACGCGCCCGTTGCAGTGGGCGCCCGACGGTCAGAAGTGCAAGTGGCTGGAGGCCTGGCAGCAGGAGCAAGAGAGTGAAAAGTGAGCAGATATAGCAACTTTCATGAAGGAATCTCTGTTACTGTTGATGGAAATCCAAATCGGGCTACATAAAGACGGGTAGATTACAGGGTTGATGCGATGCCATCTAGCGTCGCGTAAGGTAGTACTAGTTAAACTTCACGGCAAGACTTATCATGGGTGCTTGGTTAGAGATAGCAATTAGAATACATCAATCATTCTTCACTACATCCTCTGTGGCGAGCCATTGGTGATGTATGTAAGCCACCAGGCTTTGTAAGCCTAACACCTCATTAAATCGCCACGGGCGGCGTAGCGAACAACTGTTCTTTGGAAGGTCCCGACACTCATGTCCTCTGTGATTACTTCAAGCCACTTTGCACGCCACATGTGTGTAATCTGATCTTTGTCTTTTGAGAGACGTTCCAACGGATATTCGGATGCTAGAATCACATTGCGCAAAATCTGCCTCTACAGCTCCACTCCATACTCAATGCAGATACCTTCCGAAGGAGTCGCAAGCACTGACCTTGAAGCTCCATCATCATGTTGAACCTTTGACCCGGAGCAGCCGCGCCGTATAAGTGGGTTTTAAAGAGGACCTCAAGAGTCGTTCTCAAGTGGCGGAAGAAGTTTTTCGTCATTTCATGGTCATCTGGTCTCCAAGCTCTGTCTCTGTGGCTGGAGAAGTATAAGACCTAGCTTACAGAAGAGTAGTTCAGCCACAACCAACCCCACTTGCTCGTACATCTCACGTATGCATGATGCTCAATCCAAACTCACCTACCAACAAGGGACTACGATAATAAAAAAGCCTCATTTTTGATTCCGTGGCAAACCTACCTCAGCCCCGACGGAAAAGAATCCGAGCATCTTCGTGATTATCACTGAACATTTTCCAGGTGTTTCTGTAGTTTTCCGATAAATATAGTTTCGGGTGGGGTTGCTACTAAAATCACTACAAGGATCGACAGTGCTAAAATCCGGCTGCTACCAACAGTTGAGCATCACGGGTACAGCACCATCTCGGGCCGCTCGGACCGCACCATGACCCTAAGTGGTTCTGCATGCTCTCAGCCTCTTCCCGACCCGAAGGCATCCCTCAAGAGCATGGATATGCACGACTGCGTCAGAAGACTCGACATGACCATACATAGTCATCGCGGAAGCGTGTGATCACACCGCCACACCAGGATGAGCACGCAATTATGGGTTGCTGTAGAGAATCCATGTGTAGGGCGTGCTTATGGCGCCAGCGTGAGATGTTGGGTGGAGGGTACGGAGAGTGCCTGGGCAGGTAACGTCACGGCCAAGACAAAGGCTTGATTACGAGGATTCCCACGCTTCCTCCTAAGAACAGTACTCCGCTCTTGGCAACTAATGTGACACCCATCAACTGCCAAAGTGGCATTCTTTCAAGTAAAAGACGGCTATAAGCTTTTTTGATGTGCTTATACAGCTAGCCAAGCACATCTTGCTCGCTGGTTACGGCCGTCTTCCTCCCTTGGCATCTATATCGAGGTTAGATGACCGACACTACAATCAACGGACCGTCTCGGCCCCGAGGTTTGGGAAATTTGCTTTCTTCCTCAAAGAAGCTCACCACTAAACCTGTTATATGCAGCTGGGTCAGTGAACAGGTTCGGAGATTGCCGATGGGCCTGATATTCACAGTCTGCGCACACCAGACGCTCAGACCATGAGTCAGAAGGTGTATACTCAAAGATTCCTAGAAGAGAAAAATCGGCCGAGAGACAAATGTCTCATATACTGACTACTCTGACAATAGCTCAGATGTCAAGTATGTTGAAGCAATCCAAGCCCGGGCCACGAAGGCTTAGTTCAAAGCACTGACTACCAACTGGAGTAAGATGTATCGATTCATCGTCATATCGCGGAGATAATGTCGTGTCTCCCTTTTTGCTCATCACTCACTTCGGAAATATGGAGTTAAGGATGCTGGAGAAGTTACGTTGGCATACAGCAAGGTGCTAAATCTCTATCACGATCTTCCGCAGGATTGATGCATACCAAGAAAATCCAAGGCATCCTTTCGGTTTCGAAGACTGTGGCACCGGTGACAAGGCATGGCGAGCCATTTACAAGCGATTTTCAACAACCAACGCTTATTGATGCCCACGATACGCGTCGTTATGGAGTGCCTACACCCACATTCCATGGTCTAGTGACCTCGCTCGCCCGTCTTCAACCGAATAAGGGAAAGCACAACGAACCTGATGATGTGTCCCCCCCCATTATGCTGATTAGTACAACGAGAAATCTACCAGATTTGGAGACTTGTTCAAGTATCTGTGGATGAGAAGTGCCAGTTGGTGTGGATACTGTAATCAGCTGTGGCTTGACAAGGCACACGCCTTCCTTGTGACGACACTGAGGAAGGAGAATGCTAACTCTCAAGGTGTATATCCGAAAGGTAGAAGAAGAAGAAGATAAAAGGAGGGCCTACTCCAGCTTCAGATATCCCACCACACTCTTCACTTCTCTATCAACCACTACAACAATCTCTCATCCTAACATCAACACAAGATGCTCTCCCTTTCCATCCTCTCCCTCCTGATGGCAGCCGCGACCGCCTCTCCAGTAGGAGAAGCCCGCCAGCCCGCTATCAAGCGCCTCATCAACCCCAACACCGTCAACGCTCTTACAGCCGAACAACTCACCACCCAGCGCAACGCGCTCCTCCTCGCCCAATCCGAAACCGCCCGCGAAGCTATCCTCTTCCCCAACGCCCCCAACGCCGCAAATGACACCTTCCAATTCATCAACAACACCGTAACTCCCCCAACCGGCGGCTCCATCTTCCTCTCCACCGTGAACAACTTCCCCGCCCTCGCCTCCACCGGCCTCGCCGCCGCCGTCGGCTTCGTCAACCCCTGCGGCCTCAACACCCCGCACTGGCACCCTCGCTCCAACGAATTCCTCACCGTCGTCCAAGGCAAACTCCTCGGCGCCATCCTCCTCGAAAACGACTCAGGTTTCGGCCACGTCGTCGGCGGCGCACCCCCCATTATCGGTCCCTACACGCAAATCGAAACCACCCTCTCCAACTACACCGGCATGCTCTTCCCCAAGGGTCTCGTCCACTGGCAATTCAACCCAGAATGCGAACCTGCCGTCTTCGTCGCCGGTTTCGACAACGCCGACCCCGGTCGCGTCGAAGCTGCACGTGGTTTCTTCTCCGCGACACCCGACGAGGTGCTCGAGGCAAGTGCGGGATACTCTGAGTTCTTGACTCCTCAGCAGATTGCGGGACTCAGGCCCACGCTTACGAGTGATTTCACCGAGATTGTGGAGAGTTGTGCGAAGAGGTGCGGTATCCCGTACAAGGCTGAGACTAGTTCGTCTGCTTCTCATCCTTCGGGTACGCAGTCGGCGTATCCTGCGGCTTCTAGTGCGTACTAAGGTTTAGTCATGGAGTGAGGACTTGGTGAACTGCAGAAGAAGGTGGTGATGGTGGCAGTAGCAGCGGTAGCGGTAGTATAGACGTTGGTTTAGAAGGAAAGATTGGATATAGATCAGGAGATTTCGTTTGTCATACACAGACTGTTGTTTTTGGATTTTTTTTTGTTATTTAGAATTCTGCTAGCGATAGCGATAGACAAACCTACACTCGTTTTTATAAATGGCTTGCACATTTTGCAAAGATTGTGCACTGAGCAGTTCCTTGGAATTAATGTAACAGTGTAGGAGTTTCCGGCGAAGGTGGTGATATGAGAGGCCGGGGAACCCATCAGCCTATCATTGACTATTCATTCTTAGCATTGCAGTATCGCTGCTACCACTATCCTCCTGCTAAAAGCATCGTCTACAGTGGCAGGTTAGTACAAACACAAATCTTGGCCACAAAGACAACACAACCCGTATAAACCCCTCAAAAACTTCCGAGAGTACTTCTTTCGTATTGAATATACACACCCCACCGCTCTAGTGGCAACGCATCATCATTCCTCCCTCTCTCCTTCCTTTGCTCTCCCCCCCCAATCTCTCCCTTACTCAAAATTCAGAGATAGTATCACCCCTTCGCTTACCACGCATCTCCCACCTTCCCTATTCAAAATCATCAGCTTCCTTCCTATTTCCACATCCCATGCCATTGCATGCATCCTCGAACTCACCTCAGCCCAGTATCCCGCAGCGCCCAGCAAGCCCGGTACCAAGGCAACGTATGCGAATGTGATCCAGGCTGTTCGTCGTGTCCAGCGGAAGTACTTGTGACGGTTCGTGGTCATGGCTAGGTTGCTGTGTTAGTAACTGTGATAGGCCTGCGCCATTGACGGTGGCTAAGCTGGCATTGTGTTTCCCGAGGCTTCGGTAAATGTAGGTAGGAGTGCGTGATAGGGTTGGAGGGGTCCAAGGGGGCGGAACGTACTGGCCCATTTGATGATGGCGGGATCCGCGTGGATCACTGGGTGTGGTTGTTAGTCCATTGCGTCTCGTATACGTGGTTTTGGGGGTAGATGCGTACTGCCGTGATTATGGCCGGCCATCCGGCGGAGTGTAGGCTGCATGATTGTGGAGTTTGCGCGGTGTGGAGAGGTGCGCGGTGGGTGAGGTTGTTGGTTTGTAGAGGTGCGCTTGCGATGAGGTCGGCGGGTGCGGCGAGGGCCGTGATGTCTTGGCGTTTTTGGATTGTACCTGCGAGAGGATTGATGCGGTTCCACGCTGATAATCGCAATTGGAGGATTACACAGTAACTAGAGAACATAACATAGTGTGTAATCTACTGTTTTGCGCATGGCATATTTGGAAGATCGTTACTATAGCTATGACGATGAACGTGTGCTGCATACTCTGAGTGACTCTGTCGTCACAGCTCCGCATCTTGCCCATCCTATATTTCTGTGCACATAAGACGCTCTTAGACGGGCAGTCTTGTATAGAACTGTAATTTCTATCGCCTCGTCGGAACATACAAGATCCGATTCAGACGACGCTTCTCGGGCGGGCAGTCTACCCTTGGTGGGCTGAGCGCCGAAGCTTGTGACGAAACCACAACGAGCTTGTGGACAAGCCTCGGTGATAACATGCGACCGACCTTTATAAAAGTCCACTCCGCTCAAAGTCCCAATCTGCCTTGCTCCAGAACACTAATCAAAACGAATTTACATCCTCTTCACGAAGCGTAATTGCAGCAATGTCGAGCCAACAAGGCGCAACCATCACAGTTCATTGGTGCGTGGAGAACATGTCCCGGCGCAATTCCCTTGCGCATCGCCAAACACGACACATCATGTGATCTAAAGAATTTCTGTCTAACTGTACTACAGGCTGAACAAGTCGCGCGGCCAGCGCATCGTGTGGTTGCTCGAGGAGCTGAATCTCGAATACAACATCAAGGTCTACAAGCGCGATGCCAACAAGCGCGCAGGTCCTGATCTGAAGGCCGTCCACCCCTTGGGAAAGTCTCCAGTGGTTACCATTAGACCGGCAAATTCTGAGAAGGATATCGTCATTGCCGAGAGTGAGACCATTATGGAGTACATTTGCGACCATTTTGGAAAGCAGTTGGTTCCTGCGAGGTACCCCGAGGGCCAGGAGGGCGTGCTTGGCGCAGAGACGGAAGAGTGGATGAGGTACAAGGTGCGTTACTTGCTGTCGAATTTTTCTTGTTACCTTGTTATGGAAGAGAGGTTTGGAGGGGTTGGTGTATCCGGGTGCCTCTGCATCTTCTTCTGCAATTCTTTCACGTGACTTGTAATAGCATGATAACTGACCACCACGTAGTTTCTCATGGACTTCACCGAAGGCAGTCTGTTCACAGTCCTTATCGCTGCTATTATCAGCGGCAGTAAGTCTCCGTCGAACACACATCTCTCCCGCGTTATTTTGCTGACACCATGTAGGTATCAAGCACGCTCCCGTTCCCTTCTTCCTCAAGCCCATCACTGGTGGCGTCGCCGCTAAAGTCGACGGCTCCTTTGTAGATCCAGAGTTGAAGACACACTTCGACTTCTTGGAAGATTACCTCATTAAGTCTCCCTCGAAGGGAGAATTTTTCTGCGGCTCCAGCCTTACCGCAGCGGATATCATGATCCACTTTGCGCTTGAGGGAGCCTGCCAGCGCGTGCCTTTGAGTGACACAAACTACCCCACTCTGTACAAGTACATGAGGAGGTTACAGCAAACGGATTCGTACAAAAGAGCAGCCAAGAAGGTCGAAGATGCGAGCCAGGAGAAATATGTGCCGTTTAGCGATGCCAAGTTTTGATAGAGTTGAAGCCGTATGGGAAGAAAGGCGGGATGAGATGAGAACAGGGTCTCGGCTACTGTTTGATCTGCGGATGCATGGTTTCTTCTATAGTCACCTGCCGTACATATAATGATTTAGGCCGTGGGGTGACTGCATCCACTACAAATAGTACATCCATGGTCATGATTTGCGATTTCAAGCTGCAGCTTTGTCGTTAAGCACGCGATGTGAAGGTGAGATCACACTTGTCGGTAACACAGCAGAATCTCACGTCAGCACGTGCAACCCCTTCCGCCAACCGTCCGTATCACCTGCGATATAGAGACCAGTCAGCTTTAGCCTCACATCACTGCATGGTGAAGATAGAGATTGGGGGCGAATTTGAGCCGCCCGGGCAAAGGTCAGTGGTGTGCGGAGACATTGACTCGCGCGAGCGGCTGGCGGGCAGGCCGAAGAGCAAGGTAATGATTACGCGCAGATGGCTGAGACGCCTTGCTGGCGCGCAACAGCATTGTTATATATCCGCGACGTTGCTCGTTGCTCGTGGATCGTATTGCCCTCCCTCCAGCGTTCGCTCGAATCCCTCGGCCGGCCGTCGTCGAAATCAACGCCCGTTCCAACGCCAGTCCGAATCCAGTACTGTCTCCGCGAGCTGCTCATCACCAAGACCTTACTAAGCTCTTCCTCAGCAACTCAAGACCCCCGGCTTTCCAGCACTTCAAGTTGGCTCCAGCACCTAGGCTACCTGTCGCCCGACATTACGTACGAGGCGATTGCCTGGGTGTGGTCAGCCAATGTCTGACCGGTCGCGCGCAACCTCTCGGGACTTTGTATTTCAAACTTCTGACCAAGCAGGTGGAGCATCGCAGCCGTATCCACAACAGTCGTACAACAGCTACAACGCGAATCAGGACACAAGCACAGCCGAGACTGTAAGCCAAGCCCCAGTCTATGACGCCTCGACAGCCTATCGCGACTATGTTGCGCAGCAACAGCAGGTAGCGCAGGGCCAGTTTGCGGGCTTCAACTTTGGTTCCCAGGCGCCTGCAGCATGGGACTGGACAAACTCGCTCGACTTCACCGACTTTACCAACCAGTATGAGCCCCAGGGCGAGTTGGTTCAGGAGTTCCAGGGTCAAGCAAACTCTACCAACGACTTCAGCATCCCGCTCCCCGTCACCAATGGTGACTCTGCATATCCGCCTTTCCAGCAACCCCCAAGCGCGTCGTCTCCACCACCACCAAATGCTACGCAACCCCAGATCCCATTGTCTCCGCCGCCCCCGCCTCCTCGATCGCAGCAGCAGCAACAACAACAACAACAACAACAACAGCAACAGCAACAGCAACAACAGAGACCAGTAGTGCAGACAGGCATGAAGCGCAAGCTCGATTCTGAGCCATCTTCAGCTGTATCGCAAACTGGCGGTACAGCTGCAGAGAACCCCTCGAAGCGCATAAATAAGTCGCGTCAGTCGTCAGATGCGTCGGCCACGTCGCCCGTTATACAGGTATCAGTAGACACACATGCGGCAGCGGCGACAACGACGACGCGTAGCACAGCCCCTTCCGTGCCCAACGAAACTGCATCGCAACCGGCGCCGCGAGAAAACACACAAGTTGAGCGGCGCAAGGAGCAGAGCAAGGGCACAGGACCGCAAGGCAGAGTCATTGACGTTTCAACTCCGAGAAAGATGCAAGATGCGCCCGCCGGAATAGACATGTTGCCCGCAGGCAAGGTATTTCCCATACAGATTGGCTCGGAGCTATTCAGATTGTCTGGAGCCTCGCTCTCGTCGGATGGTAAGCATATGCCAAAAGCGAAATATGGATCAAAGGCCGGTGAGCTAAGACTACTAGAGCACCTTCATACTTTTCCCATTTTTTCGGCCAGCAACTACACGATAACGGAGGTCGCGCTGGTGACGTGAGGACCTTGTATATCGACCGTGACCCAGAAACGTTCCGTGACATTGCGCTGCATTTGCAGGGCTATCACATCACTCCGAAAGACGGCGAGCATTTTGTCAAGTTGTATGCTGATGCTCAGTTTTACTCATGTGAGCTCATTTACGAAGAGCAGAAAGGCTGAGAGCTGACTGTAGTAGTACCTCGACTTACTAAACAGTTGTTCGGTACTGACATATTTGTCCACATAGGAGGGACTCCTTTTCAGATACCGCGTGATCTCTTCTCTGCTCCAGGCGACAGTCCCAACTTCTTCTCACTAGGATTCGCACATTTCTTCCTGACGCCCGCAGAAGCATTTCCGGGGCTGGATCGTGATGCGCTGCTCCGCCCGCCATCCATCAAGCCACCCTCAGTGCCGAACAGGAACGGGGAGACTTTTAACGAGCTGATACAGATACTACAAGGATACAATGTCGAGATTCGAAACAGTGAACACCGATCCAAACTCCTCAGAGACGCACGTTATTTCCATCTCAAAGGGCTTGAGCAAAAGCTGATACCCTGTGAAATCTCGTTCAATGTACGGCGCCAGCAGTCCGAAATTCTGGTGCGGCTCGAAGACATTCGTCCGTCGGGTGTTTCCTTCATCCCTGATAAAACAGCATTGGGCGACTCAGATTCTGGATCGGTCCATGGTGGTCAGTCAATCAGTGCATCCCCACAGCCTATTGGCAAAGTCGACAGTCCAGCACCTTCAAATGCAAGCAGCAGTGCTGTCACGCGAGCAGGCTACGTGTCATACGCGCGTCCATATACGGATGACCATGCAAATAGTAATATCTTGGTTCTTGAGATTTCCTCAACGGAATCGACATCGTTGTTTTTGCCATGGTCCGCCCCCAAGGCTTCACGGACGGGTCCATTCGAAGTCGACTTTCGAGCCACGTTCCATAACTCGACACTTGCACGTGTTACATCCTTGTTCTCTGTTGTAGCTTCAAAAATGGGCCTGCCAGCCACGCAACCTCTGGGGCTCATGCATCTGCAGTCTGGCGGGGGTGTTGCGGCGCAACCAGTTAGTCCGGCCAATTCTGGTGTGAGCGATCGCCGCGTTCGCGTTCGCCTCGAGACTGACTGTGCCCTGGAGATCGACGGTGCTCCCGCAGAGCTTGGCGTGGATGACAATACTGGCCGTCTTGGTATCCGGCGGGCAGACTCCCACGGTACATGGCTGTGGGCCGGCGATAGATCAGACTCCGAATCTTCATATCTCCGAGCTGACGAGCAGGATTTAGAGGTGGAATGGACACTCAAACGTGCACATTGGCGGATCCGCGTCGAGCCTCTTGCTCCCGATGTAGACGGTGATGTACGACGCATGCAAGTCATACTTTGTGGCGTGCGACTAGAGGTATTTACGGCCGAGCGGGCACGTAATGCTTCACGGGGGTTTTTAGGCTAAGGGACTGTATAAAGGGTGGACCCTGTACATATATACGAATGATACTATCTATCCTCCTACATATGACCATTCTCGAGATTGTGACTGTTGGATTGGTTGTTAATAGTGAGGCCCATGTCGAATCCTTGCTTTCATAGTTTTTCTCTCTAAGTGCTAGTTTTCAAAAATGTTGTTCAATACTTAGTCAATTTTCCCCGCGTGAATATGAAGATACGGGTTTAGAAGGCTGTTATTCGATGCTGCAACTGTCATATCAAATGCACAGATCGTACCAATGAACAATCATGAAATGTTCTGGATGCAAAGCTAGACTGGCTAAATTCAATCTCTAAGTTTCTAAAAACGGCGATTAATGATATTGCAACATAACGAAAAAGGAATCGTTCCAAGCATTCTATACCTTTGGTGTCATTTCACAAATCCGCCCCATTCAGTCTGATTTTCTCTCCTCATTTGCGCTCTACCCGACGATTAGGCTCTGGAGTCCCGGGTGTCAATGGACTCGTACTATCTTTTCTTGATGCATCGGGTGACCACCTTTCCGCATCACCCAGGCGGTCTGATGTGAGGCCTGCGGAACCAGGGTTGCGCATACCGGCTTCGAGCTGCTTCTGGTAACTGACTTGGCGCAGGCGCTGGGCCTCACGCGGTGTAAGGTGTAGATAGATCTCGACACCGATAGCGTGTAGTGCAAACGCCATCCAGACAGCCATACCGAATGCAATATTCAGCGCGGCACCAGTGTTTGCCCTGTCTCCGGATCCAATAGTTGCGGCTACGGCAGATACAGCGTCTGGGTTTGAGCCGTCGGCAAAGGCAGAGCATGCGGGATACGAAGTAATAAGATCGATATCGTCTTCGATGGTAGCCGCAATCTTCGCGCAAGGCCACACAGTGTAGTACCCGCTGTTCTTGATAATCTGCGCCGAGATAATCATAATGATGCGGGTCGTGATGATACAGCCAGCATAGAACCAGCCTCGTAGCATCCAAGCGCGATGCTGCTCAATCTGCAGCTTCTTGACATTGATGTAGCTGATAATGAAGCAGCCCAGGGTGGTGATACCCAGCGTACCAAGAGAGCTCTGGACATCGAGACCGCCGCCAAATGCATGGCGGATAATCATCAGGGCTCCAACGAGACTGATCAGGTACAGCAGCAGTGAAGCGTATCCGCCAATTCGGTGGAGAATGAGCCAGCGGTGTCGGATAAACGGCGTGAATTGCATCACGGCAATTATGCCCGCAGGCAGGACGCCGCCAAGATGCAACAGAATCCCCACTTTGAACCTATTGAAGTTGAGGTAGTAGTAGCATTCTCCTGGCGCGGCGCTATTTCCCGTCGAACTCGGCCCGTCGGCGGGACAAAACTTGCTCGAGAAGGCAAGGTACTGCAGGCGTGCTAGTGAGACTGTGGCATACGTGTTAGAATTTTTGGAAAAAAAACCAAGTCAAATTAGACGATGGTGGAAGAGGTGAATGAGTTACTTACAACCAAGGAGCGCACCCCCGAATACAAAGTACAACCAGAAGTTGTACGTCTTTGTGAAACCAAGTGGATTCGCGACTTTGCGAGCAAAAGTGCTCGAGGAAGGTGGTTTAGCGACCATGTTGTATATATTTGCACAAACAACAGAGGGAAGAAAAGAGGTAATGATGATGAGGAGGAGGAGGAGGAAGGTGCTTGTTGTAGTAGCAGGAGAGCTGCTTGATATCTAAACTTCTAATTTCCCCTTCTCGTCCGATGGCCCACTCCATATTATATCCTACACAACTGTTTCGAGATCAACGTCATGATACCCCCTTTTCGAGACGATTGTGCACGTAACACTCAAGAAAAAGGTGACAAGGGTCTAGTGTCCGCAGCATGTACGCAGTATAATGCTTTGTGCACTGCCTTAGAAGCGGTGGGCTCAGTACGACCGCAAAGAGTTGATTCTGCGACAGCACTGGCGCCCGATCAGAGGTGTTTTACAGCGATCGTCGGAGTATATATTCACACGACCCACCGGCGGAATGCAGGGTAAAGGGTCTTTACAACGGTGGGGCGGAGGTCTTGGCGTTCCAGTTCGAAGACTCTGATTGGTTGCGCATATTGGACCAGAAGAGGATAAGAGTGAATGTATGTGATTGGGCGGGAAAGCTGATAAAGCGGGGCGTATTATGACTAAGGTACCTTATTCGGGCCTCGCGGATTCTCAGCATCGTCATAGACATGTCCACACCAATGGGTGAGCTGCTTTGCTGTCAACCTAATTCAACCAATGTACCCTTGCTGGCGATTAAAGGAAGCATGCCATCCGATTCTGCAAAGGGAACATTCTGCGCTGGCCTTGCGCGTTAACCTGTTTGTTGACTAAGTAGGTAGTCGGCGTACACCCGCCTCTTCATTCTCCACACTTAGACCGCCATGGTCGGGGTTCCAGGGCGCTCCAAGGGATGTGTTGACTGCAGGAAGAGGAAAAAAGGTGTAAGTCGAAAGCCCACTTCTCCCCACAGAGTAGTAGCCAGGACCCTGCGGCTGATGTTTATTCCTCTAGTGCGACCTAGTCCAACCCGAATGCGGCCAGTGTAAGGGACGTGGGATAAAATGTGGAGGTTACGACTCTGATCGCATCTTCATCTACCAGCAAGGCACGCTAAGTCGGGCTGCCGCGCTCAAAACAGACAAATGTGCGACCGTCAAGACATCGCCAACCCAGCCAGATCTGCACGACTACCAAGTGGTGCATCATTCAAAGTCCACCTTGGCTGTACAACGATGCGACGTACACCCCACTCCTGTGAATTTGATACTTCCCCAGAGCCTTGCCAAAGCGGCCTACAGCGAGAGGACTGTTGCTGCGTTTCTGGAAATGTACAGCCCTGCAGGGATAATACGTAACACCAATGTCGACGCAAGGGAACTGTTTAATTTGCTACCTTTGCTCAGTACACGTGATGAGGCACTGCAGATGGCTACCCTGGCCGTCGGCATGACACAACTGGGGATTACCACAGGGAATGAAAGTCTTACCCGGCACGGCAGGACACTATACGGAAAGGCGCTCAAGGAAACGGCAATGGCGTTGCGGAATCCTGCTAGAGCAAACAGCAAATCACTGCTCATTGTGCCTCGCATCATGGGCCTTTTTGACATGCTATATGGTGCTGAGCCTGACTCGTCTAACCAAGCTAAGAGCTGGCTCAGCCATGCGGAAGGTGAACTAGCTATGATCATCAGTCGTGGACCCGAGGCGTTTGCTGCCGATGATGCAGCCCACATGTTCTTTACCACTGCCAGATACCGACTGCTGGGACCCGCAATACGAGCCCGGAAGCCGACCATCTTCGATGCACCGGACTGGAAAACGCTACCTTGGAAAGGAAGAACAAAATCGTACGAAGATGCCCTCATGGACATAATGTGCGGCATACCAGAACTCCTCTGGTCGGTCGATAAACTCCAATTCACCTCCCTAGATACTGTTGAAAAAGAGAAACTCAGACTCCACACACTGTCTAAATGCTGGACCATGCATTTCCAGCTCGAAAGCTGGAAATCAGCAGACCTAGACTCCATATATACCCCTGCCTTTGTAGATCTATACACCACAATCTCTTTCCCGAACATCGACATCGCCTGCCTCACCGTCCGCTACTGGCTCATCTGCCTCTTCGTCTACTCCTCCCTCGACATCGCCTCAGGCATCGACCCTGCAGACGACTACTCCCTCTCTCATCCGGACCGCCCGCACCCCCGCCCCTTTGCCCGCATGATCACCCGCTCAGTCGACTACTTCATGCAAGAAAAATTTGGCGTCACAGGACTAAGCGCCATGTGGTTTCCCCTCGGCAACACGCTCTTCTACATGAACCGCCACCGTGATGCCGACGAGGCCTACATCACTGCGGTGATGAAGGCATGGGAGAAACCCAAGCTACCCAGTGCAATGAGAGAGTTTCTCAAGAGCTTCCGTATGACGGTAGATTTGAGGACGCTTTCTGCGCGGCCCTTGAGCGAACTTTGAGTCGAGTTGCGTACACTAGAGTGTATGACTGATACCCTGTTTTCCTTTCTTTTATACATACAAACAACAAAAAACTTGTTTGAGATCCGAAGCTCCAACCATGATTATACCATGGATGCTCCCGGGAACACCCGTTTCTCCCCCAAACCTGCCAAATTAGCCAAACCCTATTTAAAAACATAGGCCTACTTACGTAAGGTTAACCTTGCATACGCATGTAAAATCAGCCCCACACCCGCCCGCCACTCCTACCACTACTCTATCCGCCAAGCCTCATCACAGCCCACCGGATATCCCATATCCGTCGGCCTAACTATTGCTCCGCCTGTCCCAAATGCCAAAAAGAGGATCAACCCCCCCTACCCCTTGGCCCCGTTAACGTTACAATCAACAACCTTATTGTATTCGCCTTCCCCCCCTCCATCCCCGTTTTTTTCTGCGGGTTCAGCGTGGCGGTGACACACTTGGCATGGTACGATGTTACGAGGAAGAGAAGAGTGTTGACGTGTGTGATTTTGGAGTGGGATCGAAGATGCAGTGGGTTGAAGGGAAGGGGGATTGCGTGGCTTTTTGCTGGGTTGGGAAAGGGTGGGGAGAGGTATAAGAAGGGGGGATCTCGCAGCGCCCTTATTAGAGGGGTACAAGACAACGAGGTTTGTCTTTGCTTGAGAGAAACGGAGAAGATGAGGGGAGATGGCACGATGAGTGTTAGAAAGGCAAGAAAACATGAGATACTAGAGGTATAAATCTCAATTAGACGAGAGAGAGAAGAGTCTACATTCGATTATTACATCACAAAATTCTATTCTCCATCACCACAAGAGACTCTTGTTTCATTATCTCCCTAATTATTCCTCACACTCTTCTCTTTCTTCCCCTTCTGCACCTGCTTCGTCTTAGCCTTCTTCTTATTCCTCTTCCCCCCTTCGCCATCACTCTCACTCGCCCTCTTCGCACTACCCTTCCCCTCACTCGCCTCCCCATCCGCAATCTCACCGTCCGCCTCCGCCTCTTTAAGCAACAGCGTATTCAGCGCATCAGTGAAATGCTCCAACTCGCAGATATCGCCGATGCGCACGCGCATGTAGTCGAACGCAATGGCGACTTTGAGGTCTTTGTTGCGGATCTTGACTACTTGCTCCATTTTGGCGAGTGATGAGGACTGGCGCTGGAGGGTGGGGATGGGTTTGGCGGCGTCGCGCGGGGGTGGGGCGCTGGTGGGATGGATGTCCATATTGTCTGCGTTGTCGAGGGTAGGATCGACTTCGTCGTCGTTGTCTGTGGGGTCTTCGGCGGTTTTTGACGGGTCGAGGAGGGGATCTTCTTGCTCGCCGTCTGTGACTGTTTGTAGGACGGGGATTTTTTGGTAGCGCTGGCTGAAGTGGGTGAGGACGACTGCTTTGGCGTTCATTTTTGCGCCGATGCCCAAGGCTTCGGAGGTGGTCGAATGCTTCTTTGCTTTGGCATCGCCCAAGAGCGCGTCGTCAAATGTTGCTTCGTGGATGAGCACAGTGGTGTCTGTGCCGATTTTTGAAAAGTGCCAGCTTGGTCTGCAGTCGCCTGAGTAGCTGACTTTGAGCGGCTTGACACCTTTGGGGTCTGAGGGTGAGCGAGGAAAGGTGATTGAGACGGCCATGGAGCCATGGCAATGCGCTACGAGCGCAGTCTGAATATCCTCGAAACCAAAGAACTTCTCATACACTGATCTGTGCACTTCTGGATTTTCTGGTCTCTCCTTTCCGAACGTGTTCATGATCGAGAGTCGGGAAGAGCTGCCTTGTTCATTGGCAGTGATTTGCAACGGCAAGATGCGACTGTATCCGAAATCTTCAATCGCGGAATACTCATGCAGCCACTGGAGCATGCCATTATGTGAAATGACAGATAAACCATACGCACTGATGTCAATGCCACCCACAGTATTGCCGAGTGGCTGCAGGTTTGGCACACTGTTGTGCACTACTTGGTACCAGGCCCGGATCACTGCAGCTGTCCCCAGATGATGATCAGCGTGCAAGTGGCTGATCCAGATCGCCCTCAGATTCTTGAGAACATCGATGAGCTCCTCGTGGGGAAAAACTCTCGCAAGCTGTCCGAGCGTGTTCTCGCCGCAGTCAAACAAGTAGTTGCCAATGCCGGGAACCCGAACCAAAGTCGCAGAAACATTGCGGTACTTTGATGGTAAGGCCGAGCCCGTACCGAGCGTAATGACTTCTGTATCTGGACGCGCCAGGAGTTTTCTCCACTTGTTCATGTCCTCGCGATTGTGTTCCACTACTACCTGAGCTTCCTGGGCCAACTTGAGTACCTCGATCGCCGTGTCTCGTCTTGCCGCCTCGACGTCAAAAGGCCTCGAGATCGACTCTTTCTTCATGATAAATCTTGGCATAAGTGCAAAAGTCAACCCTCGGTCAGCAGCAATAACACCCTCTGGCAGCTCAGATGACGCCGACTGGCCGGCTCTGTAGATACTCTTCTGAGGGACGCTAGTACTGTCAAACACGGGCGTGGAGTATCTGGCAGGATCTACTTGTCCAAGACGCGTAGCTTGAATGGCAACCGAGTCATTAGTCATACGATTAGGAGCAGTATCTATAGAGGATATGACATGTTCCACGTCACTCAATTTCTTCATGAACTCTGTTAGAGTTGGGTGGCCTGCCACGCCCGGGCCAAGCATCCAGACGATAGCTCCGATACCCTTCATGACTTCTGGCGAGTTGAGCTCCTCTCGTTGAACAACACTTTCAACATAATCGACTGAGGGAACATCAAGAATAGCGATTCCTTGACCAGGCCTATCCGCACCCATGACTTGCTCCGGTGTGACCCACTCTCCACTAGCATTCTGGACTGATATGCCTTTGGAAAGCTGGCCAAATTTTGGCCCTGGGGTGATACCCAGCTTTTTCGCACGCGCAACATCAAACTGGCCACGGGTAGGGTGCGATCGCACAATGTACGAGACGCACTCCGAAGCAGGTTTAGTCGGCGGGAGAGCCAGAATCTGGGCGCCAGGCCAAGGTGTCCGTGTCCATACGGTGATATCGGGGAGAGGTTCTGACCCTCCTGGCTTCGGCCCGTTGTAAGGTTCATAGCTGTGAGTTTCCGGGTTGCGAACAAACATAGCGGCTGGCATTTTCACCTCTGAGATGTGTTGCTCGACAAGGGTGTCAAAGCTCCAATTGGAATCAAACATGAACTTGATGGTCGCAGTCCGTATCTTATCGTATCTGACTTCGCGAGCTTCTGGAGTTTCGTTTTCTGGGGCCTGGAAGTCCTCGAAGGTGTTCAGACACGTATCAAAGTGTCGTCGCCGTTCCTCTATTTCGGCTTCTGTTTGTGCATCTGGTTGGGAGCCAGCTGGAGAGACCGACATGGCCCAAACATTGATGTTGGAGTCTTGCCATGTGGGAAGTATGACACCATTCTCATCCTTAGCCGGTGAATGGTTTGTGTATTCGGTGGCAGCAATGGGTATGCCTTTCCGAAAGATGAACCTCCGGCATGTACCCAGTGTGTGCTTCAAGTTGGGGGGACCGTATACATCAAAATGTGGCTTCGGCGGTATTTCAGCCTTCTTGCCTCGCTCCTGAGCCAGTCGGAAGGTTTCCATGGAGGTGGTGTAGGAGCTTGTGCTTGCGTCGGCCAGTGTGAGCATCATGCCAATGAGCCCGCCCATATTCTTCCATTCGGCCCTGCCAGTGAGGAAGAAATCCTGTGCCTTCAACAAGCGCGTTCCCTGTTGCACCATTGCACGCTGTGTACCCTCTGCCATGCTGCCAAAGACATAGTGCTTGCTTGCCGTGCGCAGCACGAGCGCAGTACCTGGGCTGTCGGCCGTCGGCGTAGTAATGACTTCAACGCTGCAGGACATGTCTTTTGAATTCTTCCTTAGGCTGCTACTATCCGCAAGTGGTCTGCTTTTTGCATCGACGGGTTCGAGTGGCTTAGCGGGCGGTAGGAGGAGAGGCTGGAATCGAAACTCCGCCCGGGGTCGACTGTATGACTTCAAGAAGCGGACATGGATCGTGGCGACCGTAACACGACCGGTGGCGCTTAGTCTGGAAGCCAATTTGAAGGTGTTGGAAGCTGGTACAAAAATGCGTGCGCAAAGTCATTGCAGAACCTCGCCCGCGTCACTTTTTTGGCCATGGGTCCGTGCGAGCAAGATCAAGCGGTCCTGTTCCGCGATCCGATCCCTGTCGTCACTACCCCCCGCCATGCCACAATATATTCGTGATCTGGGTATCGTCTTTCATTGTAATTTGGAACTAACTGATTTTCCATATCCTTCGCCCACACTCTAGTTATGCCTTCCTTCTCAATCCTCATGCCTTCTTCCTGAGCGCTCCTCCGTCTACCGTGATGTCCTGGCCAGTCACGAAGCCTGCCTCAATCAGATACAGCACGGCATCAGCGATATCCTTCGGTCTACCAGCTCTGTTCGTTGGGTGGTCTGAAATATCCTTTTCGCTGATTTGACTGGCCCAATCTGTCCCCTTCTCGTCGCCCTCCTTGCTCTCATGTGCCACCTTGATGCGACCGGGCGCAATGAGATTAACCCTGATACCTAGATGCCCCAGACTGATTGCCATTGAGTGCATCAGTCCAATCAGACCAGACTTGCTTGATGCATATCCCTCCTGGTTGGGGTCCGACTGGTGTGCGCGGAATGAGCCAATGTGTATGATACAGGGTCCTGCAGGGCTGGAGTTGTTTGCATTCTGCATGTGTGCCCCCTCTTCAACATCCGAGGCTCGTGCCTTCATGTAAGGAACACATGCTTGACTCATGGCAAATGGAGCAGTGAGATTCGTGTCGATGTACGCCTGCCACTCATCAATTGTTGAGGGGTCTTCCATTGTCTTGCCGTCCTTCCACTGGGGACTAGCAATTCCACCATTGTTGATGAGAACATCGATTCGATCGTTAAAGAAGCTGGCAGCCTCCTTGACTTTGGCTCGGATCTCATTCACGTTCCGAAGATCGCAGATGGCATATCCTAGTCTACCGTCCGCGTAGTACTGCTGGAGGTGAACTTTGCACGTATGGTCGAGTTCTTCTTCGTCAATGTCGAAGACGTAGGCGTGGTGACCAGCCTCAAGCATCATCCTGGTCAATGCTCGGCCAATGCCTCGAGCCCCACCAGAAATGATAATGTTCTTGTACAAGGGTGCTACCGGTGCTTGGGGAGACGCCATTTTGAAGTATGGAGATGGTGTTGTGTTTAGGTAGAGACCTTGTCTGCATCAACAACCGCAGTTTTAATGTTTCTACTGTTTCTACCAGTACGTTGATCTGACGTCACTTCTCAACATATTGTTTATCATCACTGTACCTCGATGCGGAGGCAAGAACGTCCATTAGCGTTCCGCTACTTTTCCTGCATTCCAATATCACCTATTTTCACAAACCCATCGGACTACCCAGGATACGGAAATCTTGTCGTTTTCTTGTCGCATACATGTTACCACTAGACAAAATTGAAATGAGATGACTCTCCTCACCATATCCCCTTTTTCTTAGTCATGTATTTTTTTAACATAAATTGTAGACTCTACTACCTACTTCCGACAATCAACGTGGTACAGAGCCAAACAACTGACAATCTCGATGTCTGTTATTCTTTTTGGTCATCAAGATATTCATCTGCTACACAGATCAGAAAACAATGATGTACACGAATCTGAAAGGTTGCGACTACGATACAATATATTTGCTAGAAGGCAGTCAAAATGTAGTCGCAGTGTTTCCTACTGTGAGCGGCATAATCGGCCCTTCCTACTGCTGTCCAATAGTGTGAGGCAAACACACACTAACCAAGTGGTGGGGATCACTGGGACTTATCGGAGATAACAAGTATATATTTTGTTCGAGAAAAAAATCCAATATCAAAGCTAATTGAAGACAATACATTTTTCAACGCTGCTGAACCATGACGGCAACTATGCAAAGGCCAAAGCTGCAACTCAAGCTCATGTTCTCAATGCACCAAGATAAACATCACGACGCATTTTTTTTTTCAGAAGCTGGTTCAATCGAACAGTCCAAATCGCATCCATAGATCTTTTATCAAAACAAAAGATTCCCCACATGACGCCTGAGAAACACCAAGTTCCATGAAAGTACAGGTATATGACCACATTGCATGCATCGTTCAAATAAGAAAAAGCGCCGTCAGCCCATCGCACCTAGCCCCATTTATTGCGAACGCTGGTAGACACCCACAACCATGGCGTGGTCACGCTCGAAAGGCTCGAGGGTAAGCTGCTCCTTGGGCTTGATGCCCATCTCTCGTAGCTTGGCGACTTCCTGTGCGAACACGGCTTCTGGAGCGGCCGTGGAGTCGATACAGTTGGCTTTGATGGAGATGACGATACCGCCACCAACCTTCAAGAACATGCCAGCGTTGAGTCCGACAATACGCGCTTGATCAGGCTGAGCAACATCAGCAAAGATGCAGTCGACCATGCCCAAAAGCATCCTGTATTTCGATGGGTGCCTAGCGTCCTCGACAATGGGAATGACGTTGGTGCGGTGGGTGGCCATGTTGATCAGATCACGGCCAGAGCGGTGGGAAAATTCGACGGCGAAGACAGTTCCTTCAGGACCGACGATATCGGCAACGTGGGAGACTGATGTGCCGGAAGCAGCACCAAGGTAGAGGACCTTGGAGCCAGGGCCCATGTAGATGTTGTCGACACCACCCAAGATACCAGCAGCCAACTTGGAACGGAAGGGGTTCCAGACACGGTATTCGGTGCTGCTGGCCTCGGTCTCGCCATCATTTGCGGCGCTGGCGCCAACGCTAATGCGCTTCTCTCCGTAGACGGACTCTCCGGGGGTCAGGTTCTTGGTGACGAGGAGATCTTCCTTGCCACGAGCGACGAAGACACCAGCATGGCGATGGCTAAATCTAAGGTTAGCTAGAGGTATACTCTGGACGAGGACTCTACTCACGGCTCGACAATAACCTTGGCTCCGCCGCGCGCGCCTCCGCGACCACCGCCGCGAGGACCACCGCGGCCTCGTGGAGCACCACGGCCACCACCACGGCCTCCGCCACGGCCACCACGATCACCACCACCGCGGCCTCCGCCACGTCCGCCTCTGGGAGTGAAGCCACCGCGACCGCCACGGTCACCACCGCCACGACCACCGCCGCGACCACCTCTGAAGATATGTTAGTAAAGTTTTTTTTTCTCAGAAGCATTTTAGACTTGAATCGATTGAGCGACAGGCCGAAGTGAAAAGTTTCAAGTTGGCGCAGTACTGCTCAAAAGACCATATCCCAAGTCTTTTATAGCTCGCGATGAAGTTCGAGTAGTGGGAGGCATACCTGGGAGTGAAGGCCATTGCTACTAGGTTCGGAGTTTTCGTTGAAGCTTATGGAGATGAAAAGGCTGTCGCGCATCGTTAATTTTGAGATCCGAAGTGGCAATGTACATGGTACTAACTCTTGATATGTAATTCCACTCGGTGCGCAGCGATATTGCGCGTTGAAGTGGGTGTGGATACTGGGTGTCGCGGTAGAGCGATGGATACTGCAGGAGCTTGAAGTTCGAGCTCAAAAAAAATCCGAGTATTAGTCTTAGCGCAGAACCGCGCGCCAAGCACGTGACATGGCCCGTGCAGTGCTGCCGAGCCGCTCTGCCCACATCGAAAATTGACATGAATTTCCCAGACACCACGTCGTCAACCTCCACTAACACCCACAGCACAAATCGACAAAATGGTACGTCTACCACCGCCACGATGCATCATTGACCTTTGCGACTCGAACATGAAATTAATTTTTGCAGGTTCGCTACGGAGCAACCTCCATTGACGGCGCAAAGTCTGCCCGCGCCCGCGGCAGCTACCTCCGCGTTTCCTTCAAGAACACCCGCGAGACCGCTCAGGCCGTCAACGGCTGGAAGCTCGAGCGCGCCCTTACCTACCTCGGAAATGTCCTGGAGCACAAGGAGGCCGTTCCCATGAGGCGGTACGCTGGCAGCACTGGACGCACTGCTCAGGGTGAGTGGCCCTGAAATTGATTGGCGCATTGGCGCGATGGGAGGACACATGCAAGAGATGGGACTTGAAGATTGGATGGAGTTTGATTTGGCGATGGCAGGAACGCACGCTGACTTGAGTAGGCAAGGCTTTCGGTGTTTCCAAGGCCCGCTGGCCCGTCAAGTCCGCTGAGATCCTCATCGGTCTCCTCAAGAACGCTGAGGCCAACGCCGACACCAAGGGCCTCGACACCAGCAACCTGATCATCAAGCACATCCAGGTCAACCAGGCTCCCAAGCAGCGAAGGCGCACTTACCGTGCTCACGGTCGTGTACGTATACCGAGACAAATCGCGCAAACTTTCCTAACATGAACAGATCAACCCATACATGTCCAACCCCTCCCACATCGAGCTTATCCTTACCGAAGGTGCCGAGGTCGTCCAGAAGGGTCCCCAGACTCTCGAGCGCCGCTTGAACTCCAGGCAGCGTGGCCGTGCTGTCCGCAAGGCCATCACCGCCTCTGAGGAATAGAGTAAATAAGAGTGGTGATGTTGCGGCGAAGAAAACGGTCAAGGCATGGGCACGGTTTGGAGTCAAATGAGCGATGAATCTTTAGGGTCTTTCACACTCATCATGTATGCATGATATGGCACTTCGATTTCTACGGTGTCTGGTCCATGAAATAAATAGGGCCAAGGCCTGGTTCACACAAACATCGATACCGTATGCGCCTATGCCAATTCCGTCGCCACCTTTGTGCTTCTCCGTTGTGACACCCTCCAATCCGAGATTCTGCGACCGCCATGTCCACACATCACACCACATGGAGGCTGGCGTATAATGCTATGATACTTGTAATGAATGCACGAAACACCATAGTCAGCATAGCCTTTTAAGTAAATTGGAAGCTACCTTTCTATGGGAGCTTCGGTCTATACCTCTTTGTGTTAACTTCCAGACAGCTGGATGGACATACACTATCCTCCTTTAGGACTAGCGTGCCACATGGCTTTTGGCAAGTTGAGGATAAACATCGGTGTATTCCAACCGCTCAATGGCTGTTTTACGGCCCCATTTGGTCCGAATTGCTCCATCGAGGGACGTAGCCGCTGATCTTACGTCGCTTGCCGTTCGTCATATCTTGCGTCGCCTTGCTCCAACCGGGCTGACCAACTTTCCCGTGATCAATGACGCAAGCCCAGCACGAGCCTTGCATGGGCATGTACCTTACCGCAACATGTATGTAAAGATAAGAGCTAAGGTATACTCTGGGATCCGTTGTCAATCGTCTTTCCCCAGATATCTCTCTTCTTTGAAACATTAGCAAAGCTTTTGTGGATATCCAATTTGCGATTCCACAAGTACCAACATGCCTCGCCTACACCCATCCAGACAACACAAACAACAAATGAGACTCACCACCACCGTCCTTTCGATACTCGCCACAACGACGCTTGCACAACAGTCAAAACGTGGCTTTGCATTCATTGGCGACACGCACAAGTCTGATAATCGACTTCTCACCTCCGAAACCTCGCAACTATCATGGTACTACAACTGGTCACCCTACCCAAACAGCGATCTTATCCCAGCCGACCGACTTGAGTTCGTGCCTATGATTCATGGTATCGACGCCACCAAAGACCAACAAACTGAGCGTGTAATACGAGGCTTGCCAGAGAGTAGCAAACATCTGCTATCCTTCAATGAACCGGACGGCTCAGAAGGCAGTGGCGGAAGCAGCATAAGCCCCGAAGATGCTGCGAAAGCTTATATCGATTACGTTGTTCCCTTTCGCAACGGCGACAGCGGAGGCCGAAAATGGTTGATCAGCCACCCTAGCACAACTGGTAGTCCAAACGGTCTTGACTGGTTACGTCGATTTAACGAGTCTTGCTATGATATTGACTCTGAAAACGGTTGCCCAGCCGACTTTGTAGCTGTGCATTGGTACGGTGCTTTTGATGGCCTTGCGGGCTGGCTAGGCACCCTAGATGAGTTCTACAACACCAACACATCGCGAAGCGTCCCGTTGAAGCTCTGGATCACGGAGATGGCGCTGCCCCAGCAAGACGCAGATAACACCGTGGATATGATGAACCAGACGCTACCCTACCTTGATGGTGAGGAGAATGTCGAGAGATATGCATGGTTCGGCGCGTTCAGGCCCGATGACGCGAATGAATGGACCGGCGACGGGGTAGCATTGTTCAATGATGATGGCGGTCTTACGGAGCTGGGAGCGCTTTATATGGGAGACGGATTCAAGGAGGGGCAGAAGGGAGAAGGTGCAGAGGAGGATGCTGGAAGTGGACTCCGTGTCAGCGTTGGAATGATGGCCGCTCTCGCTGTATGCGCTACGGTTTTCGGCATGTTGTAGATGCGTTCCAGCCGAATTATCGCGTTCGTCTTACTCTAGATACCCTAGCCTGTTTTTAGATACCACTGATGCGCTTATAGGAGCGCTGCATAGCATGAATTATAGATGATTTCCTCAACTTTGAAGTGTGTATGTCTTGTTCCAGTCGAGGTGGCTTATCCGAAGCGGTTAGATATTTACCTTGTTGATGGAGATATCTCGGAATAGCTGCAAGATGATTTGACGATGCGAATAATTATTTATTTTTGATGCACTAGTTATTGTCCCTACATGTGCTTTGGCGTACTAATTACATACATCTTCAGGCGGTGATTCCGACGATAAGCGAGTCCTGTGATATAGTTGATACGAATTTTTGGTATGAGATGATCAAATAATCAAACGCTAGTTTTACCGCCAGAAGTATCAAGATGTACCTCTTCTTCACTCGATTCATGAGTCAATCGATCACCCCAGGCTTGCGTTTGGTGCAAATCTGACCGCTTGTTTACATGACAGTTATCACTTTCACTTCCCTTCCCACTTGGGCTGAGGCAAACAGATCAAACGCAACTTTGACTACTATTCACAATAAAGCTAGCTATTTTCTTTTCAATTTCATTACTTCACAGTCACTGTGGATTTGGCTTACATATCATCCCAATATTTCACGCACTCACTTGGATTTTGCACTTAGATAAAAACCATCACCCCACTGTGAGAACTCATCTACCACAGCCATTGCCCCAAGTCTCAACCGAACCCCCTCAGGTCAACCGTCAACAGTTCGAAGTCACATCCTTGAATACTAGATAATAAGTCACAAGCTTGTTGCCGTACGGTGGCGTCAAAACATAAAGCCGCCTTTAGATCTCTATCAGAAGACTCTGAGATTGGTGCTGACAACATTGAGCAAACTAACATAAAAGCAGTCGCCATGTCGTCTCCAAGCAACGCCAAAGGTGAACGCGTTATTGCAACCAAAGCACCACGTCAACAGCCCTCTTCTGTCACCTCCGAGCCGACCATCTCTCAATTGCTCCATACGCGTCCATGGCTCTCACGCCCTCAGTCTGTGTCAGAACAAGACCTCTTCATCATCCATTGTCGTGATAACCTTGTCCCCGGTGCCACAGGCCCGAAAGACTGGGATGAAGTGACTGCCGAGTACAACCAGAAGTTCCGCGAGCAAATGAAGCCATTGTCATGGAAGACACTAAGCAAACGCTGCGGCATCGCCCGCAAGATCTTCATGGGCGAAAACGAAGACTATGTCCACGTACTCACGTACCCAGTCCCCGACATTGATGCAGAAGGAGAATCTGACGAGGATGTGGATATGGACACACAAATGGTAGGTGAAGAAGCGTTGCTTTCTGATCCTACTCAGCCTACCCCCCAACCTCCCAGCCCTCCCCCTCCGACCCCAGTTCCCTTCCCTCTACCCTCCTCACGCTCGATGCCCGGATTCTACGACCCGGAATCCATCTCAAAAACCTACATCACACCCACCACCCGCGCAAAATTCCACATCCGAAACCGCACAACTTCGTTCGTGCGCTTCCATTTCCTGAACTCCAACGAGGAGCGCCTGGTCAAAGACAACCCGCAATGCGTCGATATCAAGATCATGATTGCCAACTCACCTTTCTACGCCCGAAGCCTACACCGCAGCGCAAACTACACGATCATCGACGTTCCCGAGAAGTTCACCGCACGCACGGTCAACGCATTCATCCAACTCCTCGCTCCCGTACGCGCAACGCAGCTGCCCGAGCACTACCTGTGGAAAGCACAAGCGGCCACATCGGATGTGTACGACCGGTTTGGCGTTGTGAAGGCTGAGAAGATCGAGTGGACGGTTGTGAGACTGCTTGATCTGCTGTTTTTCGCAGAGATACTCGAGGTGGGGTGGGTTGTCGATATGGTTATTGATCGACTTCACTTTCTGTTCGTTGAGCAAAAGCGACTCAGTCAGATCGATGGTGCGGTGAGCGATACTCGTGTCTCTAGTCGATCGCGCGCGTCTACAGTAGCTATGTACCCGACCAAGCTCAGCGCAGAGGACTTCGGAGAAGGCATCGTCACGCATCTAGCGGAGGTATCGAAGGACGTGCAGACGCTGAGGTTCATTGCGAATCTGATGCGTGGACTTGGTAGCAACACGGATGCGACGTGGATTACCAGGGTATCCAACAAAGTAAAGCAAGTCTTTACTTATGCGTCAGAGGATCATCTCATTAACTGCTCGCGCGAAGAGCACTGCAAGAGGTACCATCATCACCCTCATACTGCACGCGGCTGCTACACATCTCACATCGTCCATCCACCATCTACGTTCATCAGAGCGCTCTACAACTTCGCCACACCGGAAGAGCTTATCAGACACTCGAATGGACTGTTGCCGAGCGGTGCAGGCGGTATGTCGCACACTGAGTTAAGTAAGCTGAGGGAAGAGAACTCGGTGCCTGAGATATTGAATGCGGAAAAGAAAGTGCTGGAGATGGAGAGTCGTCTGGAGAAGGCGAAAGCTGCTTTGCGATGGGCACGGGATGCGTTGGGGGATGAGAAGCAGCATGCTATGCGAGAGGCAGGCGAAACTGCCGAGGAGATGTATAGGCCCAGTCAGCTTTAGTGTAGAGGACTATTGTTTACAGTCAGCTGTCGTACATCCGGGAAGTTGGATAGGCGTTTTGTTCTGGTATCAGTGAGCATGGAAAAGGAAGCTGTAGGAACTTGGCGTTGCTGTTGGTGTATTTGTGGATCTAATGCTTGAGACGTAAATGTATGTGTTCCTGTTTCAGTTCCTGAAGTACTCAGAAAAGGCATTATGGAATACGGTATTATGAATGTTTGGATGTTAAAACAGTCTTGGAATCTTCTAGTGATTTGCTTTCAATTCAGACTTTAATCCGTGCCTTCATTATCATACTATCTTGTGATGGTAATGTGCAAACTATATTTAACACCCTTCCAAATTGATCGGTCACCGATGTATCGACTTTCGTCCGAGACTTCATAAGATCGTCTGAGACTTCACAAGAAATAGCCAGACTGGCAGCATCCTCGTATTTAGATCTTCTCAAGCTCAAGAACATTTCCTTGTCCATTAACAGCAACCTTCTTCTTCATAAGCGATGCGTTTCTTGGATTCGGTGCATTAAAGATGTCATCGATTTCTTCAAGAGTACGGTTCTTGGTCTCTGGAATGAAGAGCCAGACAACGAATGCCTGAACGGGGCACCAGCAGGCAAAGACAATATACAGCTTCCAGCCGATATTTCTCAGAGCGACAGGATACGCGAATTGGTTGATCAACATAGCCGCTTGGAGCGCAACCTGCGAGAATGCCATGCCTTTGGCTCGTATCTCAAAAGAGAGCACCTCGACTGGGTAGAGGGCTTGGAGCGGCGTAATACCAAAGGCGAAGACGGCGTTGAAGAGAAATACTAGTGCGACAAAGGCGTTGCCAGCAGGGATACTGTGGTGACTGTTCTGATACGAGACTGCCCCAATAGCAGCAACCCAGACAAAGCTGATGATACTGAATGTGCCTATCAACATGGGTCGGCGGCCGAGCTTGTCAACGAACGTAGCACCAATGACAGCCTATTGTATTTTGTTAGACTGAATACCATGTTTGATATTAGAAAACTTACAAAGGTAAGTTGCATGCAGCTCTTGCCCAGGTTGATGTTCATTTGCTTGATCTCTGATGTAACACCAGCCGATTCAAGCACTCCCGCAATAAAATAATCCACGGCTCCATTTCCGGCCCATTGAGCAGCGATGGACACTACGCAGTTGCAAGCAAGACGGTAGCGGGCTGGGCGGCTCATGAAGAGAGACCTATAATCCCACCAGCGCTTATCACCTCCATCCATGTTTAGATAGATGTTATACTCATGGACTTGCATGGAGACCCATATACTATCCTCATTGCCACAGCCATGATACTTTGAAAGAATTTTCTTGGCCTCTGTCTGTTTGCCACGAGTGTAAAGCCAGCGAGGCGATTCCTTTGACAAAGTCAGTATGCGTGCATCTCAGCGCCTTAGTCAGTGCAGCTTACGGGTAAGAACCAGGGTAGTACAACGAGAAGGCCTGGAAAGAGCATCTGCATCCACACAGGAATTTTCCAGGACTGATTGCCTGCAAGATTCGCAGATCCACGCGTAACGCCGGCTGCAAGAATCGATCCAACAAACCAGAACGTATTGTAAAGACCAGTTATGACACCGCGATGAGACGGATGCGCAGTCTCGATGACGTACACGGGTCCGGCAGTCGACATTATCGGGACGGCAAATCCAAGCAGAAAACGACCGCCCATGACTTATCGGAAAGTTAGTGAGATTTGCACTCGCCATTGTCGATCGGAACGACTTACATTGCCCTACAGGGCTCGAAGCGGGGGAAGTCGCTTGGATAATTACACCGATGCAACCAAGAGTGCCTCCGATAACCATACCGACCCTGCGGCCCCAGGTATCACAAGCCGGGCCGATGAAAGGAAGCACGACAACACCCCCTATCTGATACATTGATGTCACGATACCAGCCCAAGCACCGGTACTTTGGACATTATAGTATTCCTTGAATTGCTTATTGGTGAGAAGAGCACCGAACATGGAGCCATCGAATCCGTTGCAGGTGGAGCAAAGGAAGCCAACAAACCCGCAAATGTAAAGCAGGATGGCCGAGCTGGTGAAGAGCTTTACGGGCTCTTTCAATCTGGCTTCTGCAATTGCCTCCGAACCTGCGACAATGGCGATTTCTGACACAACATTCTTGTTGGACTATCATCGTGTCAGAAGGTGAGGGCGAAACAAAGTTTGGAGGTTAGTACTTACGGCATGCTCCGCGGTCGTACTGACATGTGGTTCCTTGGATTTCGCCATTGTTTTGGCAGAGACGCTTGCAATGAAGGAGGTGTGGAGAAGCTTTTGTGGGGAAACGATCAGACTATAAACCATCTGGGGAGAGGCATACAAGCCGTTCCATCTTGACAGTGGATCGGCCTATGGCCCGAAATGGCCGGCTTATGCAGTATTCCAGCCGCGTTGAACCAAGACCAGAGTTCCAGAAACAAGACGCCAAACAAAGGAAATAAGAAACCTCTAATCAGTCGTCCTATCAAAAAGCGGTTTCCCCGTGGCTAGGACAACCCTTGATAATTAAGTTGACATGGATGTGCGCCATCGCCTCAGGGATCACGGAGATCCGGGAGGAGCCCCTTCCTTGGGCATCTAACGGAACAAGCAAGCGCAATAGTTGGCAGCTTCGAAGCAGATGGAGGTACCGTAGAACGTATTGGATCTTGCGAGGCGTCAAATAAGGTTGCGATCTCTGACGGTAAGGGACTCCACTGTCATGTCATTCGTTGATAATCGCGCATTATTGATGTTCTACGTGAATCAACCTCGCCGTTTACTTTAAAAACGGCGTTTGTATCGCAACAGGTGGAACGGTATGCCTCCGTATCAGCAGAGAAACATCGATAGGTATTGATCTAGAAGGCGGACTGCTCACTTTGACTGCAGTGTTTGGCGATTGAGACACGAAACCATTATTGGATGCAAACTGCATAGTTCGAATAAGCTCCAGTTTGGATGTTCTTGAAGCGCGTGAATATGGTCTTTGTTCATGTTGTCCGCATTTCTTATGGATGGCAGCGCAGCGTTGGCGGAAGTACTAGCGTCTGGCTTTGCATCTGAGCCATGGCGTGGGCATGAGAGCACTAACGAACCAAGCCGATATTCATTACGATAATGCATACTGGTCAAAAGAGGAGTAGTAAGACGGGATCCTGGTGCAACGGAGGAATTTCCTTCGCTCCAGTCACGTCTAGCGGTTGTCGAGTTGAGGTAAAATACGTGCCGAGCGGGGTAGATGTGTCGGACAAGCGTCAGATTGGTACGTATTCTGCATCACGGCAGGCGTACTGTTCGTCACAAACGGCCATCTTCCCCTTGCTATACCCAATGCGGATAAGCTATCGAGAGACGGTGTTGGTGTCCAGTCCATACCTTAAATCCACGGCCGCGACGATCTCGTGTTACCTTGCAAGTAAGACGGAAGGAAAACAGTCAGATGATATGCGGCGGGCTTGCAACGTTATGGACAGGGTGCTTCCGATGTCTCGGACAATGGCACTCCGGGCCGGTTTGGATTTGAAGACCAGCTAAACTCCCATTGGACTTCTCTATGGCAAGGGTAGTATGCCTCCAGAGTTCCACGGCATTTATCGGCGCTCTTCCGGGAGGCATACCCGTTGAGCATTTCCACAGTAGATATTGTGTCCGTCTTTGAATACTCGCAAATATTATTTCACGAGGTGTTAGGCCAAGATTATCTCTTCTATAACGTACTAGTCGAACTGGCCATCTGTTTTGGGAGCTTGAAATGCACCATCTCAACACTGAGGTGCAGAAGTTTGACATCAGTACCACTCCAATCAATTCTAAGATATATTATTGGAAGTGACAAAATTTCCGTAACAAAACCACACGATCTTCAACACAACATCTTGCCGAGAAACTTAGGATATAATCAAGCATACTGCAGGTTGACGCATCCTGAACCTACAGGGGCCCTGGTCGAAGTAATATATGCCAATATATTTTTACGTTCTCTATCCCAAAAGCGTCCATCTACTATAGTAGCATTTCCTAGCTATTCTGAACCTCTCTTAAGCATTGTGAAAGATAGGGACGTGGTACCAGTAGCCAGCGAGATACTGTATGAATGCGTGCATACAACCATCTTTTACTGCAAGGCTCATTGCTAAGACACACTTTAGGGCGAGTACACTCTCATGTGTTTGCTGTAAGAAATCATACTAATACCATCATCGAAATCATCAACATTCAAGCATAAGAAAGCATGGAGTCTCGAACATGCTCAGCAAGCGCTATCCCACACTTCCTCCTCGCAAGCAGCTCCTCACTCAATCCCGCCGCACATACCGCCTCAACCCAAAACCTACGCGCCAGATCACCATACTCCGTACAATCAAACAGCAAGTTAAGCTCATCAACATCCAACTCAACTTCTTCACCCCCATCAGCCAACATCTGCCAGCGATCCAACACCAACCCTTTCACATGCTCATCTTCTAACTGCGCAGCGAGACAGTATAGCTGTATGAGGGAAACCTCCTTCCCTATCTCTTGATTCGGCGATGCAGGAAGTTCATCTGAAGATGCGCACGCGACATAGCACTGGATGGCTGCTACTGCCGAGATGTTCAGCTCAACTTCCAGTTGAAGTTCGCTGCTTCGAAGTCGACCGAGAACACCGGAACTTCGCTGGAAAAGTTGGCTGTCGATGCTAATAGCGTCGATAGGTTCTCCATGCGTATTTAGGATCTGGATGGTGACAACACCGGTGTTGATTGCCGTTCCACGCTCGATGTAGTAACGCATGTCGGATTGGTTGCGAATGTCATCTGGAGGTAAATAGCCTGCTATATGCCCACAGGCAGCCTGTTTGTCCAGAAGCTCATGTGTGTTCCCATATCTACGTTCAGTAGCGCTAGTTTCAGGACAAGGAGTTTGTTGGAACTTGTCTTTTTCCGCATACACGATTGTGGTGGGATAGTTTGGGTGTTTTGCTAGCCATGAAGTGCGATGCTGTCTCACTCGCTTCTCCATCGCTGCTGCAGTGACGGAGACATTGTATTTCTCGTTGTATGCTGTTGCTACAGCTCCCCATGTCAGAGGGCCATTTGTGGTGGAGGCTGTGCCGTATGCATCCGGTTTGTTGTTATCGCGCGTTATGATTATGAAATGGACCTGTTCGTCTAGAATTTGTTGCTTTGCACGTTTCTGCGCAGGGGTCATAGCTTGATGTGTTTGGCGGTGGTATTTCGCGGGTGGGTAACTAATGATAAATCCTTGCCTACCATGGCGGTATCTGGAGTTGCTGGAGGTGTCATCATCTGTAATGTTAGCAGCTGTATTGCCGCCATCAGATCGGTTGGCTTTTCGAACCAAACGGATATTCTTCAGTTCTTTTGCCCACTGCCCTAATTTACTATTAGTCGTAGTCTTAGCACTGCGCTCACGTTTTGCCGGAGCCATGAGTGGCCGATATGCAGCGCCGAAATGGAGATATATCTAGTCCAGTTTGCGCAAGGAGATGCCCATTGTCTCAGCTCCATGAATGACCGCAGAGATCCTTCGCGAATATGCTATACACCATACTTCCATCCTGTGGATGTTTGCATTGAGCATCAACTCCTCCAAATGCTTCCAACCGTTTCTCACCATCAACGGACGGAAAGGGGGCCCATTGTCTATCAGCTCACCCTGACGGCGCTAGAGCATAGGAAAATTGCGTATACTTCATTATCCAGTACGTGATAATCTTCTTCCAAGATGTTAATCGTGGACGGGCCAAGGATAATGCATGCTTCTTGAGTTGGAGCCGGAACATTTTGAAGAAAATTTCGCCAGGAGCATCTGGATAAAGCCCTACGTCAACAGTCGTCGCGTTGCACGTGATGCTTAGTCAGAGTTTGATCTCAATTGATTTTGTTCGCCTTTGACAAGAGGGTGCATCGGAGACGATCGGATCGTGTTTCTTTTTGCAGGAGAGACCACTGGAGTTCATTCCAAAACATAACTAAAGAGATAAGCAAATATACGATGCTAATTTGAAAAAACTTTCATGTAGGATCAATTGAATTTGAAAAATACATCAGCCTTGCAATAAAATCCTGGGAGTATACCTTGAGGATAGCTAATGCATCGCTGTATAGTTGTTTAATACTCGTGATATGCAAAACTGACAAAGTCAGCACTTATCATCTCGACTCAGACCCCTGTATGTATTGTTGCAAGTAAATAGGTGGAAAGGCGCAGTATAGCCCAAGCGTCCTTCTGCTGAGGTTAGATACACAGACGAAGGATTGTGGGCTTGTTGTTCTTGGCATCGCGTTCAGGGGTGGCCCCTGTGGCGCACCACGTAACTACTACGTATATTGCGGCCTATTTGTTACGAACTGCGGCCAACAAACCCGTGCGTGGCGCTCTTCTCCTTCATGTGGACACACCTCAGACCCGCGGAGTAATAAGGGGGGTTTGTGGTGGCAGTGTTGGCCAAGCTGGCCGCATGCTATAACCAGGACGCGTGCTATCATGTGTGATGCATGAGAATTCAAGAATTGTCAGCCTCGTTTGGTGCCATGCGGCGGCTACCAGATCAACCGTCAAAACATGAGGTTCGTAGGTATGCCGGGCTGACCGCGCGCGAATGGGATGACGTATTTGTTGTGAGACCGTAATCTTATCCTCCTCACCCTCTGCGAAATCTGACCATGGATAGGCCATAATAACCAAAGAAGCGAGGAGGCTCAGAGAACAAGACCCTGACATACTATGGAGGGCTCTCGATCAAGAGACAAAGAACGCGATCGTGAACAATGTCAACCAGAAGTTAGCCGAAAAGAATATTCGACCAGTGAGCTTGGAAGTCGTAGGGAAACGTCTCGGTCTGTCGTTAACTCGCATGAAGCATGAAGGCATGTGTAATCGTCTACTTCTTCAGTAGCTTAATCTGACTGTTTGTTGTACAGCTCGCAAGAAGGCTTTGGCTGCGAAACAGAAGGCACCTACTAATACTGCTGCCGTTGCTACTGGCACGCCTGCCCAACGAGCCCGGCCTTATGACCCTGTGCGAGACCTATAGTTTTGCACATGCATGCTCTTGACACGATTCATCTACATCCTCATACCTAGCTACACCTTCGCCAGGCATATTTGTTGCGCTATATCTACCTCCGCTAGATGGCATAACGATTGCGTTATGCGTATCTAGTAACGGCTTCGTTACACCATGGTTACGGAGGAGCTTATGACCAAGGCGAAAGTGACACAGCGCATCGATCGGTCCCTCAGAGAACATGTTCAACTATGCCTCTGGATTTGAGGGAATCTTTTCAAGTGGGCTGGTCTCCCCAGATCGATGCGGCGATAGCGAAGAACGTCCGGATCGACATTGACAGTTTTATCGTCCAGGAAAATTCGACCGAGGACCAGTCGGCAAGTTGACTAAGTCACTACTGCCGACACGGAGTGGATGTTGTTCAGAAGGCAGAATGAGATGATAGCAGCAAACAAAGAGAAATTTGGGAGCATATTTGAATGACGGGGTGAACGTTTTGTGCAGTTGAAGCGTGGGTTGATGTTGTACTCTGTCTTTCTCTACCTCCCGTAGTGTGATGTCGGGCGGCGCTCAGCGGCAATATACTCGGTGATAGAAGTAGTAAATTCATCCGTTGCTCATCTCACGTGGTGATCGTTTGGCTGTACTGATTGACTCAAGATAAAATACTGCAATTGCAGTGTGTGTGTTGAACAAGAGATGAAAAAGGGGTGGGTGGGCTGCCCTTCCCTTCAAGATCAAGGCTGTTATCGATAAGGACCACGTTGCAGGCATCAACCGCGTCCCGTACTGACCCTCCGATCCACCACCAACATGTGAAGCCCACGCGCCTACAGTACGCGTTGCGCAAACCATGTACCACCTTCTCAAGTCCATATACCTGCATGCGACGAGCAAAGAAGGTAACATGCACCCCCAGGATCACTTGATCTGAGGCCCCAATCGGCTATGCGCCCGCACTTTCTAACATTCGCGCTCAGAATACTCGGTCCTGCTCCTCGGCCTTGACAATGCTGGCAAAACAACTCTCCTCGAGCAAATAAAAGGCACATATACTTCGTCCAACGCCAACCTCCGCACCGTGCCCACTGTGGGCCAAAACGTCGCTACCATCGCCCTTCCACCGCCAAACCCGCCCATCTACCTCAAGATATGGGACGTTGGTGGTCAGCATAGCCTCCGCGGCCTATGGCAATCTTATTATAGCAGCTGCCATGCCATTGTTTTTGTTATCGACAGCAGCGATGTAGGAAACGCGACGCTAGCGGATCTGAGCGCGAGCAATGCGGCGAGCAATGAGGATATAGGCAGACTGGATGAGTGCAAGCTTGTCTTGGAGAGTGTATTGGCGAATGAAGAAGCGAGTGGTGTGCCTATACTTATTCTGGCGAATAAGCAAGATAGAGAAGATTGTGTGGAGGTGGTTAGGATCAAGGAGGGGTTCGTGCGGAGGGTGTTTGAGGGCGAGAAGGGAGGCAATATGAGGGATAGCCGAGTGTTGCCCTGTAGTGCGCTTACGGGTACGGGTGTGCAAGAGGCAGTTGAGTGGTTGTGCAGCAGGATGGCTTTTAACAAAGAGGCGAGGCCGCCGGTTATGCGGTAGTCTTGATGCTCTTCGGAGATGGACAACATTGATATACCCCAAGGCGGTCGACTAAGGTTTTCTAACTCATAGAGTTGATAGGAAAAAGGCAGATAAATTTTTATGTAAAAAATTGCATGAAACCTATGACCTCCAGGCCATCTAACCAAGACCAAGCAATCCAAGTACTTTACGACAGCAAGGCTTTTTATACACATGACACAATATCCAACAATTCAACTATCAACTTTCATCCAAAACAAATGCTAACACTATTCAGACAAACACCCAACCCACACTTCAATCATTCCCTTTACACCCATCCGTCCAACACCTCGCCCTCACTCAAACCGGCGTCTGAAACGTCACCTTCCACTCATACCCCTTATGCTTCCCCGGATCATCATAATACTCAAACTTCCACTCTGTAGTCCCCAACCCATTAACACTCATTCATATTCGGCAGCATAGTCTTCTGTTCCCAATCCCACGTCGCCCAGCCAGCCCCCTCAATCGTATACTGTCCAGATAACACTTTGTACCAGCCCTCGCAGCGCCCGTAGACGTTTTTGGGTCCAGGCCACGGCCAATTGCTGCACCCGGGATGCATTTTGTATTTTATGTCCCCGGCGTCGCGGATTCAACGGCCACCGCCCTGCCAGTTCATCGGGTTATCTTTCGCATTATATGAATTAATTATATTTCGCATGGAATCGATGCATTGGTCTCTATTGATTACAAAATTCTCATTTGGAAGATTAACGACTAAGTCGTGTTGGGCAGCCTGGTGGTGAAGGGGCCCGTCGGTCGAGTTTATGTCTGACGGCAGCATGCGAATCAGGCGACTTACAGAGGATTGAATCGTAAATCTTACGCTTTAGATGCGTCTCGCAGGTCTCAATAGCGGCCTTGACACACTTGACCTGGCGTTCCCCAGAGTTAATCCGGTCAAGGTCTCCGGGCACTGTGAAAGCCACCTCGTCGGAAGTGATCTGATGGCCAAGCAGTCGTCCGGCACTGATTCCTGCCGTATAGCTGTCACCGATAGCTACCCACCGTTTGATTTATTCCATATTGTTGGGATCACCATCTTGCTTCAGGGGGGTGAGGAAGTCGAGGAGGACGACCAGTTGGCGGGCGAAAAGGACTCTGCACGTTGTGAGGTATAGCCATTAGCCACACTAATAAGAGCCAACAGATTGACAAGCGGCTCCGAAATCACGATGAAAAGTACTGTTGGACCAGAATGAGCGACATGAATCAAGAATCAGAGGAAGGATGAGTGTGAACGAGAGATGGTGTAAGGCAAAAGAGGATAGACCAAAGAGCCCAAGTTTAGACTTGAGCAAGATGAATGACTTGATCGGATCTCATCAAGATTGCAAAGGATCAGGAGACACGGAGCAAATAAAGTTTCAGGAAAATACTCAATCGCTCAACCACTACCATACTTCCATGTCCTTTCATCACACACCTGGGAGCCTAATCCAAGACACAGCAATACTCAACACAAATGAGTATCTTCACCAGAACCTTGTGGCGGTTGAAAATCATACACAAAATTTCAATGTCTTACATGCAGGCGAGACGACTAGGTCGCATCGGGCAGGCGAAGATGCGCACGAGGCAACCCCCAACTTTAGCGATGGTATTCGCCTAGATGTCCGTCTCAAGGATCTAGTCTCAAAATGGAAATATTCAGCTCACAACTGTAAGCCATCGATCTCATATCGGCTATATGATGCGATACAGCGAGTCATAGGGCAGACTAGCATCTGCAGTCAAGGGGTGGGATGCATTTGCGGGTGGTCCCCTGATCGGTAGATGCATATCCCCCGCCTGTACCTGACGGCTAAATGAACGGTAGGGCGTAGGGCTGATTTTCAAGGGTAGTTTTGGAGGATTCTGCAGGGTCCTCGTTTATAGTAGGCTAAGCTAAATTGAACTTCATCCTTTACTTCCCTTGGCATATATGACGTCTGAGTACTGCTACCAGAGGCTGGGGGGTGTCCTGGGTGCTTGTATTTTTAGCAGGTTACTATGTCTGTGTTGGTGTCCAGCGGCAATTAGGCAACACTGATCTCGAATACGAGACGCCACAGCCCGAGTTCAATCCACCTCTAGAGCCAACCACATATATCCCTATTACGCTGCCCACAGTAACTCAAGTTTCACGCCGAGTCCCTCCCGTGGGCCCATGCCTTCCAACTGCAAGATGTTCTACCGGACTGCCGCTGACCAAAACTGCAATGACATTGTCCGATTATATAGCTACTTCTTTCAACAGCAGTTCTTCGCATAGAACCCAGTTCTCAATGGCAAATTTCAAGGTCTCTAGCTCGATACGTAGCATTACGTCAGTGCATACTCTGACAACAAACTCGCACTACCAGCCCACCAGTACGGCAACGATCATCACTCAGAGACCACCTGTGCCCACGTAGAAGGATGATATCTGTAGAGGAAGGAAATTAGTAGGGATTATGTAGTGACATTTATAAGCGTTGTGTTACCATGCCGGTATGAGGTGCATACATATAGTAAGCTATCGGCCGCTCACATCTGTTGACTTGAACTTATGCGAATGTCCAAGATCGTACTGTGCAACATGACACATTTTTTGTATGTAGAGGCGTGGTAAAATAAAGATCAGGCTGTTCTTCGGACGACTATACCAGATTTACTGTGCTACATGGCGCAATTGATGTATGTGGGTCTGCTAGTGGCAAAATGTTATTGAGACAACACCTCGCTTTTCTTAATCATCACGAGTATAAATAGTATAGATCGTACTTTTTACAGTGTGGCGCATACTCTCTACCCTGGCCTGTATCGTCCCCTTTCCAGCGGCTCGTATACATGAACTCTGTCATGTAACACAATATATCAGAATGTGTTTGTGTTAGAATAAAGTACACCGATACGAATACGATCTCCCTTCATGCCCCGATCTTTGGGTCTCCTAGAGATAGAAATTAGCTACGAAAATTTTCACGGCCTGTGACGCATATCATCAGGCGTACTACTACAGGGGTGTGATCGTCAGCAAGCGGATTGATGAGTAGGGTTTCCTCAGCTGCAAGAGCTTATAACTGTACCACCCGCCTGTTGAGCTCTTCTTCTATTCCGCACTTTTACAAAACCTCAAAAATGGGCAAAATCCGAGCTTGGGTGAAGAAACACCTCTTTTTTCAGATCGGATCCACCGAAGTACTTTGGAGAACACCTCCCATTCCTTCCATCTTCACGACGTCCCATCACACCGACTTCATTGAGCACACCAGGGTGTCCATTCTTCCAACTCCCTGCCAAAATCCGCAACATGATTCTCACCATGGCTTTTGGCGGGCGTGCCCTTCACATGGACATTGTGCGCAGCCACGAAGGCTGGGTATGAAGAGGTGCTATTTTCCACCTAAAGTTACCGGGGGCACTGTCATCTACGCGATATTACTGGGAGTCTGATATTTGCCCAAATGACAGGTGGAACGCCTGTGGATGCAAAGAAACACCTCCGGAAGAGTACAAAGTTGGCATCATGGGCTTCCTGTTGTCATGTAAACAAGCCTACACCGAAGGCATTGATATCCTGTACTCTACCAACATCATCACCATCCAGACCACGGTTTTACTCTTCTACCTTCCGATCTCATCCTACCCAGCCGACTCGCCTGTATCACGTCCCTGGAAATAATCGTCATGGACGGATATGTCGAGGCAAACTTCCCTAGGCGAACCTTCATTGACACAGATAACCTGGAGCCCATCCTCAACAACATCGTCTCGAGCTGCCGCCAACTACGCAGCCTATGCATCAGTCTCAAGGGTTGGTGGTAGGACTATACTGACCTTAACATGACGCCGGGACTACACCTCATTGACGCCTTTCAACGCTCCCCACACCTACGTGACTTGAGAGTCGAAATCCCTTATCGAAGCTGCTTCAAAACAGCCATTGACAAGTCTACCGTGAATCATCCGCGTGAAGCACCGACTACCGGGATGCCTCAGATATCGCTATGGAGATCATTGGACAGCGGGGAGCCCATGATGCAGAATAGATCGCTTGAGCGGTATCCGTTTCCGCCGCGGGTGCTGGGGGATGGGAATGAGGAGAGTGCTGGATATTGGGTTTTGTAGTTTGATGAAGGGCCTTATATGTTTAGAGTGTCCGGAGTAGGTTTTTACTATGCTTGGGAAAGTGAGTTGGTACCGTAATGGAATATGAAGCTGGGTTCAGGTAATGTAATGCGTTTGGCGTTTGACAGAGCAAGAGTGTTGTTTCTCGTTAAAGATGGTCTTTTTTTTGTTTTTCTTTCCAATTGGAGTAGATTGCAATTATGGTAAACATTTCTAATAATGAGCAATTGTGGGAAGTTTAATCACTTGAATAGATGCTTGAGCTGACGATTCATCATCGCTTACTAGTTCGCATCATATTTGAATCAATTGCCAGTCATATAGCGCTAAAGTCCGTGATTGCTATTATGAACTCAACAAATTCGCATGCCTATTTGACGATTTCCAACTTGAATGGAAAACATTACTAAGGCAGACTTCCCATAAGAATACGGTAAAGCACAAGCGAACCCAAAAAAAAATGAAAAGGTTTCGTAATCATCTCATTCATTCTATTTTAGAACGTATAGTCATAATCTATTTAACTTTAATAACCCTTCCAAATAACCTCTTCACACTCAGGATGCTTAAATGCCCCATTGCACAATTCATACTCATACTCCAGATCCGGCTGAAACTCCCAGTACATAACTTCAGGATCACTCCCCATCTTAAACGTATACTCTGCCGCCGCATCCTCGACATAAACCTTGGGAACGCCATTGGCAGCCGCAGCCTCAACCTGCAACTGCACCTCACACGACCGCTCCATGAGCGTATACAAATAAGCAGCCTCATCAACCGTATCACCCACAGTCTGTGTAGTTCACCGTCAGCACCAACTAAAAAACAACAACAACATGGGCTATCCCTGTTTGAAAAAAAACGAACGCTCAGGGTCCTAAACTTACCAGCAACCCATGATTCCTTAAAATCAGACCCTTACCCTTCGGTCCCAGCGCACCAGCTAACCGCTTCCCCTCCGCCTCATCAAACACAATACCCCCGAAATCCTTGTACACAGCATGTGCTTCGCCGTAAAAGTAGCACACGTCCTGGTTAATCATTTCAAGGGGCTTGGCAAAAGCACTCCAAGCCTTACCGGCGGTACCGTGGCAGTGGCACGCAGCGTTGACATCGGGCCTTGCCTTGTGCACAGCCGAGTGAATCAAGAAGCCAGCGGCGTTGGCAGGCCTGCTGCGGTTTCCGCCAACGGCGTTGCCGTCGTAGTCGACGAGCACCATGTCGGCGGCTGTGAGCAGGCCAAAGTGCTTACCGAGCGGGTTGGTCCAGAAGGTGTGCGGGTTTTCCGGGTCGCGCACCGAGATGTGGCCGCTCATGCCTTCGGTGAGACCTTTTCGGGCAAAGACCCGGAACGCGCCTGGGATTGAGGTTATTATGCTGTTGCGTGGATGAGACGGGTGAGAAGGTGTACCGACCGGCCATGTGGGAGAGGATCCATGCGCGTTGTTTATCAAAGGAGGAGAAGAGAGGGACGCTGGGGAGACACACGCCCTGGGATATCGCTTGAAGCGGTGTCAATTCTTTTGATGCATCGTCTTTGGAATGCGGCACCAGCTGTTTGGATTGCGGCGTTGGTGTTGCTTCGGCTGGGATGGCGGACGGGGCCATGGCGGTGATAGTTGGGATGCTAAGAGTTACTACTATTATCTGTGGTGAGTAGTAGAGAAGGCGAAATTATTCGGAAAGCGGGTGCTAAATTAGAATCCGATCGGACTTATGCAGCGGAGATGATGGCTTCTTATCTCAACTCGATAAAATCCCTTTTCGCTCAATAAGGCGTGTACATGCGAATTAGTGGTTGCGTATCGACCGGCCCGGTTTCAACTCGTGGCTACCACCTGCGGGGTAGTAGCCGGCTCTGCCTACCTAAACCACCACTTTTCTTCTCTCTTCTCCGGTTCACGGCGGACAGCATGACATTGTCGTCGTGAAACTCCACTCGGCATTGCTATCCGGAGAAATGTGTCCGGTCAAGAGACTTGCTTTGCATTTTTACGTATATTCCATTTTTCGTACTGTTCCGACGCCAACGTTGTCCAGCCGGCCGGCAAAAACACGCAATCATTGATGCCATCTGCGCTCATCCTAAAAGAATGCAACTATTGGTATAAATTAAAAATAGCAATTACGATTTTCTTTTTAGGTTCAGCAATCCAGGTCTTCGCCTCAAAGCTAGTAGCCCGCCCCAGGGCCCAGCAATGGTGTAAAAATACGAAGAAGAAGAGAAAAATATAAACAGTTGTTGTATCTTACAGACGTCCCTGAATCTCGCCTTTACATCTTTCCACCAGGGAAGCTCGAAAGCAATCCCATATCGAACTTGGCAGCCTGTGGGCACCCAAGCGTAGCAAGAATAGGATCAAGCACACCCGTCAGCTTGCGTAGCGCAAGCACAACATTGCCAAGCAGGCCATCCAGGATATCCGGCGAGGCAAACTGCACAAACTGGAACGCAAAGCACATGGCATTGTTGCCTTGAAGCAGCGTCTCAGCGTTGAAAACACCACCGGTCAAATCCGCAATATTGACACCAGTAAACGTGTTAGGCTTGCCGGTGTTACCGCCAATAACAGCCATGTAGGGGAGCGCCTGCAGCGCGCGTACAGCGTCGAGAGCAAAAGACGCAATACCGTATTCATCACCGATAGCACGGCGGTAATACTAGACACCCAGATTGTCAGCAAAGCGAGATCCTAGCCCAAACACGCCAAGAGATGGTAAAAGTGAACATACATTATCAGGAATCCTCTCCCGACCAGACGCCCACTTAAAACTCCCCTTCTCACCCGTCACCCCCTCAAACGCCTTGAGCGTCTCCAAATCCAGGTAGCCATCAGGAAACTGCGCGCTGTGGTTGCGGAAAAAGTGGAAAGTAAAAAGGTACGTCGCCGTGTTGATCGCAAAGTGCGTAAACGGCCCCGCAAAGTAGCGTCCATTCGTCGCAATTGAGTTGTTGAAGCGCGAACCCCGGAAGGGATGCATGACGGTGAGATCGTATCCGTTCGGGCCGAGCGGCATGGCAGCTAGTTGTTCGAATTGAGAGAGGTCGAGGGAGTCGGTATCGCCGCTGTTCACCATTAGCCATCACCACCCCCATTCATCCATCCATCCATCCATCCCATCAACTAAGTAAATAATGAAAAGGAAGGGAGGGAAACGTACGTCTTGTACAAATCCGCTCGCGTAGGCGAACAATCCGCCTCAAACCGATTATGCGACGCGCTCAATCCCTGCGGCTCGCCCAGCAGGCCAAGCGACGACGTCGCGCTTGTAAGCAGACCGCCGCTCTTGGGCTTACCGCCAATAGACACGGTGGTGAGATCGCCGGCGACGAGGCCGGAGTAGACGGATAGGAAGGCTGAGAGGTCGGTTGCCATGCCGAAGACTAATCCGTCACTCTGTTAGCAACCTGAACTGAGGAGGGGTGGATGGGCTTTGAGATTTTGGAGGTGGAATACGGACCTTCAGTCGATGCAGTCGTCAACTCAAGCACAGATGCAACTCCCGTTCGCGAGATATATCCATGGTTTGCGAGGACATTGAGGCCAGGGCAGGGTCCACGGATGTCGTTGGGGCCTGGTGCTATCTATTGTTGTCTCGTTAGCTAACCTTTCTCATTCTATCCTAACTCCTAACCCCCCCCCCCCATAAACACCAAATTACGAGCGAGAGCGAGAGCGAGAGAAAAGAGAGCAAGACAGAGAAATAGAAAAGGAGAAGAAGAAGAAGAAGAAGAAGAAGAAACATACATATCGATGCACCCCCGTATTGCTCACACGCTGCACATTAGCATCGAACCCCGGCTTAACGAATCCAAATCCCAACTGCCGCTTTGTATTCGACGCAGCGGCGGCCTCGCGCTCGATTTTCGCAACGATACTGTTGATTTCCGCAAGTGTGTCACTGCTGATGTCGTTGTTGAGCAGGGCGGTGGGAAAAGCGGTGGTTGCGGTGATGAGCAGGGATGCCGTGTAGAGAATTGATGTCTTCATCTTTGTCTCTGTGTTCAATATTCCTTCCAATATTTAAAAAAAAATCCGATGAGTAGATTACACGACAATAAGGATAGTAAGACAAAGGGAATCAACAATATCGGGGGGATTATAATTTTTTTAAAAAAAAAGAGCGTAAACCGACGTTATTTTTTTTTGGTGTCTTCACGATTGTAGAAACGACCGTTCATCCACATAACCCCCAGTCTTATCTCTCCCAGCTATATACCCTAATTCCTCATTTGCCCCCCCTTCAAGTTTAAACCTTAACAAACTAAGAAAACCCAAACCGCTTACCATGAAATGCCGAGTCATGCCTCATCTACCTCCCCTGATGACCCAAGAGCCTGAATCGCGTAATAATTCGCTCGTGATTACCCTTACCACCTATTTCCCTCGCCTCGCCTACCTATCGCAACAAATCCCTGTTGTGCGTGCGCCCCCCCCCCCCCTCTCCCCCGCCGATCTCGTGTTGCAAGGGGTCCACTAGAAGCGTGGTTTTGCAAAGTATCTGATTGGCTTGTTTGCGGTGTAGGCTGCTAGTATTGCGGGGGGGTTGGGTGGGTCGGAGGAAAAGACACAGCAGGGTCGGGTGTGGGTTGGCTGACACAACAGGGTTGGGGGGAGTAACTAGGTACTAGATACGATCAAAAAGGATTACACACGACGGGGATCAGCGGGTAACGGAGAGAATAAGGGCATGGACTGTGCTTTTGAGGCGTGCAGTCGGCGTTCACTTTGGTAAGCCACAGCAGAGTAGGACTAGTGCGCGTGCGGAAGTATGGGCGGCCGGTTTCCGTAGGTGAGAGGTTAAATATCAGGGCTAGTGTGGACGATGTGGGTTGTGCTAGAAGAAGCGAAGATCGTCATGCTTGGTTTGCATTTCGTTTTGCGCTTGATATGGAGATGAGAGAGGGGTTTTCTTGGGGTTGTCTGCCGAGTTCTTGCCGCAAAGTTTGAGGGTTTCTGGGATCTTGCTGGGTTGTTATCGGTTTAGTGCAGCGTCAGAGGTGTTCTGGAGGAGAGGAGGCAGAGGGGTTGAATGCGTGTATGAACGGTTCTGATGAGGGGGGTCGGAAGCATCGTTCCTTGTTAGCATGGAATAATGGTGGAAGGAAAAAAGCAGATGCAAAGGCGTTGGATGCGTAGTAGTGGCTGAATGATTAACATTATGACGTCGTAACTCGTGCTGTATTCTATGGATGCGGTTGGAGGCCTTTTTTTTTCGCTCCTGGGCAGCCGTTGGTGGCTCATCCGTTTTTGGTCCTCATCTTTGATCCAAAAGAGATTGTGATAATGAAAGGGTATCATAAACGTGTATGCGGCCGATGCGGCAATCCTTCTTCTAGTGAGTTCATGGATGCAGGAGATGCCAGAGTGACTCGCCCTGTGACCTCGTCGACGACAAGATTGTCCATCTCCACATACGCTTCTTGTCGCTTTCCATCCGCATTAACTAATGATTCTTGGCTAACATTTGTAGTGCCGTCTGAGTTCAACATGTTTGACCGCCGTTTGTTTGAGGATGAGCTTGTGGCTTCAATCTTGATATTCTTGGAGCCCAGTTTGGACCCATGTGCTGACGAGTTCATACCTGATAGATTTGAAGCCTGGCTTTTGAACCTTCTTTCTCGCGACGAATTTTGGTATGAGTTAATCACAGTGGTGACGGCTTGTCTAAAGAAGACTCGGAGTACAGGTATCGACGTTGCGACAATGGCCATGGAAGACTCTGCTGCCGACCAGATGACAGTGTTGGTGGCGTCGTCTGTATACGTCAGCCAAGGTCACAGAAGTGCATGTTACATAACGTACATGAGAGATCTTGTTTGGTCAGTAACTCTACATATCGACCTCGAAGAATCGCGGTCACTCCTGCTCTTTGATCTGGTTAGTAGAGCCTACATGGTTCGTGATGGATTGGCTTACAATACTCCCAGACTCATGGCGATGCAGACACCAATCTTCTCCGCCGGGCGCATCTGCAAGTTCCAAATGATCTTCCATGGAATGAGAGCTAGAGAAATGTCCATGATTGCAGACCATACTAGACATCGAGTTAGTACAACATGCCGACGCATCACAAAAGCACTACTAACTAGCTTGAAATCGTCCATAGATGACAGACGGATGCTTATCCATACATGTACCCGGTATGATATCCACAAAAGTCTTAGTCAACGGCTTGCAAAGGACCCAAGGCAGGATGCAGGTCGGTATCGCGAATATCAAAAGAGTAGCCATGGCAAAGCACACGTACGCCTTGATCCATCCTTCAGTCAAACGAAACAGCGTCACCCCGAACGATATCTTGCTGAGGGTGATGGCAGTCGTGGATACGGTGAGTCCGGTTGCGCCAAGATAAGTGATGGTCTCGAAATGGCTGAAGTCAACTGGTGCAAAGGAGTCAGATCCTCGGTATCACATGCGTCGCTCGTGTAGCTTCTTACTATCAAGCGAGTGTTTTCCAAAGCCCAAATTTATACTTAACTGGTTAAGAGTGGCTTGACACAGCAGGAATAACTGCATGTTGCGCGTTAGTCGTTTTCTTGAGGTAGAGGTTTTTCCATTGCTTACCCAACTGACGGTAAGAATCAAGCTGTCGTACCACAACTTCCCTTGATTTTTTTGAATCGCCAACCGAAGAGCGAGGAAAAAACCAGCGACCCCGCAGAGCGACCAAACAGTGATGCTCATGAGTGGGCCATGAGTCTCGCCTGGGTTGCTGACCCAGTTCTGCAACTGCGTCGACATCCTGGGTGTGCAGAGTGAGCCAGGCCTGGACGAATGCGCTTCTCCGGCGATCAGGCTGTGAGGAGACCCTCAGTTCGGACGAAGACTTGAGAAATCGGGGTAGCGATCGCATGTACATGTAACAACTGTCGGGCGAGGGTTACACGACATGAACGATGGATGCCGCCGAGACCAACTACCGTACTCCCCCGTTACCAGTCCCTAGTTGCCGGGATGGTTTCTCCCCGAGCCCGCTCTCAGATTCGGAAGTTTACTCGAGAGGGTGAATGCCAAGGGCTGTTGGATTCTCAGTGCGGATGTATCCACCCCTCCCAATGGGGTTCGCCATCTTGACTCCGTTACGGGGCAGCGTCGCATTTTGATTATCATCAGGGACCTGGCTTATTAGGGCCGACTCATCGCCCTTTGGCCCGCAACAGTGATCTAGACTACCTACCTTGTTCCTGTCTTCAGGGTTGGTAGCTAGCAATGACTCGTATAGTGTGGGATGGCTCGCGGCCCGCTTGTAGATCAGACCCACAAATTGGCCTAGCTCTTGAGCTAAGATCGTGTTCATGTGCCCGACACAGCCGTCAGACTTGAGTCGTATATCAGATAGAGTTTGCAAGCTCTGGCGGGAGTTGTAGATCAGTGTCTCTTGAACTTAACTTAATGATGCCCGCTGTTTAATGGGAAATAACCCCCAGACACGGTCAAGTCGCGTCACTAGCCATGCCTGAGTCGTGAAGGGGCATGGTCCTGTGATAGAGATTAGTGATATTACATATGAATTCGGTAATCACACAGTGTCTACTGCTCTTGACTTTCCAGGCATACCGTGTTTGGTTTTTCGTTGGAGTTATTTGATCATTAAATTGGAGTCCTTGGCTGCGCCTCAGTAACAGCCACGAAACCACAGCCCTACAACGGTTCAGAGCTGAGTGGGCGGTGGGTCTATCGCGTGCGACGGCCACGATAGCGACTGACTACCGGAACCGTAGTGCAGTAGAAACAAGTAGTATCCTCGAGCCCAGGTGAGTCATGATGCCTTGGCAGCATAGAATGCGTGATGCGAGAGGTTTGTTGATTGGTGTAGGTAGACCCTGGTAGATCTGGTAGGATCTTGCCCTCAACTGGGTGTCTACGAGTGGGAGGAATCTTATGGGAAGATGATTGAGTGTCTATAGTGTGGGCTATATGTGATAAAACTCGTTCCTGCATATATTGAGCTGTGCGATCCGTGCACGTGCTGCATGTTGCCAGGAAATAGTCCTTCACCTCATTGGTTCCTTAAGCTCCGATCAGCCTCCTATGACGACAACAGCTTTTGATGCTCATGGCTTGCAGCTCCGGTACTGGATGCCGTACCCATGGATTCTCTGTGGAGAAGGTCCGAAGAAGACGCCATCACCGTGCCTGGCGTTTTCACGACAACGTTACATAGGGGGGATAGCTGTATGTACAACATGGTGCAATACCGACTCCTCGGAGCTCACCCACAAACTTAGTTCCATACACCGATGATGAAACTCCGACACCAACATCCTGCGCACATGGCGTGCCGCCTTCATCCACCCGCTAGTCAGCATAATAACCTTTTGGCGTCATAAGGTGGCACGAGCCGCCCCTGTATTCCCTGCCCACTACCAGACACGAATGTTTATCTAAAATCAAGTTATCTGACCAAACACGATAGCCCTTTATGTTTGTTGCTTTTGAGATCGTCGCTTTATGCAGCCCGTGAAATATAGAAAAAGCAACACTTGCTTGAACAGAGTCAGAAACTCGATCTCATGAAGATAACAAGGCGACAAGAAACCCGCTCATTCTCGCCAAGCCATGTCGGATACGCCAACACGTCCTTGAGCCCCAGACAGCCACACCATTTGACTTTGATGGGGTCTGCGAGATTACTTGTGCCTCGAGTCATGAGAGGATATCGGAAGGCTGGAAAACTTTAAATAGTGGACCGACGGAGAGTGGTCCACTTCGTTGTGGGAGCATCGGATACAGCACAGCAACCTCCGCACCAGACATCAGGATCGATCAATCGTCATTTCTGATCCGATCCGATCTGAATCTTTGCCATGGAGTTCTATACACCAGGCCTTCCATGTCACGATTAGTTTACATTTGAATATGCCAAGCCGGGCCATGTCAACGTCTCAGAGTGTCAGTGTTCACAATCTTTTGATTCGTCTATCGTGAAAACTCGTCATCTACTACGCCTCACCAAGCTGCAATATTCTAATGTCCAGCTTAGCAAACCGCATGCGTCTTGCCGGTCTTGGCCTGCAGACTGTGGTTCTCTTCAAAATGATCCGTTGCCTTCTTTTGAAAGACGGGGCTGACGAGCGTCGACCGGCGGCGCATCGCGAACTGGTGTCTATGTCCAAGTCAGCACATTTCCAACAAAAAAAACCAGTCATCGGCTGCTAGGCAAACTTACTCCTTGTGCTCTTGGATTCTCTTGGCATCGAGTGTGTCAAGAGTTTGCAGTGCTAGCTTGAAGTCTGCAATCAAAGCGTCGCATCGTGATTTGGTAAAGTCCTCACGAACAACGACACGCAACATCTTCATCTGCTCCGAGTGAGGAGCCATTGTGTAGGCGGGCACAACCCATCCACGTTCACGAAGCTGGTGCGCAATGGCAAACTCGTCGTACTGCTTGCCGAGATCCTCGTCGATGCGGCATGCGACAAGAGGAAGTCCTTCTCCTCCGCGTTGGCTCATGATGACAAAGCCCATGGATTCGAGGTTTGCAGCTAGGTAGTCAGCAGTACGCGTCAGGTTCAACATTATCCTCCTGTAACCACGCTTTCCTAGACGGATGAGTTGGTAGTATTGTCCGATAATCTGCGAAGCACCACGCGAGAAGTTGAGCGTGAAGGACGCTTGATCGGCACCTAGGTAGTTGATGTTGAAAACAAGTTCTTGGGGCAGATACTGGGGATCGCGCCAGACGACCCAGCCAACACCGGGGTAAACGAGGCCATACTTATGTCCTGAGGCGTTGATGGTTGTGACCTTGGGAAGACGGAAGTCCCAGAGAAGCCCGGGGTTGACAAAAGGAGCGACAAAGCCGCCCGAAGCAGCATCGACGTGGATGTTGACATCAATGTCTCGCTCGATTAGAAGATCATTGATGGCTTTGATATCTTCGTATTCGCCAGTGTATGTTGTTCCGAGAATTGCGCCTAATCATTGTCAGTGACGGATACTACAGTGCAGGCTATAGATTCCCTACATATGCCGATGGTGTTTTCGTCGCACAGATCTACGCATTCCTTGGGGTCGATGACATAACGATCAGCTGTGCAGTAGACATATTTTTCTTCAATGTCGAAGTATCGGCACGCTTTCTGTAAGTCGTTAGTATTTCTTGACTGGCAATTGTGGCCCATGAGCAAAATATCCAAATAACTCACCTCCCAGCAAACTTGCACAGCCGAGTTCATAACCATGTTGGGCTTGTCGTATGGCTTTCCCTCTGCTTTTCGCTTATTTTGCCACAGCTTTTTCATGGCCAGTACTCCCAGCTGCGTAGTGTTAGTCGCAGACTCATGTTTCTTCTCATTTCAACACTAACCATGATGGCCTCGGAAGATCCAATCGTCGAAGTACCGATAATGTTTGCATCATCTGTGCCTGGAGCGTTGAAAAGTCTCGCAATCATAGAGACACATCCTAATGCAGCTCAGTCTCTGTTATAAAATTTCTACAGTGCTTTGAACACGTACGGTTTTGGATGTCGGCGCTGACTGGGTATTCTTCGTAATCGATAAAGTTCTTGGAGAAGGCGTCGCTACACGATACGGTTACTTTGGTATTCTCAATAAGAGGTTATTGTGGCCATACACCATGAGCTTCTCAACTTCCTCCTCCTAGGGGCTGTGTTAGCGTCGAATGGCTGGAGGAATGTCATGGGGTGCATACCATGTATGTAGTGACGAAAGAGGCCAAGTTCAGCGTTGGTGTTCCGTCGAGTGTGAGGTCATCCTTGATCATTCGGTAGGCCCTAACAAGACATCAGCAACCTGTCCAAGCCGCTGTTATGAGTGTGGTGATACATACACCTGAGGGGGCATTTCTCGATCCTGCATCTAGTCAGCGTGCTGCACTTGGCAATTTGTATTGTCTGGACAAACTCACCGGCATCTCGTACTTTGGTAGGTCCTCAGCAGCATACTTGCTACCATAGACGGTGGCAGTAAAGTCATCAACCTCATCGTCTGGGCTCAAGTTGATGGTGCTTGCAGTAGCAATGTCGTCGAATTGAGCCTTCTCCTCGGAAATCTCCTTGAAGGTAGCTACGCGGTTGATGTGCACCATGGTGAGATATGTGAGGGGGAGTCGTGTGGGAGAGAGCGTTGGAGGGGTAGAAGCTGGTGGGCAGGAGACAAGGCTGCGGGGGGGGGGGGGAGAGGCACAGCTTAATATGGCTCAAATACCAAGGTGCGTAAGCAGCTACGTAGCTTGGACGGGTGATAATCAAAGCCCCCAATCCCAAAGTGCATTCTAGTCTCCGGTACAGCTCAACAGCACAGCGCAGCACCGCAGTAATGCAGCCCCCACCATGGACGGCACGCGCTTATCCCAAAGTGATGTGGCCGGTCATAGGCCAACATGCAAGCCAACGCTGTACGACGCGTCAATTAGGAGCCAGACCGCTATCTAGCCAGGATACGTGTAGCTGGGCATTTGCCATGTAGCCCCTGGCATATGCTCACCGTCGTCCTGAGGGGCAGCGGGTAAGACGGTGAATTGCAGTCTGGCACAGTGGCATGGCGGGGTAGTAGTAGCACGGGCCTGGCTAAGCATTTGCCCTCGAAAAGCTTGTCTTGGGAAATAATACCAATGTATACTCACCGCCCTTCACCCTCTTAGCCGATTTGGGTCGTGAGCTAGCTGTCTTGGGGCAGCTAATAGCGGGGTATACTGGACAGGTGGGGGGTGCGGGGTGGGGTGTTTTGCCAGGTACAATCGTGCACCTACGCATGTGTACCGCGTCATTGTCAATGGCTATCTTTGGATGTATGTATCCGCCCACTCCCGTACCCACATTCTTCTTACACATAGTATGCGTAACACAATACATCTAGGCTGATGCAATAAGACAATGATACGTTCAAGTGTGCACCTAGCCCATTGGAAACCTCTGCAATGTCGAGGCGTCTAGCTAAATGTACACAGTACTATCTATATTATGTATACAGTATATATATATATATGCAGCGCCATAGCCTCGCACCTGAGTTACAAAGACCCGTATCCTCGTGTACTCATAGGTCCGATTAGTTTGTGTTGTCCCAGAGCTGAAAGAGAAAAGAGGTTCGGGTGTTACCGCGCGGCGGCACGGACCCTGAGATGCAGAAGCAGAGTGGCTGTTGGCTACCACATTGCTTCATTGGTGCCGAGTCTAGTAGTGGTAGTAGGCTGGGCAGTCCACTTCTCTCTACACCTATTTCACCGAATACGAACTCTCTCAGGTCAAGAAAATTTCCCTCTCTAGTCTTGGCCGACATGTTGCTTCCGCCTCCCGTCTAGCTTTGCCATAGCAGCAACTGAAGCGGTAGATATGGCCACGTACTTGTTCTTGCACACCGTCTCCTCAACCTCACAAAACACACATGTACTGCCTGACACGTATATATTCTTCCCTCTGCAAAGCGGTGTTGCCTGTACCTTGGAAGCTGAGTAGAGGACAATTGTTGGGCAATTACGACTTTGTATAATTTGGTTCCCTGAGATTGCACCCTTGGTCTGTATTCGGGCTCCTGTAATTCCCGCAGCATGCAGTACCCTCTTTGAGAAGCTAGGCGTCTTTTGTAACGGCCAATTGCTTGCGACTATCTCGCTTGACTCTCCAATACCACGTGGGCAAGAGGTAAGCGGATGCATGCAGGCGAAAATGTACCCTGTTGGTACATGATCTACATTGCCCCTCTTCTGGTCTTAGATGATATTCGCTATGCTGATACGACTTGTGCTCGACGGTGCTGGGCTGGGACTTGATAGACTCTTTGGCGGTGAATACGTGTCGGATGCGAGTTGCACTCGTTTGACGGGATTGTGCACTGGTGGATAATAGGCCGCTGGCTGCGTACTCCGGTGATGGCGCTCGCCCATCAATTGCCGCACCATGTGCTCAACCCGGCCCCAGTCATTCCATTCTGCGCTTCCATTCGACAATGCATTGAGTGGTGGCGCGCGTGAGGGTAGTCGGTCTCGCATTGCTTCGTCGCCTCCCGGCGATGCCGTCGCGCCAGGTGCCGAGTCCTGGCCCGGCACAGAAACCATGCTGGTACCTGCCCAGACCCAGGAATGCTCCAGACTGCCTTGTATGTCAGCACTCAGGTATGCAATCATCTCCTCGTCGTGTTCCAGCTGTTTGCCACTGCCGATACCGTTGCGCGTTCGGTCGAATAATCGCTCAAGAAAGAAGGCAATATTCTTGCCGCAAGCAGCGTTAATCTTGCGTGTGCTGCCAATAGCTTCCGAGAGATGCAAGCACACCAAGGCTGCATCATACTCGCCCCGGAAGCATAATACCAGGATGCATCGCCACAGATGTAGACATACTGCGTTACTCGCGGCCAACACC